ATGCATTTTTGAGAAGCATACCCCTCCTAATATATAGCAGCTTTGCTAGTTTCTCTGATGTGTGCCTTTTTATACACACTTTACCTTAACAAATGAATTATTGAACCCATTGCTTGGTTGGAGAACCATGTTGCAAAATTCGGAGCACTGTCTTTCTGTTCACTTTTTTTTGGGGGGGGGCAGATTTAGTGGGTTTACCTTTAAATGCAAAGCCAACCAAGTTTCTCCCCCATCCCTAGCTACTGCACATCTCATTTTAGTCTTCTGGTGTGGTTCTGCTCTTGTGTGCATGTTGAATGAAATGGGGAGGGTGTGCCTGTGTATGTATTCACATCCCGGCCTTTTTGTATGTGAGGGAGGGGATGTTATGCCCTAGAGAACTCATGAAGGGATTTCTAGAGCTTAGCGTTCCCAGAACTAGCATGGACCCGCATCATAGACAAGTGTTCGCAGAAGTATTACTTTGGGGGTTGTCAAGTTCATGCTTATATCTGAGAATCAGAAGTCTGTCTGAATGCAGGAAGCTTCTGTGTACAGTCATACCTCGGGTTACAGCTGCTTCAGGTTGCATTTTTTCAGGTTGCGGACCTCCGAAACCTGGAAGTACCAGAACAGATTACTTCCGGGTTTCGGCGGTCGTGCATGCGCAGAAGCACTAAATAGCACTTTGTGCATGTGCAGAAGCGCCGAATCACAACCCGCGCATGCGCAGACGCGGGTTGCGAACGCTGCAGGTTGCGAACGCTGCAGGTTGCGAACGTGCACTCCGCACAGATCACGTTCGCAACCCGAGCGTCCACTGTAATTGAAAAAAAAGGAACAGGAAACCCCCCCCCCCGATGAGTTTCTAAAATTTGTGAGCAAGTTGTCATGCGATAATGTCTCATTTATGGGTGGATGCACCTCATTGCTCATAGACAAGGATCACAATAATTTAAACCTGCACATTATGTTTCTCGAAACTCTACATAAAGTACTAATGACCCCATTGCAAAAGTGTATAATGCAGCCAACTATGAAGTCTTCATCCCCCATGCACAAAAAAAACCCTTCAGAGTTGTTGCTTTTAAAGAAACCTAATTACTTATACCTCAAAGGTACACGCATGCCCATACACAAAATAAATAAGAGCCTCTCACATTTGGGGGGAGGAAACGTGTGAAATGGTTAAAGTCTGCCATCTAGTGAGAGAGTGCGTGCATTTGCAAGGGAGACACTGAAATTCCTGGTATTTTAAAGCTGCTTCATCTATGCATATTGGGATGATATAAAAAGGCCCTCCTGTTAGGTGAAGTTTTTTGGGTTTTTTACTGTTTTATTAAATTTGCTTAGTAACCTAACATTATTATATGTATTCAATAAAACAAAGAATACAAAACAAAATTCATTCTTACTACAATGCATAACTACAGAACATTAATATATATGGTTTCTGAAAAAAGGCTTACATAACAAAATCAATTCAAAAAACCATCTGGTTTACTTTTTTTTCTTCCCCTCCCTTCCGAACTTGTATGTTAGGGTTGGCTTCCCCTCTTTTTATCCAGTTCCTGTAAAATGCCCATTTATTTGTGATTCTTTGGCATTTATTTTCCCATCTATCCTCTGCCACTATCTGTGCGAATATTTCTGATTGTACGTATTCAAAAACATAATCATTCCATTTTTCCATATTCCATTTGGCTTTTTCTTTCCATCCCAAAGCAATAACTGCCATTCCAGCTAAAATCATAATCTTGTACAACTCTTGCTTATTACTTTTTACTTTGTTATTTCCCAGTATTCCCGAAAATAACAAATCCCTATTAACTTCTATGTTTATTTGAAATAATTCAGAAATTACCTTTATAATCTTTTGCCAATATTCCTTAACCAGATTACATTCCCACCACATGTGTGAATATAGTCCTTTTTCCTGACCACAATACCAGCATTTGGGACTAAACCCTTTCACTATATACGACATTTGTGCCGGAGTTGTATACCATTTTAATAAAAAAATTCTACTTAATTCTTTATATCTTTCTATTTTAATATTGTTTATATTCTTCATCAGTTCTTGGGCCTGTTTGGATGGATCATACCTTCCTGCTCCCATTTAATCTGGATTATCCTTATCATTCTTTCTTTGTCGCTTATCAGCAGTTTATATAACACCCCTGCTATCCCTTTCTCCGTTATTTGTCTTTTGTTCAGCACCATATCTATTTTCATTTCTGTCCTCATCGTTTCCTCTGCTCTTTCCATTTTTATTAAATCATAAAGTTCTTGCACTTTCAGCCAATATTGTTTTCCTATCTTTTCTAAAAAAACTTTTTTTGTAATTAAATTCCCTTCTTCATCGAACATACCTTTTAATGTATAAAATCCCTGATCTTCTAATTTCTTCCACCAACCCGGTTCCCTTTGACCCTCCTGCATATATTTTAACGGCGTCCACCTTGAGTATGTTGGTATCCATTTCGTATTCCAATTCTTCCAGATTCCTAACACAGTTTTCCTTGGTCCTATTGTCTTCTTAAAAGCCGTATTAATATCTCTATTAAATATCCCTTCTCTTCCTATTTCTTCTCTTATTTCATTCTCCAGCCTTATCCATTTAATCCCATCCTTATATCCAAATATCTATTAGATTTTTCAATTGGAATGTTTCATAGTAAAATTCTAAGTTCGGTATTCCCCATCCCATCTCTTCTTGAGATGAATAATTTACTATGTCTGGGGTTCTAACTCTTTTACTTCCAAAAATCCAATTTTTAAATACCTTATTCCATGTTTTGAACCATATTTTCCTAATGGGTAGCGTAATTACTTGAAATAAATATAATAATTTTGGTACCAGAAACATTTTAACTGCTCTAATCCTACCTAGAATAAATTCTTATTTTTCCATGATTTTATGTCCTTCTTGATCTTCCTCCACGCTTCTTTGTAATTTACATCTGGAATCCTAGCAATATTTTTAATAATATTTACCCCCAAGTATTTAATTTTTTTCCTATTGATATCCATCTTTGTCTTTTTTACAATTTCCTTCTTCTCCTCTGTATGACCCCACCTCTGTAGGGTCCTTTTGTGGTTTTGCAGTCTCTACTATTTCCACTAGTTTCCAAATGTCTGGGGCTTTCCCCCCATCTAAGATATTATTAAATACTTTTCTGAGCCCAGGATATCAATTATTTCTTTATAAAAGTATGCTGTAATTCCATCTAATCCTGGAAATTTCTTACTTTTAAATGATTTAACTACATTCTCTATTTCTTCCAAAGAAATTTCCTCCTTCAGTCTTAATCTATCACTTTCTTTGATTTTAAACCCCAAACTTTCCCTACTAATATTTTTATTTTCTTCTTTATATAAAGATTGATAGAATCCTGCAAATTCTTTCCTTATTTCTCTAGAGCTTTGTGTAAGTATTTTCCTTCTGGTCTTAATGGCCTTAACCCTCTGTTTATCCCTTCTTTTCTTTAAATAGTTTGCCAGTCTCTTATATGATCCTATTGAGGTTCTCTGAAAATCATTTTTTATCATATTATCTCTCTTCCACACCGCAACTATATCCAGCTCATCCAATTCCTGTTTTAACTTTCTTAACTGCTCCTGTCTGCTCCTTAGAAATTTAACCTGTTGCTGTTGTTGCAAAATTTCAATCTCTTTAATTTTTTCCTGTCTCCCCGAGTACCAATCCTTCTTAATCGCAATCTCTTTCTGTATACAATGTCCTCTTATAACAGCTTTGAAAGCGTCCCATACTACCGGTATCTCGGCCGAACCATTATTCTCTTTAAAATACCAACCAATTTGTTTTCTGATATATTCCCTGTCAATCTCTTTTGCCATTGTTAGGTTATTGTGCCGCCATGTCCTGCTTTTTCCATCCTCTTCCTGTCCCAGCTCCACAAATAGTGGAGCATGGTCTGAAATCTATATTCCCATAGTCTTTGCTGTTCTAACACTGATTTCTTTCCCTTCTTTAATTAGCACATAGTCAATATAAGAGAAAGTCTTATGTCTGTTGGAGAAGAAGGTAGGTTTGATGTTGGGGTTTCCCCTCTCAAAAACATCCTTTAATCCCCATTTAGATCATCTGGCCTGGAAGTTTCAGTGCCTTGTGGCATGCATTATCTTGCTTTATGTTCAAACCAGGGTGGGTAACCTTGAAGACTCTGCATTATCCCAGGATTCCTTGCCAGTAGCAGGCAGGGGTCAGCTGCAGAAATGTGAGGAGCCAGGACGACACCCAACTGCATACCCTTAACCAATGCTATTTTTCTAGAAAAAGAAGTGCCGGAACTCAACATGAACGCCTCCCTTGTTCTCTTATAATGGCAATGGTGCCTACCTGAGAGGTGCCAGAACTAAGTTCTGGTGAGTTCCGGCTGAAAAAAAGCCCTGCCCTTAACACACACACACACACACACACAATCTCTCTCTCTCTCTCTCTCACACACACACACACAGCTAGTTCCCATGGAAACAGGCATATGTTATTCAATTCTTGGTAACACCACTCAAGTTTTGAAATTCAATTTTCTCCATAAACTTTTTTATTTATATACATTTTGTAAACAAACCAAATCTCTCCAAGGCCTTTTACCTGTCCTGGCTGCAAATCAGTAACCCCAGCAGAAGAGTGCAAATAACATTAATGCACAGCTAAATTACAAGCCCTGCCTTAGAACTCTTCGAAGCCTCCAACTTCAAAATGCAATTGCATCTCCAGAAATGACATTCAAGCAATGACAAAATGCATGGACCCTTCTGACAGATTTCCAAGAAGTGGAAGTCTCTCTTTGCAGATATTTTTGCAGAGGAAGGAGCTGCAACTGGACCCTTGGTACAACACCAGTCCTTTTCTCTCTCAGCTTTTATTTGCTGAACAGCTGGTGGGTGGGAGGGGATCCAGTGGCCAGGTTAAACCAGTCTGTGGGTTGCTTCTAGCCCATGGGCTTTGAATTCCGCACCCTTGTTCTAAACATTTGTAAAGCAGTACCTTATGCATGCTTCCCATATGGAGTTTTAAGCAGGAATATAGATCACATCCAACTGTAGGCACTGAGACAAGAGACAGGGTAGCAGGGCAGACCAAAGATTGCAACAGGGACTGCAGCAGCAAGCAAGATGGAGAAGTACTGGGGCTGGCCAGGAAACAGCAGACACCTGCCTTATTGTAACCAGCTCCTTTGTACCTGCTACCTGTTGTGTAAGCTAAAATTATGACCCCAGTGGATGTTGGATGTTCAGTCAACATTATAGCCTCTTATCAGTTCTGGTATTCTGTAACCAAGTTGCTGAATAAATATTTTGCAACTTAGTTAATGTAGGTGGATGGGTAAATCAACTATGTTTCATCGTTGTTTGCTCTGGTTTTCCTGGTCGCTGAATAACCCACTCCTTTCATGTTAGGGATATTAGAGCTGAGGGTACCTTTCTCGTTCCCAACCTTCGAGTCAGCTTTCTGATTTACTTAAGGCAGGGGTGTCCATACTTTTTTCAAAGAGGGCCAGATTTGATGAAGTGAACATGTGTGAGGGTCGACTAAAGCTTTTTTTAGGATTAAAGTTGTTGAGCTTCTTTTGGGATTTCCCCCCAAAGTTCTTGAGCTTTTTTGATTTCACCCCAGGAAATAAACTGCCACAGGGGTCGGATTAAACTGAATGGCAGGCCTAATCTGGCCACACTTTGATCATGCCTGACTTAAGGACTTCTAAAAATCCAGATGGCGCCAATTCATACACAGCAAAATTAGATCTATTAGTATTGACTTGGAATAATTTTTGTGAGCAATATATTTATTGCAATATCCAAATTAGATTGCTTTTGAAAAACAAAACATGAGTCAGCTATAGATAAAATCTGCTCCCCCAGGTTCTATGGTTTAAATACAACCGATAACAGGATCACTTCTATCTTAAAGTTAATAATTCCAGACCAATGCAGGGCATTTATGTTAACCCAACTGAACATTTTCCCGTCAGTTTTGTTAAGGGCAGATACTTAAACATCCCTAGAAACATTGCTTATGTTATTTAAATGTGCTGGACACTGTAGAACAAATTCTTTTTACTGTCCACTCTATACCGTATTTTTTGCTCTATAAGACTCACTTTTACCCTCCTAAAAAGTAAGGCGAAATGTGTGTGCATCTTATGGAGCGAATGCAGGCTGCGCAGCTATCCCAAAAACCAGAACAGCAAGAGGGATTTCTGCTTTCACTGTGCAGTGATTCCTCTTGCTGTTCTGGCTTGTGAGATTCAGAATATTTTTTTTCTTGTTTTCCTCCTCCAATAACTAGGTGCGTCTTGTGGTCTGGTGCATCTTATAGAGCGAAAAATATGGTAACCAGCTACATAAATGCGTGTTATCACCCTTTTTGGATAGTTTAACTGCGTGAGCCCTGCAGCCGGGGGCAGAGCGACCCACCATTTGGCGCACCGCCCACCCACGACTGCAAACTGTCACTCCCCTCAGCTCACTGTAGTTTGCTTTCTGCAAGACCAAACTGACATTGATTATATAAGTAACACATTCCTGAAGTGCTTTTACTGTCAGTAGCATCATCTCCAAAACTCGCGTCAGCATAAATTTCAAGACCTCCAGATTTTTGGTTAGTAAACCTTAATCTGTAGTGCATAGTACTCTTTAGATATCTGGCTATGTGTTTTAGTCCTTTCCAGTCTTGAATGGAGCTTGAATGGGGCTTTCCAATCCCCTTCATGGATCACTGCCTCCCCTTCATGGATCACTGCCTTGCCGTGGCGAAGGGGCTTGAATAACTCAGAGAAGCTATGAGCTATGCCGTGCAGGGCCACCCAAGATGCACAGGTCATAGTGGAGAGTTTTGACCAAACGTGATCCACCTGGGCAGCCCACTCCAGTATCCCTGCCAAGAAAACTCCATGGACAAAGACAACAGGCATATAAAAGTTATGACGCTGGAAGATGAGCCCCTCAGGTCGGAAGGCGCCCAACATGCTACTGGGGAAGAGCGGAGGACAAGTGCAAGTAGATTCAGAGCTGATGAAGCGGCTGGGCCAAAGCCGAAAGGACGCTCAGTTGCGGATATGCCTGGAAGCGAAAGGAAAGTCCTATGCTGTAAAGAAAAATATTGCATAGGAACCTGGAATGTAAGAACCATGAACCTTGGTAAGTTGGATGTGGTCAAAAATGAGATGGCAAGAATAAATATTGACATCCTGGGCATCAGGGAACTAAAATGGACGGGAATGGGCGAATTCAGTTCGGATGACCATCATATCTACTACTGTGGGCAAGAATCCCGTAAAAGAAATGGAGTGGCCCTCATAGTCAACAAAAGAGTGGCGAAAGCTGTACTGGGATGCAATTTCAAAAATGATAGAATGATCTCGATACTGAATCCAAGGCAGACCTTTTAACATCACAGTAATCCAAGTTTATGCACCAACCACTGGTGCTGAAGAAACTGAAATTGACCAATTCTATGAAGACTTACAACACCTTATAGAAATGACACCAAAGAAGGATGTTCTTCTCATTATAGGGGATTGGAATGCTAAAGTAGGGAGCCAAGAGATAAAAGGAACAACTGGCAAGTTTGGCCTTGGAGTTCAAAATGAAGCAGGGCAAAAGCTAATACAGTTCTGCCAAGAGAACAAGCTGGTCATCACAAACACTCTTTTCCAACAACACAAGAGACGACTCTACACATGGACATCACCAGATGGGCAGCATCAAAATCAGATTGATTATATTCTCTGCAGCCAAAGATGGAGAAGCTATATACAGTCAGCAAAAACAAGACCTGGAGCTGACTGTGGCTCAGATCATCAGCTTCTTATAGCAAAATTCAAGCTTAAACTGAAGAAAGTAGGAAAAACCACTGGGCTGGTAAGATACAATCTAAGTCAAATCCCTTATGAATACACAGTGGAAGTGAGGAACAGGTTTAAGGATTTAGATTTGGTGGACAGAGTGCCTGAAGAACTATGGATAGAGGCTCGTAACATTATACAAGAGGCAGCAACTAAAATCATCCCACTGAAAAGGAAATGCAAGAAAGCAAAGTGGCTGTCCAACGAGGCCTTACAAATAGCAGGGGAGAGAAGGCAAGCAAAATGCGAGGGAGATAGTGAAAGATACAGGAAATTGAATGCAGATTTCAAAAAAATAGCAAGGAGAGCCACGAAGGCCTTCTTAAACGAGCAATGCAAAGAAATAGAGGAAAACAATAGAATGGGAAAAACCGGAGATCTGTTCAAGAAAATTGGAGATATGAAAGGAACATTTTGTACAAAGATTTCCATAATAAAAGACAAAAGTGGAAAGGACCTAACAGAAGCAGAAGACATCAAGAAGAGGTGGCAAGAATACACAGAGGAACTATATCAGAAAGAAATGGATGCCTCGTATACCCCAGGTAGTGTGGTTGCTGACCTTGAGCCAGACATCCTGGAGAGTGAAGTCAAATGGGCCTTAGAAAGCACTGCTAATAACAAGGCCAGTGGAAGTGATGATATTCCAGCTGAACTATTTAAAATTTTAAAAGATGATGCTGTTAAGGTGCTTCACTCAATATGCCAGCAAATTTGGAAAACTCAGCAGTGGCCAGAGGATTGGAGAAGATCAGTCTACATCCCAATCCCAAAGAAGGGAAGTGCCAAAGAATGCTCCAACTACCGCACAATTGCACTCATTTCACACGCTAGCAAGGTTATGCTTAAAATTCTACAAGGCAGGCTTAAGCAGTATGTGGACCGAGAACTCCCAGAAGTGCAAGCTGGATTTAGAAGAGGCAGAGGAACCAGAGACCAAATTGCAAACATGCGCTGGATTATGGAGAAAGCTAGAGAGTTCCAGAAAGACATCTACTTCTGCTTCATTGACTATGCAAAAGCCTTTGACTGTGTCGACCACAGCAAACTATGGCAAGTTCTTAAAGAAATGGGAGTGCCTGATCACCTCATCTGTCTCCTGAGAAATCTCTATGTGGGACAAGAAGCTACAGTTAGAACGGGATATGGAACAACTGATTGGTTCAAAATTGGGAAAGGAGTACGGCAAGGCTGTATATTGTCTCCCTGCTTATTTAACTTATATGCAGAATTCATCATGCGAAAGGCTGGGCTGGATGAATCCCAAGCCAGAATTAAGATTGCTGGAAGAAATATCAACAACCTCAGATATGCAGATGACACAACCTTGATGGCAGAAAGTGAGGAGGAATTAAAGAACCTTTTAATGAGGGTGAAAGAGGAGAGCGCAAAATATGGTCTGAAGCGCAACATCAAAAAAACGAAGATCATGGCCACTGGGCCCATCACCTCCTGGCAAATAGAAGGGGAAGAAATGGAGGCAGTGAGAGATTTTACTTTCTTGGGCTCCATGATCACTGCAGATGGTGACAGCCTGCTCCTTGGGAGAAAGGTGATGGCAAACCTAGACAGCGTCTTAAAAAGCAGAGACATCACCTTACCAACAAAGGTCCATATAGTTAAAGCCATGGTTTTCCCAGTAGTGATGTATGGAAGTGAGAGCTGGACCATCAAGAAGGCTGATCGCCGAAGAATTGATGCTTTTGAATTATGGTGCTGGAGGAGACTCTTGAGAGTCCCATGGACTGCAAGAAGATCAAACGTATCCATTCTTAAGGAAATCAGCCCTGAGTGCTCACTGGAAGGACAGATCGTGAAGCTGAGGTGCCAATACTTTGGCCATCTCATGAGAAGAGAAGACTCCCTGGAAAAGACCCTGATGCTGGGAAAGATTGAGGGCACAAGAAGAAGGGGACGACAGAGGACAAGATGGTTGGACAGTGTTCTCGAAGCTACAAACATGAGTCTGACCAAACTGCAGGAGGCAGTGGAAGACAGGAGTGCCTGGCGTGCTCTGGTCCATGGGGTCACGAAGAGTCAGACACGACTAAACGACTAAACAACAACAACAGTCTTGAATAGCAGGTCGAGTAGCATGTCTGCTGAGCAGATTTATGCTGACAGCTATAACCAGTCTACTGCGCCTTGCAATAAAACTGAGCCTTCCTAACACACTTCTGAACAATGTATTATCAGAGAACGTATCACCAGTATCATCATGTTTGAAACCTGTGACCATGGGTGTGTCTACAGCATTGGCATCACTCACGTTTAATTCATCAATCACATCTCTGATTTTGTGTGTCTGATGTACCAAAATATCACCTTGCTCATTTCTTTCTATTTCTAGAGAGAGATAATTGGTTACATCTCCAAGATTTTTCATATCAAAATGTTTCTGCAGTTTGGCAAGTGTGTTTTTGTACTCTGCTTCATTTTTCCATAAAAACAGAATATCATCAACCAAGCAAATGCAGTAAAGTTTGTGTTGGTTATTTTCTTTCACAAACACACAAGAGTCAGCTTTCCCTTGTTTAAAATCTAATGAGAACAGTACCTCTGTTAGTTTAGTGTGCCAGTATCGAGAGTCTGTTTCAAACAATACAGGGATTTTTTGAGTTTACAAACCATTCCCTCTTTAACCTGTACACCATCAGGTGGTAACATGTAAACTGCACCCCCCTTCCTCCACCCCTGTCCCCAGCCAAGGTCAGCAAATTGATTTATCCTTGTCTGAAGAGCAAAGACTCTTCTTTGGCAATGTTTGGACAATGTTTAAAACAAATACCTTTCAACAGTCCGGGTTAAGTATTAATGAAGCACTGTGCTCACATTGCAGTTTGCATAAATAGCAGATCATAAAGAATCAGAGGCTTTCTAACAGAAAGGAAGGTTCTGCACAACTGCTGTAAGTATCTGTCCTCTTTGGGTGTCCTCAAAACTGTCACTGTTTTGCGGGGGAAGTTCAAGCGCATACCAGAACCTTTTCAGGCTTGTGCAGTTAAAGTGGATAAAAGTGTTTTGTTGCCCTACCACAACAAATCCATTGCTTTGGAAAGCAATGGGTAAAAATGCACTTAAAAGTGTGGGGGTGAACAAATGATAAATTGGAAGAGGTGTATAAACAGTATAAGCAAATCAGGATGAGTGAAGGATAAAAGCTTATTGACATGCAGACCAGACATAGGGCAGTATCCAGCCAGTGTCCCATCAGTGCCTGGATCAACGTTTACACAGTGGAACTGTTGCTCAAGTTTAAATCTTTGCACTGACTGAACACGTTATTTAGATACTGTCCGTAGTCAATCTACCATGCAAGCAAATCAGGATGAATACAGAATAAGCAAACTCATCTGGATAAACCGGGGGATAGAGCAGTTAAATACTGCTTCGCAATGTATTTGAAAATACTGTGCCATATTTTCAAGTGAGTATCTTTAAATCTGCCTATTCTCCTGAAAAAAACTGTCTTTAAGTGACTTCTTGTTGTCCATTATCAGGGCCAATAAGAGTGATACTTAGGATTTTTATTTCTTGCACTACTCAGAATCATACATAAACTTACTTTAATGTCCTCGTCACTCAGGATGTTGGGTAATTGTGAAAGTTTCCCCAGATTTCCCTTCAAATTTTTGTGCTGATTGTTTATGTTTGTGCACATAAACCGGAGAAATGAAAGCATATTTTTTGTTTCCAAGTTTAAAAATGATTTCTTTGTACTCATGCATGAAAAGGGGAGTGAACATCATCTGGTGCAGAAAAGCATACACATTTCCAAGATTGGCATGTATTATAGAGTTTTTTAATGATTTAGAAGAAAGTAAACATGAGTATATTGAAAAGAGAATGTGATTGCATGGAAAGAGTATGGGGGAAGGGCCAGAGCAAAGGGCAGAACAAATCATAGCATCTTCAGGCAGCGCTAGGAATGCCCACTGCCTGAAACTCTGGAAAGCAGCTATCAATCAGTGCAGACAATACTGAACTAGACTGAACAATGGCCTGGCTCTGTTTAGGTAACTTCCTATGCTACTGTAAAGCATGGGAGTTAAATAATGCCGTTGGGAATGTACCAGCCCTCTCTGGCCAATGCCAGCTCTAAAACACTAAATGCAATTTAATGTTTATCACTGATAAGAAGTGACAGCCAGCAGTTTGGCACAGTGCTTACTCAGAAGAAGATCCAATGTAGAAATGACCTCCACCTTGCTGTTTTTAATTCACCTCACAAACTTGTGTTTAGCTTATAGCTACCCAGTGTAGTTTGAACTTCTTTTTCTAGCATTTGAAACCGAGACTCTAGATAGATGATGATGCTAGATAGATAGATGATAGATGATAGATAGATGATTGATAGATAGATGATAGATAGATAGATGCATCTTCAGTTAAAAGATATAGAACCCACCCTATTTTTCTGATTGTAAGTTGATTTTAATATTGTCTTAATATATAATAAATTTGTAAGACTGTGATCATGCTGCAGTTTAGGTAGCTGCTAATTGGCGGCTTTGACAATTCCAACATGATGGCAGAATGGCAGACAGGCAAGTGAGCAAGAAGCGGGCAGCCCAAGCGAGCTGTTTAAAGGTGCGTGGAAGGCATGTCAGATAGCGATTTGGCAAAACCACTCACCCTCTGTTAAACATCACGGCGTTTAAAGGAGGGTGGGAGCTCTCTGAAGTGTCTGCCAGGTTCCTTTTAATAGAGGTGAGGCTGGGGATAGTTGCTTGAGGTGAACTGTGAGGGAGGGTGGTTGGGGGAACTATAAGGGATAGGTGATGGGTGAAGTGTAAAGGAAGGGAATTGGTCAGGCGTAAAGGAAAGACTAGATATGGGGTGAGGCAGATTGTTAAAGAGACTAAGCATTCCCTTATATTTTGTAACCCAACCTGTGAATTTATGGTGAAGGGACAGTGAAAAAATGGGAATAATTATCATTTAGGTCAAATTGCCATCCTATTTTTAAATTGCTGCTTTTTTTCAAAATAGATGCAAATCATTACACATTCATTTTTAAGGCTACCTTGCACCTGCAATCTACATTGCTTCAATTCTAAAATAAAAGGTGAACATGTGCAAACTTTCACATTAAAATAATAAATGTATGAATTTTATGTTTAAATTGTGAATATTTAAACATAAATATTTAAAAATCCAAAGTGCTTTTAAAAAAAAGTTATATTGAATAAACTTTAAAAACAATAAATACATATAGTATTTTAAACTCTTAAAGTCATCAGGTCTGCAGTCCTGGTGACTGACTGACTGATATTTTCACAGCTAATTGGCTCACAAGAGCTTGCTTTTGGCTAACCTGCAATAATTGCATGCATGTCGCTTTAAATTACCCAAATCCTACGTGCAAAATGGCACAGTGGCACCAGGCATGTATCCCCAGACAATGCTATATTTGCACACCTGAGACTTTTCAAAGTCCAGGATGACTGTCATAATCATTTCCTGCAACAAATATTTGTTATTGTACTTGGGGATCAAAGTTTGAGTTTGATTGGGCTGTTTTTGGTTTCTTTATTTTATTTGGGTATGGGGGTTTTGCTTTTGTTTGAATTTCTAGATATTCTGATTAGTTTTTTTAGCTTAAGCTTCTTGCAAGGGAAATGTATTTCAATCCCTTCAAGTAACCAAAAATGAATTGCTTTGTGCGTACTCCAACAGGGGTAGTTTGCTAGTAGCGAAACTTTAAAGCAGCCCTCCACAACCTACTGCCCTCTAGATTTTTTTTGTACTACATCTCCCATCATTCCTAATCATTGGCCATGATGACTGGGGCTGCTGGAGTTGAAGTCCAAAAGACTTGGAGGACACCAGGCTGGTCGAAAAATCCATTGCTCCGAGTAGTGACATAGATACAAAAGTCATTGAGTGCACTTGTATCACTAGAGTTCTCATTTACTTTATTTATACACTCCATTGATGTGTCGGCTTTTTAACAAAGCACTCAAATGGTTTACAACCTAAGAGGATCAGTCACATTAATAGAGGATACGTTTATTAACAACCACAAGCCATGGTGGCTATGTTCTGCCTCCACTGTCAGGGATAACCTGTTTGTGAATAGCAGTTGCTGGAAATCACAAGTAGGGAGAGTGTTGTTGCAGTCAAGTCCTACTTCCCATAAGCACCTGGTTTCCCACCGTGAGAACAGGATGCTGGGCAAGATGGGGCTTTGGTTTGATTCAGCAGAGATCTTCTTATGTTCTCACTGGCCAATCGTGGACATTGTCACATCGTCCACATTTATGCCATGCCGTAGGCAGCTAGACCTGCAAAGCGGGGGTTGGCTCCATACCATGTGCACACTAACATACCCTCCAACATTTCTCTGAAGAAATAGGGATGTCCTATTCCATCATCAAGGGATGTGGGTGGTGCTGTGGGTTAAACCACAGAGCCTAGGACTTGCCGATCAGAAGGTCGGCGGTTCGAATCCCTGCGACGGGTAGAGCTCCCATTGCTCGGTCCCCGCTCCTGCCAACCTAGCAGTTCAAAAGCATGTCAAAGTGCAAGTAGATAAATAGGTACCGCTCCAGCGGGAAGGTAAACGGTGTTTCCGTGCACTGTTCTGGTCTGCTGGCCACATGACCCAGAAGCTGTACGCCGGCTCCCTCGGCCAATAAAGTGAGATGAGCGCCGCAACCCCAGAGTCATCTGCGACTGGACCTAATGGTCAGGGGTCCCTTAACCATTACCTTTATTCCATCATCATCATCATCATCATCATTTATACCCCACCCATCTGACTGGGTTACCCCAGTCACTCCAACATATATAAAAACATAATAAAACATTAAACATTTAAAAAAACCACTTCCCTATACAGGGCTGCCTTCAGATGTCTTCTAAAGGTTGTATAGTTACTTATCTCTTTGGCTTGGGGGTCACATAACTCCATGCCCACCAACATTTCTCCATGAAAGTAGGGATGTCCTAAGGAAAAGTGGGACATTCCAGGATCAAATCAGAAACCGGGAGGTGTTCTGTAAATCTGGGACTGTCCTTGGAAAATAGGGACACTTGGAGGGTCTGCACTAAAGCATAACCAACATGTGCAAATCTATATTGCAGATAGATGTGTGCATATTATGGCGTTGAGGTATGCATTGTGTTTGGAGTGGAGCCAGTAAAGTACATTCTTGACTGAAGTCTGACAACGCATTGTGAAATGCTTCTTCCATCTTCCTCTCATGTTGACCTTCAGGAGACGAGCTGACTCTGAATGGGAGCAAGAACTGTTTTGAGTTGTTGTTGCTGCTGTTGCTACTAACACATTTTGTGGCAAGTAAAAATCTCTCTCTCTCAATTCGCAGAAGAACTGACCGGAAGAATGCACTCTGCCATCTGTCTCTGTTTGATATTGGCCAGCCTCTCCAGTGGGCATCATCAGGGTCCTGATGAACAGAACAGCACACAGCTAACTGCTATATATCCAAATGTTGGCCGTTTTGCAATTAAATTTATTAGTCTGGCTTCTTCAGCCTCACCTGATGCAAATATTTTCTTCTCGCCCGTCAGTATTGCATCCGCCTTTTCCGTTCTTTCACTGGGGGCAAAATCTGCCACACGCACTCAGATCCTAGAAGGCCTTTGCTTTAACCTGACAGAAATTCCAGAGAAGGAGATCCACCGGGCACTCCATAATGACTTTTCCGTGCTCACTCGCTCAGATTCTGGGTACCAACTCGAGCTAGGAGATGCTCTTTTTTTAAGGGAGGGCCTGGAGGCATTACCAAACTTTCTGGATGACGTCAAGGCCTTTTACGCCGCAGAGGTGTTGCCCACGAAATTCCAGGAGCCAAAAGAAGCCGAGAAACAAATCAACGATTATATAGAGAAGAAAACCCATGGGAAAATTTCGGAGGTCGTCAAGGGTCTTGATCCAGATACCTCACTGGCTGTAGTGAACTACATATTCTTTAAAGGTACACTTTGGGGTGGGGGATAAATTCAACTCCGTTCAGATTTTAAGACAAACCTTCTAATTTGAATTTTCTGAAACCATGTGAAAGCTGAGACGCAGCAGTTCTTTGAAATTTGCACTTTGCTCAGAAGGGGCTCATGGGCTCAGAGTAAATCCCATCTCTAGGCAATCCAGTCAGATGGGCGAGGTAGAAATAATAAAATGACTATTATTTATTATTATTATCAGAGAGAATCCTTTGCCTGCGACTTGAGGCATGTATCTGTGGACAAAGGCATGGAGTGAGCCAATGATCCCCTTCCTTTAATCCCCCCAAATATTTAGTCCAGAAGCATCCCCTCATTTGCTGGGGAAAAATCTTTGAGGGACTTCTGTTTGTGTTCCCTTGGATGTGTGTAGTTCCCTCCATATGACCAGGAACACTGATAACGTCACACAAAGTGTCCTACTCTTGTTCAAGTGCGTTCAGTAGAAGCTGCCTACAAAACCTCCCTGCTCAACTGAAGGGGGGTGCAATTCATGTGAGGACCTAGAGGGTAGGGTTTGCATACATATCCCCAGCCTCTGACATCATTCACACTTTGAGTGATCGAGAGTCCAGGCAAACTTGAGTCTCACAGTGAAGCTGCCACCACATGTTATCTTCACCAGTAATAATAAAAAATAATTTTATTATTTATTTGCCACCCATCTGACTGGATTGCCCCAGCCACTCTGGGTGCCTGCCAACAAAATATTAAAACACGGAAAACCTCAAATTAAAAAAAACTCACCTATACAAGGCTGCCTTCAGATGTCTTCTAAAAGTCAGATAGATGTTTATTTCCTTGACATTGGATGGGAGGGTGTTCCACAGGGCGGGCACCCAGCTGTAACATGAACACATTCAACCTACATTTCAGCTATTCATTCTTTCACCCCTAGAGTCTCTTACTGTAATGTCTCCACCATTATCCTAATTGCAGCACAGAAGGCATTTTTGTTGCATGACCCACAGTGGCCAGGGTGGTAATGGTTAACTCTTCCCTTCCTAGCTACAACTCCCCAACCCCTGGCTGAAAAGAGCCCCCTGTGCCTTATTTGAGCTTGATGGAAATTGAAGCCAACCATATACTTTTTTCAGGCACCATTGTTGTACAGCAGTTTGGGGAGGGGGAGGTCCACAGCAGATGGGGAAAGTTAACCTTTTCTTCCCCAGCCGTGGCCTTCTTAAAAATGCTCCCATATTTAGGGTTTGGGGTGGGGATTCCTAAAGGATCCAGCAAGAGGTTTAACTTTTTATGCAGTGTAATTGAAGCACCGGGAGGAGGTGGTGAGGTGGTGGAGAGGGGTGCCCCAAGTGATGTCTGTGGGCTTGGATCCTACATTTGACCCCCTCGGCTAAACAATTAATTTCCTTTACTTTCTTATTGTGTAAAATGCACTGCTCTGGTGCAGCTTTGTTGCTGTCGTATTTGTTGGGGCATGTGCAAAGTGCCCACCCCAATGTCAGCAGGGTGTGCAAAAGACCAGAGAAACAGTAAGCACTTCTAAGAAGAATCAGTTGCTTTACTGACAATAATGCAGTTCCAGATACATACAGCAGATACTTTCCTCACAGCATACAGACCACACTCTGGCTGAGAGCAAACTTGCCTCCAAACACAGCAGCCTTTATATTGTAGTTTCTGCTGAGTCGTTCTCACATGGTTGCTGACTCATTCTCACGTGACGAACTAGCTGCAGATGCAGGAAAACACACCCCAGTTAAACAGCACACCAAAAGCAATCATATCTTGCCCTTTCCCCCCCCCCCCTGCATGCATAAACATATATCAACCATATTCAACCCTACATAGCAGTTCAGGAAGCTGAGCTGCAGTCTAGACTGCTGCAGCCCTGCGATGGGAAAACAAACGGTGCCTGTCTATGAACCTGCTGACATGTAGCAACAATCTCTGCCAGAAAAAACACACTAATATTGCAAATAAGATCAAATGTTGTGATTTGAATGAACTGTGTAATCTCTCCGTAATGTGGTGGTGGTCTCTACTTTTCTCTTAAGGTGCCTGGGAAAAACCTTTTGATCCAGCTCAGACAGAAGAAAGGGACTTCTTTGTGAACGAACACACAACTGTCAAAGTCCCGATGATGCACAGGCTGGGCTGGTTCTGGTATTACTATGATGCTGAATCGCATTGCCAAGTGCTACAAATGGACTACAAGGGGAGTGCCACCGCATTCTTTATTCTGCCAGATTCCGGAAAACTCAAGCAGGTAGAGGAGGCTTTCTCATTAGATACTTGGACCAAATGGGCAGTAAACCTCCACCGGTAAGTTTTGTGTTGCTTCTTTAATGTTTCCATTAGATATATTTGTAACCAATCAGCAACTTAGGGCAAAGCTACACTGGTCGGTTATAACGTTAAAATGCATTATAAAAATGTGACACCAGAGGGTGCTGTAGAGCAGCTATCCGTCGGCAATGGGAAATTGTATTAAGAGCTATATTGTGGGGGATTTTTTACAGCGTTTTTAAAGATCAGTGTAGATCCAGCCTTACTGTCTTCGATTACCATACCACTTACAAGGTAAAGGACTAGATGTGGACCATATAATATAGGAAAGCCTTTCTGAATGTTAGGACTACTCTTACTTTGCCATGGCAAACTTATCTAGTTGTAAGACTACTCCTAGCCGTAGCTGTAGGATAACCAGCCTCATATAACCAAAACATGAAGGTGTTAATGCCACAGAGTAAGCTGCCCTGAGACAAATGACTGGATGCTTCCCCCATGTCACATACAGAAGCTGACTTGACTGGCCATTCGAATCATACTTTAACATCGGTAGTAGCCAGAATCGTCTGCTGCACCTGAGTGCACAGTTCTGTCCATACACAGCTCTGTGGGTTGCGGGTAGCACTGTGGTCTAAACCACTGAGCCTCTTGGGCTTGCCAATCAGAAGGTCGGCAGTTTGAATCCCTGCAACAGGGTGAGTTCCCATTGCTCTATCCCAGCTCCTGCCAACCTAGCAGTTCTAAAGCATACCAGTGCAAGTAGATAAATAGGCAGCACTGCGACGGAAAGGTAAATGGTGTTTCTGTACGCTCTGGTTTCCATCACGGTGTTCCGTTGCACCAGAAGCGGTTTAGTCATGCTGGCCACATGACCCGGAAATCTGTCTGTGGACAAACGCCGGCTCCCTCAACCTGAAGCAAGATGAGCACCACACCCCATAGTCACCTAAACCGTCCAGGGGTCCTTTACCTTTACCTACAGTTGTGTCCATCAACATCTTGTTGTCACTCCCTAATTTCTGCCACCTGAGACAGCTGCCTCACTCTGCCTAATGCTATGGTTGGCCTTGTTCTGAGATAACGTACATGGAGCTCCTTAAACCTGAAATGTGCTCTGTAAATGCAAAGTATAATGGATGGAATATTCTTTCATGGTGCAACAAAGGGAAATATTGCAGCTCCATTCACAGGCTGTGGAACTGGGTGCCATTTTGCTGAGTACCTTTATACTGAATGGGGTGCCATGCCACAACATTTTGCACCGGCTGAAGCCTTTGAAAAGTTCTCAAGGGCAGCCCTACATAAAGTTTGTTGCTGTAACACAGCATTCAGCAACCTGGTGCACACAGGATGATTTAGGCTACGGCTCCCATCAACCCCAGCCAGCAGGCCTGCGCTAACTAGGGCTTATAGGAACCGTAATCCAAAATACATGGTATGTACCAGGATGGTGATGGTTGCCATAGTTGGACAAGGCCCCAAGCACATTGAGTCTCAATGAGAATATGTTTCTATCATATCCACTCGGGAGCCGTGAGTTGCCCTTTTAGATGTCAGCCATTTGAGCAAATAATTGAAGTAATTTCTTGTATCTTTCTGTTCCTGAAGTGCTACAGCATCTGTGTTCCTTCCAAAGTTTAATATTTCTGCCAGCTATGAACTAAAGGAGACCCTCAGCAAAATGGGCATTACTGATGTCTTCAGTGATCAAGCTGATCTGACAGGAATCACTGGGCAGCCTTTGAAGGTGAAAAAAGTAAGTTGAAAAGAAAAATTTCCATTAGTCACATGACTTCATTTTTAAATTTTATTTTTTTTGTGTGCAAAGGATCCTGTTTTATTTGGGCAAATTGAATTAATTGTGCTCCATCTCTTTAAATTATCCTTATTCTTATTAATTAAATTTGTATACCGCTGTTCAAACATAAAAATGCAAAATGAGAACACAAAATACATAATAAAATGAAAACAAAGCAATAAATCCCCCCTGACAAACACATTTAAAAGGGGTATACGATTTTAATCATCCAAAGGCCTAGTTTAAGAGGAATATTTTCACCTGGCACCTAAAGATATATAAGGAAGGCACCAGGCAAGCCTCGCTAGTAGGTGCTGGTAGGGATGGTAAGCAAAGACTCCCTTTTACAAATCTTAAGGACCATATTGCCTAATAATACGAGTTGCGACACACCACAGAATTAAGGAGATGAGGACCAGAGAAAGTGGACATATCAAAGAGGAAGGAGCTATACAACCTGCTCGTATGAATGGGAAATGAAATTGAGCACAACTACGATAAATAAAACAAAAGTTACATTTAGCAGGATTAAAATTTAGCCATAATGTAGGTAGGCTCAGAGCACGTGGCAGAAGTGTTGGATACTACAGTCATACCTTGGGTTGAAGTAGCTTCGGGATAAGTATTTTCGGGTTGCGCGCTGCAGCGACCCGGAAGTAACAGAACACGTTACTTCCGGGTTTCGCCGCTCGCGAATGCGCAGACGGTCAAAATGACGTCACGCGCATGCGCAGAAGTGGCAAATCATGACCCGCGCACATGCAGATGCACGGACACTGGTTGCGTTCGCTTCTGGATGCGAATGGGGCTCCGGAACGGATCCCGTTCACATCCAGAGGTAACACTGTACTGGGGTCTTGGCAGACTAAGTAATGAAGCCAGGCCTTGTCCACCCTGTTCTTTTTTTATTTGAAGACATGTATTTGAAATAGGACTGTGCCATATGCTGGCTGACTATGATATTCTCTCCAGCGTTAGCCTCCTCAGTGCCAACAAAGCTCACGTTTCTGAACATTAGGGTTTGCCCAAGAGTTCTGATACCCTTTTGGGTCCTTGGCTGCTGAGGGTCTAATTTGCCCTCACAGGCATTTATTGTGATTGGTTGCACCAACCCATGTGTTTTTGTGATGTCACCTCAGCAAAGTTACTCATTGACAGAAAGGCAAATCACATAGATGGCCAGAGGTAAGCGGCAGTGAAGACAAAGGCCTTTCAAAAAAAGCATTTCCTTCACAAATGAAATCCTTTTCTCCTCTCCAAACTCTGATGTCTTTCTTTGTTCTTCCTCAGGCTACCCATAAGGCTGTGCTCACCATGGATGAGAAAGGGTCAGAGGCAGCAGCAGTCACTGTTGTAGAAGCCATACCTATGTCTATGCCTCCAACCTTAGAATTCAACATGCCCTTTTTTGTGCTGATGTATGAAAAACAGACCAACTACACATTATTTGTTGGCAAAATAGTAAATCCCCTTCAGCCCTAAGTGTCAGTGAATTCTGAATGAAGCTTTGGAATAAAGCATCTTGGCAACCCAAAGTTAATCTGCAGTCCTTCTCTTTTTCAAACCAGAGGCAGTGCAGAATGATGTGGGAATGAAAAGGAGTCTCCAAATACTTGTTTTCTGACTATTTTCCATGCTCCCTTCAGAGCATAAGCAGTAGGTGTCCTGGTATTGTTTTTTGCAACAAACCAGAGGTCAAATCAAACATTACAGCCCCCACAGGAGAACCATGAAGAAGACTGTAGTGTTTCCTGTGATTTTTCAGCTGATCAGATACAATCTACACTTCCTACATGAATTGCCATACGTCCAGATTTTCCTGGACATTTCAGCCCAGATACTGTTTCCGATGGCAGAATCCCAGCTCTGTCTGGGAAATTCCGGGTGTATGGCAGTCCTACAGGTGGTTATTGTTGTTGTTGTTATTGTTTACATTTATAGCCCATCCTTCCTCCCAGAGGAGCACAGGACAACAAACACACAAACAGTAAAGCATATGAAAGCAATTGCAGTAAAGAAGTAGGCTATGAAATATGTCTAGTTGAAAGGCTTGTTGGAAGAAGGTCTTCAGTAGGTGCCAGAAAAAAGATGGAGTTGTCATTTGTCTAATGTTTAAGGGGAGAGAACTCGCAAGAGTAGGTGCAGAATGAACCTCCAAATTAAGATAGGATCTGCAGGAGGCCCTCACCTGCAGTAACTGATTGGGTACATAATGGGTGGGACTATTTTTTTCAGGTTACAACTCCTATCATCCCCAATTGTTGGCCATTACGGTTGAGGCTGATGGGAGTTGGCTGGTGTGCAACCACATCTCAAGGGACTCAGATTCCCGCAACCTGACATGGATCATCTTCATGACACTAATTCACAGAAGTAGTTTTCAGAGGTGCTCAGATTTGGGGCGGGGAGAGGGAATAATATTTGAAGGCTTAATTTTTTGAGAGGAGCCCTGCTGGGTTAGAGTCAGTTCTCACAGTGGCCAAATGATGAGACACACACAGAAATGCAGCTGGAACATGAGACCCAGCAAGTGGCATTCTAGAAGCCTTGGATAGCCTCATCTGCACGAATAATAGCACCATAAGCACAAATCATCATGACTGCAGAATAAAAAGGAGATCAAGAGAGGCCCCAAGGATCTGTTACAACGAATTATCAACAGTCACCCAAACTGTAATCTTTATTGGTTTTTGAGTGCTTGCTTCTCTCCTTTTTTATGTGTAGTATAAATGTCCCCTAGAAGGTTTCTGGTCTGAACCATTTAAATGCCCCCTTTTATTTCTCTGGCAGCTGTTTCTTCTCAGCCCCATTGCTGATCTTCTTGGCCATCCCTGTCTTTGGCCTCATTTATCTTCACTACTGTTCAGCGGTTGCTCGTGTTTAATTGTTCCCCATGGCATCATCGCATCAGATTTTGATGACAAAATCACATACTGTGGCGATCACACAGGGTCCCTGGACGTTTCACCGTCTATTGATCCACTTTATTTCTCGCTGCCACCACCCTGGTATAGTACACTACCTGGTAAAATACTGAGTCTGTTTATTTATTTCAGTTTAACAAGTGTGTGGTTTCATAAACGGTCTCAGTCAACTACAATCATGGGCTGCCAATCCAGACCTATAACTTCCGCTACCTGCTCTCACTCACTAAACCACCTCTCAGATATTTACTTGTCTTCCTAACCCCTAACTGTTCCTGACTCAGCTTATTTTGCTACACTAACTCAACCTACCCACAGACTCTATCCCAATTCACTCCCACTCCAACCAACCACCCAACTCCCAAAGAACTCCCTCCTTCGCCCCTCCCAGAGCTGGTTTTATAGTCCCACTGACTCCACCCCCTGGGTTCTGATTGGGTAACTTGTTTAACTATTTCACCTCCAGCACTCTCATATGCTAACGTCATATGGGGGTTGGACTCGATGGCCCTTGTGGTCTCTTCCAACTCTATGATTCTATGATTCACACATACATAGTTCTCTCTTCAGTCAATCAGATTCAATGGTTGTCGGAGGGCACAAAGGAGAGCATAGGAAGGGCCCTGCTAGATCAGACCTAAAACCCATCTCAATCAGATGCCCATGGGAAGTCCACAAGCAGGACTTTCTGCAACAGTGCCCTGCCCAAGTGTGGTTCCCAGCCACTGGCATTCAGATGCCTCCAGTGGTGGATGTTCTCCATGATTTTGCTTATCATTATTATTTTTAAAAGTCATCTAAATTGGAACAAAGGAGTCCAGAAACAGTAACAAGAACATGAAAGCAACCGGGAGAGTAAAAGGGGGGGGGGCTTGAGCAGTATGCACAATGAATATTAGCATACTTGTTTAAAAGATGATGATGATGATGATGTTTTTAGATTCATGAAAAACAAACAGGAAAGTAGATGATTGCACTGGTGGAAAAAAAAAGTGACGGAAGTCACCCACGCCTAAGTCCTGCTGTATCCAAAAGAAGTCAAATCTGCCTCACCTTCATTAGGTTTACTTTTGACTCAGATAATATACTTCTTAAGCAATTTTGTACCATAGTGCCAAGCCAGGAGCACAGCATCCTGTAAGCACATTGCCAAATCCGTCACTGGTGTGGAATAAATCATACTCACATGGAGCCAGCTCTTAAAACTATACTCCAGTTTCCAGGGACAGGATTGCTTCAATGGCAGGTGCAGGTTGGACAGATAAATCATAGCAGTATTCGTCTCCCAAGCTTGGCTTCCTACCAATGACACCTACAGAGACTACACATATGCTACCTTGACTGTCAGTTCCTTTGCATGCTGGCATCCATCTGTTTGAGAAGGATTATGCAAGAATAGCTACACTATACTTGCATCTACAATGTTTGAAAAACCCCTTCGTTCCTTCTCATGTTCACATGGCTTCATTGGCAGCTGAGCTCCTGGGCTAGTCAGTTTGATCGATTCGATTGATTTAGATGCCCCCTTTCCACAGTGAGCAGTGCCTAAAGTGGTTGTAAACCACTTCTTATCAAAATGCAAAACAGTGAGGCATGGAGTCTAGGGAGAAGAAGGAAGTTTACAAAGCATGCCTGTAAATTCAAATAAGATCAGAAATCAGAAGTTTATAGTACACAGAACAAATTCAAAACTAGAAAAGATATAAATACATAAAAGCAAAGCAGAAAAGAAAGTTATCAGACACTGTTTTTAACACTTGATTGGGAGCCACCCAGAGTGGCTGGGGAAACTCAGCCAGATGGGCGGGGTATAAATAAATTATTATTATTATTATTATTATTATTATTATTATTATTATTATTCAGTTCCAACTGCTGGTGCAGCACTTCAGGCACTTCAGCAACTTGTTTTAAATACAGTTGAGTGAGAGAAGGATCTTCTCAGCAGGCTAGAAGCTGCCTTCCTCAACCCTCCTCCGGAGGAGACCGACAGCAGCAAAAGGGAAACGTTGGGGAGGGCAATGACTAGAGACACAGTGGTGTGTCTTGCTCGTTTCTCGACCCAAAGCTATGACTTGGAGGCCTCCCTGGAAACCCAATGAGGAAGCAGGATCTGCAGGAGTGTTAATGCTGTGAGGCCCTCCACCCTATGCTCGGGTTGTACATGTGTGTAAATAAAACCGCATGTCCTAAAAGCACCACAAACTGCATTAACCTTCATTCCAAGGAAACCGAACCCAGGTCAGCACTGGAACTCCTGCAGTCTCTTGCTGGCCAGAGATGGGGGTTGCACATCACCTTATGTTCTCTGGGCAGCTTGCAAACATTCTGTTTGCAGCACTGGCTGAGAGAGAGAGGAAAGAGTGGCTATGTTTGGAAGAGAGAAGGGAAAGAGTCAGGAAGCTCTTTCTCGTCCCTCCCATCCTGCTAAATTCCAGAAACAGAGCCAAAGGACCATTGATCCTCCTGATTGGCTGGCTTGCACTCCAGAAAACATTTTCTGGTTTCTCTTCAGATTGTATCAATCTTTCGCCTTTTACAGAAAACATTTTTGGAGAACCTTGAAATCCAGTGGAATCCAGTACAGGCAAAGTTTGTTTCTCTCCCTGATTTTCCTTGCTTTTAATGCTGCAATAGCGAGAGCTACCAGGGAGTATAAATGAGCAACTGACACAACACTTGTGCTTTCTCTGCCAAAAGTCACAATGTCCATTCCAATTAGTTTGTGTGTGTGTGTTTTCAGTTTTTTCCCCTCTCGCTGCTCCTGTGTCCTCCTCAGCCCCCACCACCTGGGATGAGCAAATGTCTCTCTCGTGTTCGTTCTTTGCGTTTCCTATCTGTACCAGCCATTCTTTGCAGCCTCCCACTCTAACGCCCACACGGCAACGATTCCTTTCCCAGTACACAACCATTTGTACAGAAGGTGGACTCTGCTCTGCAATCTCTGCTCTTGCACAGCCTATACTAGTTCATTACACGCCTCCATTTGATACCAGCATGGGCTTGTTCAGGAACAGGTCCCATGGAAGCTGAGGCAGCCTCTCACCTTTGCCTCCACCAACATTTAGACACATAGCATGATGCTGGCAAACAGCACTAGCTCCAGTTTCACTGGTAAGGACACCCCTTAGTCCTAATCCCAGCAACTGCTGTCAGGCCCCCAACTGCAGGTTTTATCTAGATATGGGTTAGGGCTGGGCGGTATCTGGCTTTCAACATCGTGACAGATCTCCAGCTAAACATTGTGATATAAAGGTAAGAGAGGGTAAAGGACCCCTGGACAGTTAAGTCCAGTCAAAGGGGACTATGGGGTTGCAGCGCTCATCTCGCTTTCAGGCCGAGGGAGTTGGTGTTTGTCCACAGACAACTTTCCAGGTCATGTGGCCAGCATGACTAAACCGCTTCTAGTGCAACAGAACACCATGACGGAAGCCAGTGTGCACAGAAATGCCGTTTACCTTCCCGTCGCAGCAGTACCCATTTATCTACTTGCACTGGCGTGCTTTCAAACTGCTAGGTTGGCAGGAGCTGGGACAGAGCAACGGGAGCTCACCCTGTTGCGGGGATTCGAACCGCCAACCATTTGATCGGCAAGTCCAAGAGGCTCAGTGGTTTAGACCGATAGATCACAATGTCTGAAATAAGGAAGGAACTACAGTGGTGCCTCGCAAGACGAAAAGAATCCGTTCCGCGAGTCTCTTCGTCTTGCGGGTTTTTTCGTCTTGCGAAGCAAGCCCATTAGAGGTTTAGCGGCTTAGCGCTACAGTATTAGCGGCTTAGCCGGCTTAAAGATCAGCTGATAAGCGGCTTAACGATCAGCTGATAAGCAGCTTAAAGATCAGCTGATAAGCGGCTTAACGATCAGCTGATAAGCGGCTTAGCATCAGCTGTTAAGCGGCTTAAAGATCAGCTGATAAGCGGCTTAGCCATCAGCTGATAAGCGGTTTAGCGGCTTGGGAAAAAGGGGGGGGAAAGGAAAAAAATCCCGCAGGAACTCGCAAGACATTTTCGTCTTGCGAAGCAAGCAGATAGGAAATTCGTTTTGCGAAGCACCTCCAAAACGGAAAACCCTTTCGTCTAGCGGGTTTTCCGTCTTGCGGGGCACCACTGTATGCAGAGGCAAACAGTAGGGCTCATGTCAGGATGCTGCCAGTGGCTCCTGGCTGGTTGCCCAGGAAAGAATAAAGACAAGAAAAGGTTTCTTACCATCCTTTTTCATTTCAATATTTACAGAGAGAGGCTATAGAACCCAGCCTCTTGGATAATGGGGTTGTCCTGAGTGAATCTCCACCCCCGTCTCTCCCACTTCCTCATTCGGGTGCTGCTATGTGCCCTCTGCCTTTGAGCTCCTTGTTCTCCTACTTTTAAGGCTCGCCGGGTTCTGGGAGCTGGAGGGTATGGGATGCTTTCTAATGACACCATGTCAGCCAGCTGCCTCTCTGCTTCTGCCCCCTCCTCCTCATTTCCCATTATATATTACAATGTCTGAAATAAGAATGGAGCTATGTAGAGGCATCGGCCGACCCTTTTCCCCACATCATGATTTTTGCATAGCGCGCTCACACACAGACCACGATTTGATTCACAATATATTGTCAGGTCAAAAATTATGAAACCGATATCACAGTATGGACTTCAAACCAGTTTGGGATGATATATCAATATATCACCCAGCCCTAATGTGGACTTATCCACTAGCTGTGTCTGGGAAACAACTGACCATTTTGACTGCCCACAATACCTCAGAGCAACATGATTTTCCCAAGATTCCAGGGCTGCATTCCAATTCCCACTTACTGTTGAGATGGGAGGAACCACAAGGATCATCTAGTCCAACCCTCTGCAACACAGGAACCTTTTTTGCCCAACGTGGGGCTCGAACCCACGACTCTGAGATTAAGTGTCTCGTGCTCTACCGACTGAGCTATCCCAGGGGTATGTAAGCCCCTCTGAGCTCAGCACAACTTGCTTCTTTGTCAACACATAAAGGGACTGGTAAATATATTAAGGCATGACTAAAATGTAAAAGAACTTATCTTTTACATTAGTGAAAATTGCAGGGGGGCATCAAACGAATGCTATGAAAACTGCCGAAGTACTAATTTTAGCACTGCCAAAGATTACTGCATAGATATTTCCTAGAGTGAGGAAGTTGAAGAAGTCACCTTAGCTTGCTCCCAGCTAGACTGCCCTTCTTCTTTTTGGCAGCTGGGCTATGTGCTGGGGTGGAAATTTCAAACAGAAATTTCAGAGCATAATAGATGAGGCTGGTTTTACAGGATTTCCTGCACCAGGCATTTGTTCTTCCCTTAACGCAAGTCAGTTGGAGCCTCTCGGATGCTATATCTGTGTTTTAGTGAGTGAGGCCATCACCCCCACACTGCAATCCTGTAACTCAGTCGCTAAGTATTTTGCAACTCAAGGAAGATGGCTGAGTGGGCTCACAACATTTCACCATTGTTTGTTCTACTTTATCTCATTGGTAAATCATCTAGCTAGCCTTGAAGAGAGCTGCTTTACCTCAGAAGGAAGACATTTTAGGTGCATGAAGGCACATGCATATATTCATAAAATGATTTGTGGTAATTTTTTGAAGTTTTTTTTGAGCGGGGGGTTATCAGGGTGCTTGGACCAGTTGGGCCTATGCTCTGATCCAGCAAGGCACTTCTTAGGTTCTTCATAGCCCTCCACTGCTGTGGCTTCTCAGCAACTGGTATTCAGTGATATATCGCCTCTGAAAATGGAGGTTCCTTAAAGCCATTGTTTTATTTACTACAATTATAAAATTATACAATTATACTTGATTATAAAAAGAAAAAAAACTCAAAGCTGTTTACAAAGAGCCACGTGATTTAAGTCATCTAAGCTTTTCTTCTCATAGACTCAATTTTTTTACATTTCTGCTGCACTATAATTGCTGTGTGGCTCCATCCTATGCCACTCCAACAAAGTAAGATCTGTATATACATTAATACTTGGGAGCGCAGAAGCACCATCTGTTTCCAGCCATAGAAAGGGATGTAATCAAACTGGTTCCACCACTTCTTCCTTCCGATCGAAAAGGACTGCCATGACATCTAGTGGCGCCAGCTGGATCTGAACAAAAGCCGACTGCGTTTCTCTTCCAATAACTGAAAGGATGCTAAGGAGCTAAGTCTTAACATTAGATGATGATGATGATGATTGATTTATACGCTTCCCATCTGGCTGGGTTTCCCCAGCCACTCTGGGTGGCTTCCAACAAAATATTTAAAATATGATAAAACATCAAACATTAAAAACTTCCCTAAACAGGGCTGTCTTCAGATGTCTTCTAAAAGTCAGATAGTTGTTTATTTCCTTGACATCGGATGGGAGGGTGTTCCACAGGGTGGGCGCCACTACTGAGAAGGTTCTCTCTAACTTCGCTTTTCACAGTGAGGGAACCGCCAGAAGGCCCTCAGCACTGGACCTCGGTGTCTGGGCTGAACGATGGGGGTGGAGACGCTCCTTCAGATATACTGGGCTGAAGCCATTTAGGGCTTTAAAGGTCAGCACCAACACTTTGAATTGTGCTAGGAAACGTTCTGGGAGCCAATGTAGGTCTTTCAGGACCGGTGTTACTTGGCAGCCACTCCCAGTCACCAGTCTACCTGCCACATTCTGGATTAGTTGTAGTTTCCAGGTCACTTTCAAAGGTAGCCCCACGTAGAGTACATTGCAGTAGTCCAATCAGGAGATAACTAGAGCATGCACCACTCTGGCGAGACAGTCCACAGGCAGACTATAATGAGGCGAAGTCCATTATAGGGTTGTTTTGTGGCAAACTCCTGAGGATTATGATTTCTGCATTTTGTACTTGGTGGGGTCATCTTCTTCCTGGTCACAACTTAAATCATCATTCTGTGTCTGAACCATCCTGAATATTCAGTGGCATCCTTAGCATGTGCTATGATGTGTGAGGTTCTCACCTGTAGTGAAGGAATGGCAAAAGTCCATCCCACCATACAGATTACAAGAACCTCTAAATGGCATCTTTATTTTTTGCAACTGCAAATTTTGTTTGTTTGTTTGTTTGTTTGTTTGTTTTGCCATCACTGAGTAGGGTTTTCTATTGTCTTTCCCAAATATTTTAAAGAGCTTGTGAACTACGTATTGACTGATGGAACCACCCCACATTTTTATGCTCCCATCAGATACTAATCTGGGACATAATCCAGTCAGGCACATTTGCCCTCTGCTGCAACTTTTGCAATGTGCAATAAAAATTCTTTTTTCGAGTTCACCACACGTTGAAGGAACAGAACACAATTATCGGATGACAAATGTTCTGTCAAGGGCCATTGCACCATTTTCTGGAATTTGTTTAATAAGGAGGTCTTTACTTTTGGATAGAATATCATGAAGGCAAATTGGCCAGAAATACTAGCAGTCCTAGCAAGAGTGCATGAAATTATTCCCAAAGACTATGACAAGATTTCTCCTACTTTGGCCTAATGCAAAAAGTCTTGTGCAGCATTTCTTGTTGCTCTAAACGAATTACGTCTTTGTTAGTAATTTCCACACATTCTCTCTCATTCTGTTTTCACCTGTTTATTGTTCATTTTGCAAGATTTGCAGGTTCTGGGAAATGGTGCAATAATGTTTGATGGATGGCTGCCATCCAAGAATTATGTGGTCTTCGTCCAAATGCTTCTGAAGATGCTTCTATCCCTAGCAGATTATATAAGGCTTTCAAAAAATTGTTTTGTCCAGCTCATTTTAGTAAAGTTCAATATTGCACAGCAGTGGCCTGTGTATTTGAATGCATGCTTTTAAAAGAAACTGCAGGGTACAATTGAACTCAGTGCAATTTTAGTAACCGTGGAACTTCAGTTTCCCTAGAAACTGAGTAAGCCTAGAAACGAGGCATAAATCAAGCCATTTAAAATGGCATATCCAGCTGTTTTCAAAAGATACATATTTTTAAAAATGAAATGGTGTTTAATCTTAAAGCTTATTGCCGCCAGCTTTTGAGTATGAGCCCCCCTCCCTCTTGTAAAAGGCTGCAGCCGATGTACTCTAATGCCTATTGTTAATCTTGTAACTGGTTTCAAGGCCTAACTTTTCTAAAGACTCCAGTTCGATTTTATCATCCTGGTCCCGCCACACAGAGGCTGTTCAGATGATGGTGATGAAGAAGTTTAGTGGAGAAGGCACCTGCTGAATCTCTATTGGCAGAACGGGCCAATAACACAGAAGGCTCGGTTTTGTGTTGATGTCAAATGAGCCTCACCAATTTGGGGCAACCAGCAATGCTCCTACAGATAATCTCAGTGGTCAAGCTGGGATTCAAGGGTTCAGGTGGTCCCCAAGGTAGCTTGGACCCAGTGGGGAGTAAGGAAAGGTAAGCTCAGTGCTACTGAGATAGGCACACTAGTCTGCTCTTTCTCTCTGGGCTCCGGCTGAGGAAGGTCCCCATTACAGTGATTATGGGTGATGCAACTTAGGTCACACGCTACTTCATTGGTGATCTTAAAGAAGACCATTGCCAGCACATAGGTCTGATGCTTAGATGCCTGGATTGGCTTCCCTTTTGCTACAGGGTCATTTCAAGGTTCTTATGAAGCCCTTAACAACATGGTTCCAGGACCACCTGGTTCTTTATATCCTGGCCCAACCACTGAGATCTTTGGGGGAGTCTCCTTTGACGGTCCCCCATGGCTCATAACTACTAGAAGGCATGGATGCATTGTAGTGGGCCCAAGCCTGTGAGATTAGATCTTGCTGTTCCTGACTTTCTTGCTCCCACAGCATTTTAAGATAGTTTTCAGTTTTATGATAAACGTTTAAAATGCCTAATAATAATAATAATTTACGATAAGCATTTCAAAATGCCTAGTAATAACAATAATAATACCCCAAGATTGTTTGTGGAAGGGAAGCCAGCTGAGGGAAAAGTGTTCTTTCAAAGCTCTGAGGTGCATGTCCTTGAGAACCAGTGTTTAATACCCACCAAAACTACGCTGTTCTTCCAAGTATGTGGACAGGAAACCGACTTTGGTGTTGCCTTTCAGAAGTGTTTATGTTAAACTTCTTGAAAGCCCTTTCATGCTGTTGTTCTTTTAACTCCACATGCCGCTTACTGGAACCTGCCTGGCATTGCAGCACTTAGTCCTTCTCTGGAAGTCATATGTCCTGTTTGTCCTTTAGTTAATTTGCAACAGACAAAAGTATGAAGCTACACTTTGGAACGGCAAATATTTACCTCAGGATCTCACTCATTTGGAATAATAACATTGCAACTTGATTTGCACGGGAGTCAGAAAAGTAAGAGAGAAGCTGTCCCGTTGGTAAGATTTGCAAAACTAAATTCATTTTAAAAGGATATAATGGAAGGGAGGTCAATTGAAAGTGGTCACTAGTTAATTCACTGCTGTATTTTAAACACTGAGGGTTTGTGTGTGTTTTCCGGCAGTTCAAAATGTATCTCCTACTTTTGAATGCCTTACTACACTTAAGGGGCAATGTGAATAGCTCCACAGGGATTCTCCTCTGTATTTTTGAACTTTTTTGTTGTTCCAAAAGTAATCCCTATAAGAAGATGCATCTGCAGTGGTGGCATTTCATTGGTAAATCCTTAAAATGTTTGGGATTAATGCCTTACATTACAAGCAACTATGGAACTGCACCATTTGCTTGGAATAGCTGTACCAAAAATAGGAAGCTGCTATATACCAGGTTAGGCAATTTGTCCACCTAGCCCAGTACTGTCTACTTTGGCAGCAGCTCTCCAGGGTCTCAGGCGATGCTTTCTTAATGCTTGCCATGTGACTCTTAAAAAAATTCTCAGACTGCTATCCCTAAGCCTGTGTCATTTACATTCAAGCTAAGCAATATTTAAAACCAAGCTCTTTTCTTATTCTGCATTCACACATCTCCTTCTTCCTCTGGGAGCCTTGAAGGAGGGAGACCCTGCTTTCTAACCCACATTATTTTGAATGTGACTCTAAAACAGTTTGTGTATATTCCAAAGCCCACTCCTAGAACACCCCATTTTTAATTTTTCATCTAATCAGAATGTCATTGTTATACCTATTTGGGAATGACACTGCAGGGGTCTTTCCATTCGCATTCACATTGTTCAGCCTCAAACTAAGATTTAAAAACTTAGTCACTAAGTATTTAAGAGGAGAATTAAACTTGGCAAGTGGCTTGGGTGGCTGCAAGGATAAAATGGGGAGCGGGGAGCCTATTTAATCTTAGGCTGTGTACATACCATACACAGTTTGTTAAATGTGCTGGGAATTGTAGCTCTGTGGTGGGTAAACTACAGTTCCCAGGATTCTTGGGTTGGGAATGTGCTGTAAATTTATAATGTGAATGCTGCCTTAGAGGAGCCTTTTCCGAATTTGGATGCCTCCAACTTCCATCATTCCCAGTTAGCATGGCCAATGGGCAAGGCTGGTGGGAGCTGGAGTCCACCAATATCTGGGAACCCCAGGTTAAGGAAGCCAATCTTGGAGAAAAGATTAGATATGAGTATGATGCATGGGATAAATATACCCTCCAACATTTCTCTGATGAAAATAGGGATGTCCTATTCAGTTGTTGTTGTTGTTGTTGTTGTTGTTGTTATACCCTGCCCATCTGACTGAACTGACCCAGGCACTTTGAGCAGTTTCCAATGTACGTATATAAAAACATAATAAAACATTAAACATTCCAAACCTCACTCTACAGGACAGCCTTCAGATGTCTTCTAAAGATTATATACATTAGTTATTAATCTCCTTGGCTCAGGCATTGCATAACTCCATACCCTCCAATGTTTCTCTGATGAAAATAGGGGTGTCCTAAGGAAAAGCGGGACATTCTGGGATCAAAAATTCTGGGACTGCAAAAATAAAGCATCTTCATCCATTTCTCTAACCTATTTTCACTTTATTCACCAGAAAGAAGTTCATTGCTGTACTCCAACATGAAATCTGCCTTTTTTCTTGTCTTACTTGAACTGTGGGCTGGCATGTGCTTATCAAATGAAACAGCTGGTGCTTCAGGGGTGGAGACAGAGCAGAGTATCATCCTGAACCTCTGGCCTTTCAATGACACTGATAAACTATCCCTATATAATACTGTGCCAGATCCGTCTGGGGAAGAGTTTGTGCCGGAGTCCTCCATGCGCAACTTCACAGAAAAGAACACCAATTTTGGATTCAATCTCTACAGAAAAATAGCACTGAAGCATGACAACAATGTGTTCTTTTCCCCAGTGTCCTTGTCCTTCGCTTTGGCAGCCTTCTTGCTGGCTTCTGAAGGGAAGACACACCACCAAATGCTTGAGGCTCTAAACCTCCACCTTCTGGATGACAAAGAGAACCGGCTGCCATCTTTGTTCCAGCAGCTAAGTGTCAGCCTCGCCAAGAACAAGGAGTTCACTCTTTTGCAGGACAGCTTCTCTTTCGTCCAGAAAGGCTTCCAGATCAAGGACGTCTTCCGCAACTTGTCCAAGCGATACTTCGATATGGAGTTTCTGACGGTTGATTTCCGCAACTCTACTCATGCCAAGAACTCCATCAACCAACATGTGAAACAAAAGACTAGAGGGAAAATCCCTAGCTTGTTCGATGAAGTCGATCACCAGGCTAGAATCATCCTGGTGAACTGCATTCTCTTTAAAGGTAATGATTATTGTGATCATAGATATCTTTGCTGTTTTTTGTTTCGTTTCTTAAGAGAGGTGAACAAAGCTGTGGTTAACAGCTAGGTTTATGGAAGAGTCTTTCTGCCTGCCAATCTACATTACCAGCAAGACCAGACCCTCCAAGTGTGTGCCTATTTTCCAGGGACTGTCCCGAATTTACAGAAGCCATCCTGGTGATCCCACAATGTCCTGCTTTTCCTTAGGACACACCTATTTTCATCGGAGAAATGTTGGAGGGTATGGAATAGGATGTGCCCAGGGCTTTTTTTCAGCTGGAACTCACCAGAACTCAGTTCCGGCCCCTCTTAGGTGGGCACCATTGCCATTCTAAGAGAATGAGGGAGGTGTTCATGGTGAGTTCCAGCCCTTCCTTTTCTAGAAAAATAGCACTCAACATTTGTACTTTCACTGGAGAAATGCTGGAGGGCATGCAAGTCTTATCACCACATTAATTCCTTTTCTCTCATTTCTCTTGTTCCTTTATTGGCACCTGAAGGGTCAACTGCTTCTCGTTAAGGGGTTCTAGGGACCAGCTGCCCATCCCTAGACTAGGGCTATTCCAGAGAAATCTAGGTATCTGAAGCTAGCATTGTTGCCATAATTGCCCCCAAAAGCAGTACAGTCATACCTCGGGTTAAATATGCTTCAGGTTGAGCGCTTTCGGGTTGCACTCCACGGCGACTCGGAAGTAGCAGAACGCGTTACTTCCGGAATTTGCCGCTCGCGCATGCGCAGACGGTCAAAATGACTTCACGTGCATGCGCGGAAGCGGCGAATCGTGACCCGCGCAGGCGTGGGTTACATTCGCTTCAGGATGCTAACGGGATCCGGAACGGATCCCTTTAGTATCCAGAGGTACCACTGTAACCAAATCTATAAAACAGGAGTGACCAGTCACCTCTCACCAATGTAGTGTAGCTATGTGAACCTTCGAACCACACTCAGGGTGAAGTCGTGTTCTGCTTGCAGTCTGCCCCTGACCTCCATGCAGAAGGTGGAAGTTGTAAAAGGAGCTCTCTCCTCCCACGTATTCAATGACTTTCAGGAAGTGAAAATAGGATTCTTAAAACGTGTACATGTCCATTGCAGCTCTCCCTGCAGTTTTCAATGTAGGAGCTGGTCCTCTCATAAGAACATAACATAAAAATACAAGAAGAGCCCTGCAGGATCAGGCCCATGGCCCATCTAAATGCAGCATTCTGGTCTCACAGTGGCCAGAGGCCAATGGGAAGCCTGCAAGCAGGATGTGAGTGCAACAGCAGATGCAATTCCCTGCAAGTGGTATTCACAGGCATACAGTGAAGGCAGAATATAGCCATCAAGACTGGTAGCTATTAATAGCCGTATCCTACATGAATGTCTCTAATCCTCTTTTAAAGCCATACAAGTTGGCGGCTGTCACTGTCTCTTGTGGGAGTGAATTCAAAGTTTAAAGATGTGCTGCTTGAAGATACTAAGGAGTTTTCTCCCACAAGATCAAGTGGGGGCCATGAACTTACATGTCTTTCAGAGAGGAAACCAGTGGGTCTGGCACTGTGTTTTGTTAGGAACATAAAAAAAAAAGTCCTCTTGAGTCATTCCAAAGGCTCGTCTAGTTCAGCATCCAGTGACCAGCCAGGTACCAATATCACTCTTCTCAATTGTGATTCCCAGCAATTGTCATTCTGAAGTGCAGTGGCTCCAACCATGAGGTAGAACATCGCCATCATGCCTTGTAGCCATTGAGAGCCTTTCTCCTCCATGAATTTGTCCTAATCCTCTTTCAAAGTCATCCAGGTTGGTGGTCATCAGCACATCTCTTGGGCTGTCATATAGATGCGGACCCACGTGGGTCCTCTTTGCTATTGCAGAATTTCGCACATTGGCAAAAATCAAGGCCATCTGCGTCTTCCCTCAATTTCTGTCGACCCTTTTAATAAGTGGAGAAAAAGACTGCAAGGAATGTTTCCAGCCACTGGGTGTTGCTTGTCAGGAATATTTTCAAAGGGCTCCATGGCAACCAAAAAGACACTGCAATTAAATATCCCCCTAATTTCTCTCTTCTATATTTTTAGCTCCTGTTCTGATTTTTCACTCCTTCACTAATTGTTGAGTTGCGATAAAGTGTGCTGATGAGAGAAAAAGAAGATAGAGCTATCTTGAGTGCAGGGAGGCTACAGAAGCTCCATTGGCTTCGGTGGGCTTTAAGCAACCTACAAGTATGCAGGATGGCACCCCTTCTGTGATTGAAAGGGCAAGCCTGGGAGGTCTAAAAGGTGACTCATAGAGAAGAAGAGAAATTATGTGGAGTGGGGAGAAAAAGATGTCATAGAATCATAGAATCGGAAGGGACCCTGTGGATACCCAGTCCAACCAATATGCAGTTGTCCCTTCTGGGGATCAAACCTACAACTTATCAGCACCATGCTCTAATCAACTGAGCTATCTAGCCAACTGTTCAGGGTGGGGACAAACAAGAGACTTTTGAAGGTGTTATGATAACCCAAAAGCCACATTTCCTTCTGGGCAATTTTCCAGGCAGGACCAGAGGCAAAAGTGGGAACAGCAATGAATGTAAACCGTATTTTTGTACAATAAGCTAGTTCCTGCACATGCACACACAAACCCCATCTCCATACTCCCCATATAGAAGCCTGAGGCATCATCACACTTCAAGCACACCTTTCATCACGACAAAAATATGTATGAAGTATGGCCAACGGAGGCATGGCTTGGGAAGGAGCTGCCTTTGAGGGCTATACACCAGGAACTGTATTAGAAAAGCAGTGATCAACCATGCCAAAGTTACATGCTTTGAAATCCCATTCATTTCAGCGGAAGGGTTAAGCACATGCTGAAATGGCAATCAATGGGGACTTGGCTTTGTCCGGATTGTCCCTGAAGTTTCCTGCAGCTGATGTGGATTATGTCAGCATTATAGAATAAATGGTTGTTTTTCTGTGTCTATTCTCAGGCAACTGGCTACACCCGTTTCCTCCCAAGCACACAGAACTGGCCACCTTCTATATTGACAATTACAGGAGTGTCCAAGTGCCGATGATGTCCAAGACAGAGAGGGTTGCCATCACGTACGATAAGAGCTTGAGCTGTGTCGTGCTGAAGCTGCCATACAAAGGGAGCGCACACATGCTGGTCGTCATACCTGAGAAGGGTGCTGATTTTATGTCCATTGAAGACCATTTAACAAATGAGCTGGTGGAATCTTGGCTTACGACCATGAATAGCAGGTACAGGAAATGTTGTGCTTTTTGTTGCTAAGATGCTAGATTGATGCAAGCTAGAATATTCAAAGGAGAAGGAAGGAAAGAGGGCAGTGTAGCTGAATAAGGAAGGAAAGGGGTTTAACTATGATGGATCCCTGGAGCTTGTCACCTTTTCCACAAAGACAAGTTCTTTGCTTTCACTTCTTCTGGGAAATGATAAAGCGCTGGTCCACAAACACACACACACACACACACACACACACACACAATATTAAACATTATATATATATATATATATATATATATATATATATATATATATATCCTGTATCTAAGCCCAAACTTCCTACAGTATGTAGAGATGATGGGAACCATAGAAGTTACATTTCCCATGGCTCCCGGCATCACAAATGAACATTTTATAATGAAATGATTTTAGAATGTTGTATTATTTTACTGTTGTTAGCCACTCTGAGCCCGGCTTCAGCTGGGGAGGGTGGTATATAAATAAAATAATATTATTATTATTATTATTATTATTATTATTATTATTATTATTATTATTATTATAGTACGAACAAATGAACTACATTAAGGGATTTTATATGTTTGTCAAAGTCAACATTCTATGAATGACATAGTTGACTCCCCTACACAGGGGTTACATTCTGGGGATAGTGCATAAAGCCAAAATCATGTATAGTCAAAACACTCTTCCTGCGCCTCTGAACACCCTCCCAAGGCCACCAAACACTCTCCTTATACCTCCAAATGCTCTCCCAAGTTGAGTGCAATGGTGGAGGGGAGGATTGCCGATATCCCCCCCCCGCCCATCCTCTTTTTTTTTTTATTCACTCAAGTTAAATGTGCATAAGTTGCGAGTCAACTGCATCAGTGGATATACCAAGTCTTTTAGATGATATATTATACACATTAAATGGTGAATGTGCAGTCTCCAAGAGAAGAATATGCACACTGACCAAGCAACACTCATTGCTTTCCATATTCCCTGAGTTCATTCAGAGAATATGCAGACTGAGAGGGCAATAAACAAAATCCCCTGCTTGTAGAGCTGCCATACGTCTGGATTTCCATGGACACAGCCAGGAAACGGGCTTGAAAATGGAGTCCAGGGAGGATTTTTGTGAATCGGCAAAATGTCTGGGAAAACCCGGATGTAGGGCAAGTAGGGTTTTATTTTTTAAAAAAAATTCAACAAACCCAGAAAAGCCCATTAAAAGCTCAACAACTTTTTTTGGGGGGGGGGGGGGACCACACACAACTGAACAACTTTGACTCCCCCACACCTCACCCCCGCAAATGAAAGCTCAGCAACTTTTGTCCAGATTTTTACTTTTGGGAATATGGCAACCGTACCTGTTTGTCAATGTTCATTTATGCCCATTCTTCATAGCTGTCCAGTCAATGTGCACAATGAGACGTTTTTATGCACAATCTCCATTCAACTTACATTCATCACCAAATATTGTTTATTTGCATTACAGGAAAATGGACATTTACTTTCCAAAATTCAAGCTAGACCAGAAATACCACATGCATCAATTACTTCAAGATCTGGGAATTAAAGATCTTTTCTCCAATGAAGCAGACCTCAGCCACCTCACAAATGAGAGAGATGTAAAAGTATCCCAGGTAAGTGTGACCACTTTTCCTGCAGAAGTGCATGCTACCCCATTTCACAAGGCACAACAGCCCCTACATTGAGATCCAGGCATATTGCTGGGTACCATTTGTTCAGTATCTGTGTGCTGGGAAGAAGATTGGCATTGCCAGATTAGACAACGCTGATCACCCATTTGGAGGCAGGAAAAGAGGAAGGAAACTAGGATCTTAAAGCGATCAAGTGATGGTGCTTAGGTTGCTTTGGTTGTGTGCACGTATCTCTGACCTACCCAATAACTTGCAGACTCCTGTGCTGGATTTGAGGTGTTTTCACTTTTGCAGGACCCAATCCCAAAGAGTCATCTGTGTGCAGAACCTTGTTGCAGTTGTGTGGATAACCACCTTTGCTGGAATGGGACGACATGACTGCAATTAACATAAAAGTTTTTGTTATATTAATTGCAGTGGTGGAGCAGCCTTGAGAGACCGAGAGAGGGTGCAGTTTAAGCAGAAGATTGGTACTTTCTCTCTTTGCCATGGTGCTAGCAAAAATCACCTTTCTGAACTTGCTATCTCAGCCTTTGCCAACCTGATGCCCTCTAGATGTTCTGTGGTCCAACCCCCCAAACTTGAGGGAAGCACGTTGGCAACGGTTGTGCTATTTGAAGTTGCTTCAACAAAGTCTTGTTCTCATATAAATCTCTAATGACCCCCCTGAGGGGTACCCAGCATAGCGCCCTCCAGATATTGGACTACAACTCCCATCAGCTCCAGTTAACATGACCAATGGAGATCAGTGTTGCATGAAATGCAGGCTGCTTTACTATGAAACCTCATCCATTTCCAACGTTCTCAGGTTCTCCAAAGAGCAGCTATTGAAGTGGATGAGTGGGGAACCGAAGCTGTAGCTGCCACTGGGTCAGAAATCATGGCATACTCGCTGCCGCCAGTCATCCGTGTGAACCGGCCATTCCTTTTTATGATCTATGAAGCGAGCATAAATGCATTGGTGTTCCTTGGCAGAGTTATCGACCCTACAGAGCTGTGAATAAAAGCCACACATTTCTATTTGCTCCATCTTCTTTTAGTGGTCCTTTACGGGTTGAGCTACAGGTTACATTAAGCATGCCTCTTTTCAAACTGTGTTTATTGCATTTCCTCTTCCAGAAAAAAAAGCTGGTGTTTGGGACCATAGCACACGGGGAAGAGATCAGCTCTTTCCTTCCTACAAATAGTTTGATTGGAGACAGCTGCTCTTTGCCTCTAAAGGTGCTGTTTGCATCTCCGCAAGACTTGCAAAGAGGAGCTTGCAGGTCTTACTCATGTGAAAGGGGCCATGTGGGGAAAGGAGATGAGAGGATGCATATTTAGCCCTAGCCTTGGGGTTGGGTCCTCCCTCTTCCACCATAACTATCACCACAGTGGACCATAATTGCTGAAGCAGGGAGCCTCTCCTGCATGCAGAAGCTTCTTGTGTGGTGCAGAATCCCAGGTGCTCAGGGTTCTAGATCACACGTTAGAGCCTCCACGTTTAAAGCTGTCTTCCTGATTCAGGCATCCCAACATGACAGTGAGAGAAGCCACACAGCTCTGGGGATGAGGCGGGCATTCCACAAACACAGCCCCTTTCACCACACTTGTCCCATTCATGCAAATAATGCCTGAGAAGAACTGCAGTCAGAACTCGTTCTGCTCCTAATGCTGCTCAATAAACACACTGATAGTTCAGCTATGTTGTTGCTTTTTCTCACAAGGGTTAGCAGCCAGGGAACCTCTCCCCCCCCCTTCCATTTGTTATTCACCACAGATGTCTTTCTGATGAGGCCATGCATCAGATGTTCAACAAACACACACAAACATCCCAAGGATGGAGGTCTGAACCTTGCCTGTTGCATTGCCACCCGAGCACTAGCTAGATCTCAGAAGCTGAATTCGATATTCACACTTCTCCGAAATTTGCACTGCTGTTCTCAGTCAAGTAAACATATGCATGTTCAAAGGTCAAATGCATGTATTTCTGAACATTAACATTAAGGAACGCATATTATAGCAAATTGCTTTGCAAAAATGTCATTCCATGACACCCCAATCTCTGAGCCACTCCAGGGGTTCCTGCCCTTATTTGGCTCGGTTGCCTTGGAATGAAGCAGACTGTGGTGTCTTTAGGATATATTGGCTTTATTTATACATATACACAACCTGAGCAGAGGATAGAGGGGCTCACAGTATTAACACAACAATAGGTTTCCAGGGGAGCACCAAAATCCAGCACCAATCCAATGTGTGTTTCTCTGTCACTAGCATCCAGCCTGCCACCTCTAATTATTATTATTATTATTATTATTATTAATACCCCGCCCATCTGACTGGGTTTCCCCAGCCACTCTGGGTGGCTCCCAACAGAATAATAGAACAGAATAAAACATTAAACATTAAAAACTTCCCTGTTCGAAAAGTCAGATAGTCAGATAGTTGTTTATTTCCTTGACATCTGATGGGAGGGCGTTCCACAGGGCGGGCGCCACTACTGAGAAAGCCTTCTGCCTGGTTCCCTGTAACCTCCCTTCTTGCAGTGAGGGAACCGCCAGAAGGCCCTTGGAGCTGGACCTGAACAATGGGAGTGGAGACGCTTCTTCAGGTATACTGGACCGGGGCCATTTAGGGCTTTAAAGGTCAGCACCAACACTCTCACAAAATGCTATGACTATTGTTCTTCTACCTAGGTTCACATGCTCGCCAGCCAGATGAGGGGAGTGGGGAAATGCTTATCCCGCCTCTGGGAGAGCTCCATCACTTGGCTCATTCTTTGAGATGCTGATGAGCAGTGAACTGCTGATGAGCAGTGAACTGGCCAGCTAAAGCCATTACCTTGACAGGGACTAGTTTGAGCGGTCCCTTTTACATTCAAGCTTCACAGATACAAGAGCCCGAGAATATGAAGCGACACAGGGGGGGCATCCAGAATGACCCTCTCCCAACCAAAATGGTCAAAGGCCTGGAAACGATGCCTTATGAGGAACGGCTAAGGGAGCTGGGCATGTTTAGCCTGGAGAAGAGGAGGTTAAGGGGTGATATGATAGCCATGTTCAAATATATAAAAGGATGTCACATAGAGGAGGGAGAAAGGTTGTTTTCTACTGCTCCAGAGAAACGGACATGGAGCAATGGATCCAAACTACAAGAAAGAAGATTCCACCTAAACATTAGGAAGAACTTCCTGACAGTAAGAGCTGTTCGACAGTGGAATTTGCTGCCAAGGAGTGTGGTGGAGTCTCCTTCTTTGGAGGTCTTTAAGCAGAGACTTGACAACCATATGTCAGGAGTGCTCTGATGGTGTTTCCTGCTTGGCAGGGGGTTGGACTCGATGGCCCTTGTGGTCTCTTCCAACTCTATGATTCTATGATAACTCATAAGAGGAGATATATGCAGAACTTCACACTAAAGTGCCAATGCATTTGCATGATGCGGACATGTGGAGAAATGAACTGAAGAGTGGATAAATGAGAAACGGAGAGGAACTGAAATCGACAGATTTGACCATCTTTAGTGGAGGGTAGGAGGGGATGAAGGGATAGCGTGGAAAAACCAACCAGCAGACGGGGACATCATCCTAATAAGTGGGAGGGAGGTGTGGTGGAATGTGATAAATGAGGATAAGGCACCCCGAGGATGAACTGGCTAATCTCCTGAGGCTATTGGTCCAGGAGCTTTGCCATGCTGGTTCACTACATATGCTGCAAGTAAGCATATGTTAACTCTTCATGTCACTTTAAACCTGGGAGGCAGGAGACAGGGACCACCACACACCTGCTAAAGCTGGGCTGCAACACCCCAGAAATCTCTTTCAGTATTAGACTGTATTGACGCTGCACCAAATTTTCACAATGTTTGGTTTTTGCAGTGATAGTTCCTGTTCTGTAGGTACAAATATTTTAATTCCTCCCGTCTTTACATGCCAGTTCAAAGACATTCCCACCCCACCTATGTGCTGCTGCTGCTGCGCTTGGACTCTCAACTATTACCAAAAAGGCACCAATCTTTCGCATGCTGAGAGGGAATCATAGATTAGAGTTGGAAAGGAGCCTCAGGATCATCTAGTCCAACTCCCTGCAATGCAGGAATATGCTGCTGTCCCTTACAGGGATTGAACCTGCAACCTTGGTGCTACCAGCACCATGCTCTAACCAGCAGAGCTATTTGAGAACCAGCTAGATCAGGGTTTATCTCCATACACCTTCCTTTCCCCATCTAAAATTACTGTTGTCACCCAAACCACTAAGGTGTCCTTTGCCCTGTAGAAGCCACAGTTGCAACTTCCCAGGGTGAATCTTAAATCCCTTGTATCCATTGGCATTTCATGGATTGGCCCTGTGTCACCCTGCTGGTGCAGCATCTTCTACCTTATTCTTGTGGCTCCCATCTATATTCCTTGCCAAAAGATTTTCTCATACCCATATCAATGTTATGAGCAAGGATCATGACTATTGGGTGTGAAGGTAGTGGTCACACCGCCGGACTCTGTGACCCGGACTTTCTCTTGCTAGCCACAATGGGAAAGCCAAAGGCACTGGTTTGCAATTCAGACTTCTCCATATGGTGTGGTGCAGTTTTCCAGCCCGATAACATGTACAGAAATGCATATACGGTGGTGAAGTTTAAATTGTTAATGAAAATATATTAATGAAAATCCTACAAAAGTGCATTATATTAGGAGAAACCATTCTGGGGAAAGAATTGTATTGGGCAAGATTGTACACAAAAATGTGTGTACTGAGAGAAATTTGCTCTAAAATGCTGATGAACCTCCATGAAGACTTGAAAATAAATAAATCAAGAAACTTATGCGGAAAACTGAACTCAAGATTGGAAAAATAAGAGAAACCGAAACTAACCCATCCCTAGTTGCTATATCAGCCTTTGGTTATAGAAATGTAAAATATTACAATAATGTTAGGCCTGGAGCCAGAGCTGCTGGTATAGTGAACATAGGATCAATGTCTTTATGTCTCAACTGCACTTCTTAATTGCAAAAATTAGATCTCTCCCACCCAAAACATGCAAGTACTTTCATATCCTACGTTTTATTGTGCGTAAAGCATTCATTATTCCACATTGTAAAAAGTAACCACACACATATTCATTCACAAATTAGATTATCTTTATCATACACCAATATATTTTAAAAAACAGATTTCTGATATCAATATAGTTTTGCTGATTGCATTTCTGAAATAGAGAAGCTGACAATAGCTTCATACAGTCTCTCTCAAGTATTGGCATAAATAGAACTTTTTAAATAGAACTGCATGTTGCAGGCAAATTTTGATAGAAATGTTAGGATGAATACAAACAAAATGCCGTTGACATAGCTAAAAGCATGATAGCTCGAAATAACAACTAATTAAAAACTAGATTGCATTATTTCTAAAGTGTTGGATAAAGAGAAACTACAACCTGAAATACTAGAAGTTAAAACAAAGTATTTATACAACGAAACTCAGATATGAAACTCATGAATAATCATTTGTATGCATTTTTGGAGGTATTTGTTCTTATTAAAAGGTGAAAGGAAAACCCTCTTGAGAATTTGTATACACCAGGTAAGCAATCTTACTTAAAATTATAGCACAACTGTATTGTAAATGACTACTCAATATTTCTTTGTCCATGCTTCCAGGTTCAATACTAAAGCTTTTTTTCAGAGATAAGATGTTACTTGGTCGGTTAATCCTATATGCAGAGCAATTTCACCTATATGGTCCTATTTCCATAGCAAATATATAGTAGGAGCCCTACTCATAAATAAGTATATTTTAAAGTAGGGGGCACTTGTATTCCAATTTGAAGAACCTGAACTATTAAAAGGCATAATTGAGAGGGAGGAAGGGGAGGTAAAACCCTGTCTCTTTAGCTGCAGCAGTTTTTAAGCACATTGCTAAAGTAACATTGAATTAAACACTTCACTTACAACATTGGAATTCTGCACATATTACATTATTTCTATGAAGATATTTTACAACATAGGAATTTATTTAACTGACAGAAGATGTTAACATTGTGAGATGCAGTCAGTCTCTCCTCTCTGGTCCTTATTGTTCAAGATTTTACTCCAACTCCTGCCAATCCTTCATCCACGTTGCCTCCAGTGGTCTTTGGTGTGCATCCTTTTTTTAACCAGCTCTAGGAGTTTGACTTCCTGTTTTTCCTTCAGGCAAAAACAAAAGAACCCAAATCACACAAGTCGGATTGGAATAGCATAAAGCAGAACTGCTGAACTTCACTGCTTTTAAGTATATCAATGGGGGAAAAAATATTGACTTAGTACAGTCATATTTTAAAATTTCTTTCCTATCGACTTTGTGATCCTCAACACATTTATTGCAAGGTAAAAACCCAAAGCCATTCTCCTCCCTTGACTAGAACAAGAAGATACGATATCTGTGCCTCAACTTTGGTGTCTCCGTGTCCCATTCCTGCATCCCTCCAACGTCACCTTGGCCACCATAAAGGCTTTGGTGTACAGAAGTCTGGCTTCCCAAATGCAGATGGAATTCTTCCTCATGTAAAAGAACTTGCATATCTGTTTCTATGCAGGGAATCAATCAATGAATGCATTCTTTGGTATTGATTCCACCATTCCATACTTTGAAATGAGCGTGGAAACTCGCATATGCTAAACAAAGGCACAGATTGGGGCCTCAACTGAGGCAACAATCTAGAGAGGACTAAATCTATTAATGCAGAGTATTTTATTAGAAATATGAGCTATCACAGCATTATTTCTCATCAGTTTTTAAAAACTGATCAACAGTTCAAAGTAGGCAGGATGCGTTCTGCTTCTAAATTTCACACTGGTCCATATGGGGCTCTTAGTCAAACTGTGCCTTGGCAATACATTTCCTCCTGATTCAAAAGAGGAGCCACAGAGCATAAAAACCCATTAAGTATCCCTGAATACAACATACAGTCTACGGTGGGAACTATGGCACGGCAGTGGTGAGGGCTAAGAATGTTCTGTTCCCCAACTCCCTGTGCATATGCTCAGTGTCATCTGGAAGGGCCATTTCAAGTGGTTAACCGGCTATTACATCTTTGTTTCTCCCAGCTAGAGGCTGATGCCTTGGCAGCCGACTAAGACTGACTTTCTAAACTCTTTGGCTGGGATCCATAGAGCTGCACTTCTAGTTCTGCACAGCTGGGGGGAAGTAGCACATCAAAGCATGTATCAAACTGCTTTGGAAACTGGGGTTTTCGTAAACACTCTTTGTTGCAAAGCATAGGTCTGTGTCTTTTTTGTTCAGTGAGTGGGGGAAGTCAATAAGTCCACTGGGCACACCCAAGTCTAACCATTAGCTCACTTGATCTTAGCCATAAACCACATATTGGAGGCATGCATACAGGCGCGCGCGCACACACACACACACACACACACACACACACACCTGCCTTCCTCATCTGATCTGTGTTGATCAGGGAAGGAGATGGCTTATTGTCCCCTTCTACTCTTCAGATGATTGATCTGAGGACTGAGGAGGAATGATTTGCATTTGTATGTCGGGGCTGAAAACAGTTATTGAAATCTTTCCACCCATGCCACTGCCATCAAAGATGGAAATCACCTACTCCTTGATCAATTTGGAGAGGAGATGATTTGATAACCCAGCATACTTTGGCCCTGCTCTCTGGCTTTGCTATGGTGAGCAATTTTGCTCCTTTCTCTTTCTATCCTCACTGTTTGACAAATCTCGGGAGGGGGGGGCACAAAATGACTCCATTGTGGTTCTACGCTGATCAGAGGAGATTAGAAACCAGAAAGGGCACTCAGGGCTGTACTTATGTCTCCCAAGTGCAAGAAGATAGGGAAGGAGGGTTCTTCCTTAGAGGTGGTCCAGGGGGTGATGTGCAGCTCAGACCTCTGTATTTTTCCCCACAGCTTTCTACAGATTCCACTGCCAGGCTGCAGACCCAATTGGATGGTGGTCTTGAAGCCAAAAACAAATGTGTGTGTGTGGGGGGGAATCAGACCCAGTCTATGGGGCAAAGTAGTTTGCCACTCCTGTTCTTTATCTTGTCTTCAGCAAGGACTTGTTTCCATAAACTGTGAGAAAATATGACCTAAAAGCAACCACCTTCCTTAAACTTAAGATGGTAACAGAGCTTGGCCGAGAAGTCAAGTCCTCCCAGCTCACACTGTGTTCAGCCAACACTGAACAATGTGTCTTAAAGTATACATGAAAAGAAGCATTATAGATCACTGATATGTGAACAACTCACTTCTCGTTAAAGATACCTATCTTTTGGGAGCAGATGTTAAATTACTGGAATTAATTAGAATGTTGCCATGTACTTCAGCACTGTATGCCCATGTGGTAAATTATTACGCACACTCTCGCCCTAACCCATATTGCAGTGATTCATCTTACAAAGTAAGGACACCTGATTCCTCTCCAGATATATATTCAAATCTGTTGCCATGTAGGAGTGTAAGTGTAAGCTATTATGTTGAGAGAAAATTTCTAAAGGCCTTCACAATGAGCAGACACACAGAGGATAATAAAACCAAGCCCAGCATAACAGCATAATAGTAGCAGAACAGATTCTTTTGTTAATCCCCATGTTTATGATTCAGGGCTGCCGTCTATTCTAGGATGACTCATTTAACTCAAACTCATTTAGCAATGAGTTTGTATGTGCTTCCTTCCTGCCCCTCTGAAGAATACCTCCCCTGTGTGTGGTCTCCTGTGGGTTTGAGGCACGTGCTGGATGAAACCCTTCCACATACTACCATGTGCTACAAATGAAATTCATGGGCCTTCTGTAGCAGAGGGCTGATTCAGATATCTGAGGATTCCCAGTGCTCCGAGTTAAGTAGTACCAAAACACACACACGTTGGGGCGCAACCGTGTGTAACATTCATATTTTCAGGTGGAAATAATACATAGCCAGCAAAACCAGATTAAATAACACGTGTGTGCACACTGAACACATGTGCCTTCTGGAATCTCACATTTCTCTGATCCATAAATCTATAGGTAGTTAACCTCCTTCCAGCATTCATATATTGGGGGCACACAGATGCAGTCACACAAAGTTTAGCTATACTAGACAAACCTATGTTGACTTTCCCCAAATAATCCCACTACATCCCAAATAATGTAGTGTGGTGACGGTGCTAAGAATTCTGTTACAAATTCTCAGCACAATCATCTATTACAGTCCATGGAGGGTGAATTTTTTATTTAAAAAAAACCTTATAGTTTCCTCCCCCCACCCACCCCACAAGAAGTAACCCAAAGCAGTTTACATCAATAAAATATATATCCAATAAGACAAACACAAAATGCATTAAAATATCATCAGAAAATACCCTCATCATAAAAATGAAAACCAGGTAGGAGAAAATTACTGTTAGCAGTGTCAAACTCTCCCTACCGTGCCTTACAGACTTATATATTTCTAGAAACTTCTTCAGCGCAGACATTATTCTAGCCCTCATGCTAGCCAGGATGCCAGAATTCTAGTTCTCCTTACATCCAGGGAACAAGAACACCATATTTGTAGTTAGTTTGCAATTCTCATGGCAGGGCCTGTTTCTTTCTCTCTCCCTCTTTATTACTGATGTGAGCCATTTTGGGAAACAATAATTTTAGGAAATAAGGTAAAATAAGGAAGGAAGGTTGCACATTTTAAACTGTTTTTTTGAAGCTTTGATTGTATTGTTTTAGAATGGACATATTTGCCGCTCCATCAGAGGAGCGAAATAAATAGCAATAGTTTTCAAAAGAACAGAATAGGCACAGCCTCCCCAATAAGAAATTATCAAATACCAGAGCAGAGGGCTCAATTCTGATTTGCTATGTAACTTAGCTCTGGCTTGTCCAGTCCTATTAATGAATAGGCATGGCAACAACTGCAAATCTACTGCAACCACCAGCTTCACAAAGATCCTGAGGCTGTGGGTAAACACAGTAATTTTAAATAACTAGGCTCCTTTATACTTGCAGAAATGTCTACATGGAGAATATTCTCATCATAAAAGCTAACTAACTAAAAATTCAAGGATGGAAAATTAGCCTTTCACTTTAAGGCTGCATAGCCTTAAAATTGTGCCCTAACTTTAGTCGATCACTTACAAGCTAACCTTCCGCGAATGGCTTTCTTTACTCCCGTTGCTCTTCTGATCAACTGAATTACTTGTATTACGAGAGGAAGATGGTAAGGTGGAAGCAGAGGAGAACGCAGCAGTCCCACTGGGGTTGCTAGAGCGAGTACGGAAGGAATCATCTGAAAGACAAGGAGGAAATGTTAACACAGTAATTGGCAGTATCTGGGTACAGCTGTTGCTACCAGAGCTGTGATTTTTGTTAGCTGCTTGTACAGAACGTTTATAAAGATCATGTGTACTTGTTTATTTATTTCATTTCTTAAAAAAATAATTTTAATTGAATTTTCAAACAATTTACATTTCAAATTATCTTTTATTATACCATACCTTCTTTGACTTCCCTCCCAAGCTTCATTTAACTTATTCACCATTCCTGCATATTTTAGTGTAGCCATCTAATTCTGTTCTCCTATCTTACATTACTTCAATATATGTTATACTGTTGAATTTACTTTAATATTGCCCATGTTTTCAACTGCGCACAATTATTTTCAATACTCAACAAAAGAAGAGTTTGGATTTGATATCCCACCTTTCACTCCCTTTAAGGAGTCTCAAAGCGGCTAACATTCTCCTTTCCCTTCCTCCCCCACAACAAACACTCTGTGAGGTGAGTGGGGCTGAGAGACTTCAGAGAAGTGTGACTAGCCCAAGGTCACCCAGCAGCTGCATGTGGAGGAGCGGGGAAGCGAACCCGGTTCCCCAGATTACGAGACTACCGCTCTTAACCACTGCACCACACTGGCTCTCAAATACCTGTTCTCCTTGCTCTCTTATTCTACATATTAGACCTGCTGCTTGTTTATTTTTTTCAGTCTGGCCAGCGCTAAGGACAATGGGCCCCAAATGTCTTTGAGCACAAGGGGAATCTAATAAAAGAATTCTAATAAACACATTCCCCTCACCCCCCAAAAAGTAACCAAGCTGCTTACCTGAAAAGGAGAACATAGAACCTTTTCCTACTGCTGATACTGAAGTATATCCTGTTGAAGAACTTTTGCTGAAGGGGTACAAAAATATGTGATGATGTTATAAAGCATAACCATCCTTAGTCATGGGCAGGCCCTCCCCCTCACATTTCAGAATGGGCCCAGGTAAATAACAAATAATTTCCCTTTCCAAATGGAAAAGAACTTGCATGATTTAAAATCCCATTCTAAGCACTTCTACCAAATCTTCTCTCATGAGCCCCTCCCTCCACCTTTCCTTTCCTCTTTCCCCAAATGTGCCTGGTGAATTTGCAGCAATGAAGGCTGACACCAGGACCTCCATTATGTATTTATTGTAAAACATTTGTATCCTGCCATTCAGTTCAAAAATCTTCACAGAAGTTCACATCAGAAACTATAATACGTTAATAATACAAAGGCTTTAAAGGAGGGGAGAACCAAATTAATGGGTCATAAAATACAGCAGAGACATAAAATAACTGCAAGACATAACAGTGCAAGAATATCCTAATGGTCCATAAATATCAATACTAAGGCTACTGGTGCTGGGCCTTAAAGGTAAGATAATTCTCCAACCTGGATACCACTACAGAGAAGGACCTGTCCTGCATCCCAGCCCATCAGAATGCAGGTAACTGACAGATATGGAATATGTCCTCCAATGATGGACACAGTAGGTGGGCTGGCTCATATGAGAGAAAACAGGTATGTTTGGGACTTTATACATAGTGACCAAAACCTTCAATTTGTGCCCATAAATGTACTGGTAACTAATAAAGATGGCATGGCCCAGTTGTGATTCTAGCTGCCACATTCTGTACCAGCTAAAGCTTCTGAACACTCTTTAAGGGCAGCCCCACACAGAGCATGATCCAATCACCTCATCTAGATAACACAGAATCATAGAATTGTAGAATTGGAAGGGACCACAAAGGTCATGTAGTCCAAGCCCCTGCAATGCAGGAATATATTCCCCAATGTAGCGCTCAAACCCACCACCCTCATATTAAGAGGCTTGTGTTCTACCGACTGAGAACTAGGGCATGTGAGGTAAGGGTGCAAATGGTATACTAACTGAAACTTTGCAAAGGCAGTCCTGTAAAACTGACTCCAGCAGCACCCCAGATGTCCCACCTGGTCAGTAGAGGTGCTACTCCATCCAGAACAGGCTGTAACTTTCATCCCTGACTGGTTCTGCTAAATGACCACTGTATCATTACAGTTTATTGCTGTTCTTGCAGATGGAGGAGAAATCAATGTGACTTCATGGGGATTAGAATGAAACTTTCAATTGGTTACACACTTCTCCAAATTTTGCAGTGTGGTTTTTGATCAAACATATGTACAAAATGCTTATTTTTCAGACAAGAGGCACACAAAATGCATATTAGGAAAATGCATATAAAGCAATAATAGTTTAGATGTGCTTTTTAAAAAACTGCAAAAAACTGGGAAAGAATAGACTGCTAGCCAAGCTAATGCAGAATGGAAATTGTCTGATCCATCCATCCCTAACTGTCCATCATTTCTCTAGAAATCAACTAAAGAATAACACCATGCTATTAGTATACAACTAGAGAAAGGTAAGTACGTTTCCATAAAGAACAACCAAAGTGGTCTATAGGATTGCCATCTCTGTCACAGACACATCGAAAAAATAAATATTACATACCTGGGACACTTGTCTATGTTTCCATATTTTGAGTGCAAGGCTTGACTACTGAAAGACTGGCTTCGAACCAATTTTGACTTTTTCACTTCTTTACCTAGGGGACAATTAAAAAAACCCAACGCAATTTATTGTGGGCTTATTACATAATTTGCTGGCAACAATAGGAGGATTCACGCTGCAGGGAAAGAACAATTGGAACAGAGACCTAGAAAAGCATGATGGAGTTCTGGCAATCAGTTTTCATCATTGAGCATAAAGGTCTATAATTTCGTGTGATTTTTGGTCAAAACATGTAAGCAGTTACCCGAATTTACAGGGCCTGATATAACTGAAGGAGAATGAGCAGAAAAAACTTGTATCAGGTACATAGCCATGAAACCTAAGGAGAGAGATTGCGGAAGCAGAGCCAGCAGGCAGGTTGCCTGAAACCCAAACTGTCCAGTTAGCTAAAGAACAAGTAGGATGTTCAAGCAACAACTGCAGAGGGGTGGGCAGCCACAGGGAATATAGAAGCTATGGTTGCAAGGACACCTGTTCCTGGCAGCGTATGACTGCAGGGACATTCATAGAGCACCTTTGAATCTTGGCTCCTACCGTTCACCATTTGTTCAACTCTGCACTGGCAACTTCAATGGGTTTGGAGCCCACTCAGCTGTCTCTCTTGGGGTTTTCTACCTGTGTTTTCTTATGCTCATTGTGGTGTGGACATATATTTTAAAACAGACAAAAGGTGTTTATTTGTTTTTTCTTACCTGCTGCAGCACCCGGATTTCCGGAAACAGACATTGGTATAGTTTTGGCCAAAGTTGTTGATGCTTTACTGTCTCTACCTAAAACAAAGGTCATTTTAAGCATTCCACTCAGATTATCTGAAGAAGTAAAGACTGCACAATATGACAGTCTGTCATAACATCTTAAATACCACACAACCATATTGAAACTCTAGAAGAAACCAGATGGGATAATACATTATCCTGGAGTAAAATCTGTCACGTGTCCCATCAATGTATCAATGCCATGCTTTCAATCACAGCAGAAACTGACTATACTGAAGAGCAGACCACTATCTATTGCAGATCTTTTAGATATGAATTTTTCCTGCTACAGGGCATGAATTGGACTAAGTGCCCCATGTTATTTCTTTCAGCTCTAAGGGGCTGACCATTGAAACTGATGCATGAAGCACTTAGGAAAGTGTGGTTTGCGGCCTACATCTGGAATGTATTTGTTGCTGATGCAGCAAAAGGTATTGGCTTAGTGTAGATATAATGCTGGCTTCCGGAAAACCATGGTTTTACACCCCTTTTGCTTGTATTTAGTTTTGATTCAGATTTGTCATGACCAATGGCTAGTTCAATAAAGTTATTTGGATTGGATTGAAATCAGGAGCAAATATATTCCTTCCTTTTCTATTTTCCAAAGCGATTCCTCCCAACTTCTCTTCCAGTACTGACTATGGTTTTGTGCTATCTATGCAGGACATGTTCTCTTATAACTATTGTTTGCAAGCCCACTTCAAATTAGAATTTCTGAGCCTGAAAGGAACATAGCTTTCATTAACAATAGTTTGCATCAATGCACATGTAACACAAAAACATAGTCAGGCCTAGTAATGGAAGGAGGGCTAGATGGCTGTAGATTACAGGAGGCAGGCAGGAGGCAGGCTCAGAGGAACCTTACAAGTTATCCAAAAGGACATTTTCAGATTCCACAGATCCAGAAAGCCTGGCACCCTGCTACTCTGGAAACATCTGCTCTAGTGTATTGAATGAGGTTTTGCCTGGTAAGCAGCAGAGAACAGGATCTGCCCCACTTGCCGACTTCAGTCACACAAGTTATTGATTGTATGACCGCGGCCAAAGCATTTCCTAAATGTTGGGTTGTAAGAGTGTGCAATGTTTTGACATGCATTTCTCACACTAAATTAGTAGCAGCCAGAAGATTAATATCGCCATCCCCCGTGTTTGTGAATGCAACATTAACCCAGTTTAGAAATAGTCCTTGCCACCTCCACCTCAGCATCCTCCACTCCCCATAGAAAGAAATTAAGAAGCCTCTGGGAAAAGAAACAAAAGAACACTTACGCTTCTTTTCATACATTTTATCGCTCATACTGGTAGACCTGCCCTCATTTTGCTGTTTCTCTTTTTCTAATTGTTCCTGTTGTGGAAACAATTTAACAACAGTGGTAATGGAAACTTAAAACCTAAAATTTGTTGGCTGCAAGCTGCAGACAGGCATGCTTCCACAACCCAGTCAGCTTCAGAAGAGAGGAAGATGTAGCCTGAAATACCACCAATTATAAGTAATAAATTATTATTATTATTATTATTATTATTGGTTAAACAGCCGTTTGCTCATAGCACACTCTCCCCAGAAATTGTCCCTCCCCTCTGCCCCCCCCCCCAATTAGAAATACCTCTCCAGTAATATCACACAGGGTTGTGATATTTTATACAAAGCAGAGTGTGGTCGCTTTCCCTCTCTGAAATGTTGAGGTAGACTATAGGAATTATGTTGAAAATTGAGCAACCCAAACTTGAACTCATGTGCAACCCAAACCTGAACTCATGACCTGGACATATATGGTTAAACGTTTGAGACTACTGCAAGAAAACAGTTTTAGCAGAGAGACTAAGAATATAAACTGGGATTCAAGATGTCCCAGTTATAAAATATTGCCTCGTTCATGAACAGGGACAGGTCTGCCATGCAGCAGGGTAAAGCAACCTCACCACTGGCCACAGGGAGGATAAACGAGGGTGTTCGAATAGTGCAGCAAAGTGTCGTCCTCAGTAGGGTGTGTGTAGCATTTGGGCTCCATTTCACCCAGCAAAAGCTCTTCTGGTAGAACTGACTAAGAAATCTGATACCCTAGGGCACTATTCCTTTATTTGCATCACAGTGCCAGCCTACCTTCAAAAGCTGCTTGCCGGGAAGGACGGAGCTGCCATGCTAGCTTTCTGGCACGTGGGCCGCTGCTGCTTACCAGGAGACAGAGGCACAGGGGCAAGGCAGCAGAAAGGATGGCACACTGCAAACACACCATTAGGAGTGCCAGATTGGCTCCGTCAGTGCGTATGCAACACCCTGACCTCCCCACCACTTCGCCCTCCTGGTAAGCAACAGGGGCCCATCTGCCAGGAAGTGAGCAGCGCAGCTCTGCCTATCCCAGCAAGCTGCTTCTGTCTACCTTGCAGAATTGCTGTATGGGTTATTGAGATAACGTTAGGTTATACTATATAAATATTATTATTACTGCTAAAAGAATCACAAACTTGATGTAGTTTACAGGGCATTTTCTCCTGCCAGTAATTTGAAATCTATATACGTAGACTGCAGCTGCTAAAGGCTCTGTCCATTTCCTCCTGCACCAGGACCTCCTCTCAGACAAATAAGCACTGTGACACAGTATGTCTTAGGTTACATATATGGAGAATGTTTAGGATTGCTGTTCCCTGGCCCTGCTTTATCAGGGAACTATTTTAAATCTTCACTCTGGAAAGTCTACATGATACTCAGTTAGCTTAATGTCTATTGTAAACATACCATTTCCAAAAGTAGGTGCTCCTCTCTTTCTTTTTGCTGGTCCAATAGATCATTTTCATAAAACCTCTTCTGAAACTGTTTGAAGGTTAAAACAAACAAGCCATCAGTGATCATGCCAATGGTTTCAGCTTGTTATTTCAGGTTATCATCTTAGAAGATACTTACCGCATCCAAAGAGGTTTCCATTCTGTCCAGTTCCAGCACCATCTATTTAAAAAGTTTAATTATTATTTTAGGTTGTTTTAATGTTTTGTTTTTTTAAAAAAGGCAGTTTGATCTCCTAACACTGAGTCTTGAAATATTTGTGGGATTTTCCACAGAGATTTCCACATAAATGTGGGTAAAGATACGGAAAAAAAGAAAAGGAACTAACTAGCAACATGGGAGTCTCACTAAAGTTTTTCGTGTGCAGACATTTTGCATTGTTAGAGTAGTACAGTAAGACATTATAGTAAGGAAGCCCAGCTAGTGTTCTGTCATCATCAGCATTCTCTGATCTATTGAAATCTAGATAACACAACTTAGAATAATTTCTAACAATTGTGAAATTTACTGTCTTTGACTGTCTCAGCTCTAGAAACAGGCACTAAATCACAGTTCACACTTTTGCAAATAGGTAAAACATATTCAGAATTCTTCCCACTACGTTATATAAACACAATTTTAAGAAGTAAGACATTTGCAATCACTGAATGACCAAGGGTTGTGTCCAACTAAATTATACTGAGTAGATACATTGAAATTAATGGGCATAAGTTAATAATGTCCATTATATTTCATAGGTGGTATTCAACACCAGTCCTACTCAGAGTAAAACTAATGAAGTTAATGGTCATGACTAAGGCCTATTAATTTCAATGGGTCTACTCTAAGTAGGACTTAGTTAAGCACAACCCAGTGGGTTTACTCTGTGTGTGACTAGCAGTTGATACAACCCCGGGAAATTACTAAAATGCACTGGCAACATGAAAAAAATACTGGATGAGTAAAAGAAGAAACCACCCCACATACTTTTTTAACAATGCTCAGAACATCTTTGTCTTTCTCCTCACACAGAAGTTTTCTTACACACAGTTCTAGCTGCTGCAGTAAATGCTTATCTGTGGGAACCTTGAGAGTAGACTTCACTTTTGGCAATAAATAACAAAGCTTCATTCTACAGAGGGAAAAGCAAGATTTATATAGGAGGAAAGTAAAGATCTGGCAATAGGTTAAGAAAAACAAATAGTGTATCTCTCCTTTATTAGTATCCCTTTGGTTTATATACATAGGATGACAGGAAGTGGCCTTATAACAAGATAGACCTTTGATCCATCAATCTCAAGATTGTCCACTTTGACTGGTAGCAGGTTAGTGAAAAATACTGTGGTGCACAGTACACTACCCCAGCCTCTCAAACTTAGGTCCCCCAGATGTTGCTGGACTACAACTCCCATCATTCTTAGCTCCGGGTCCAGTGGTCAGGGATGGTGGGAGTTGTAGTCCAACAACATATGGGGATCCAAGGTTGAGAAAGACTACTCTATCCTATATATTTTGTTTGTGCATCCACCTTGACCCATGCATCTCTTCTGCCCTGTCACTTCAAACGCTCTCCTTTTCTAGGTCAAAGGATTCCTGAGTTCTCGATTGCAAAGGAACAGAAAGTACTGTCCTTTTCTTTAGCTTGGTCCTGTCTATCTATATAAGGTTTTAGGCCTCTGAGGCAAGGACCATGCTATTTATGTGTCCTCTCAACAGTACAATAGACACCGTACAATATAGAAACGCTAAACAATAAATGTTATGAGCTGTTGGAGAGTTATAATGTTCCATCACTTAATAGCAACCAATTTCTCCTGGCCTGCTTTTTAATTATCCTTTCGTGTACAGTATAGGGCAATAAAGTAATAGTAAGAAACCAGTAAAAAACTGCAATCTTTGCTAAAATAAGGCAATGCAGTAACAATCTGCTGAACATTTCGGAGCAACGTGACATGCCACTTTGGGCAGAAGCCCCCTTCAAAACAAACACTCTTAAAACATACACTATTCTTTATGTATGTGAATTTGTGTAGATGTGTCCACAAGTCAAACAAACCAGCTGGTTCACCAGCCACAGCCATTTCTGGGTAGAAAGAGCTTGACCACAGTAATCCATGCTCTAATAACTTCCTTTTTGGACTACTGCAATGTACTTTAAGATGACTTAGAGGCTTCAACTACATTGGTACCTCTGGATGCGAACGGGATCCATTCTGGAGCCCCGTTCACATCCTGAAGCGAATGCAACCCGCGTCTGCGGGTCGCGATTTGCTGCTTCCGCGCATGAGCATGATGTCATTTTGAACGTCTGCGCATGCACGAGCGGCGAAACCTGGAAGTAACGCGCTCCATTACTTCCAGGTCACCGCAGAGCGCAACCCGAAAATACTCATCCCGAAGCTACTTCAACCCGAGGTATGACTGTACTGCGGAATGCAGCTGCCATAATATTAGTTTAGTTCAGTTAGTTGGAATCATGTGGCGCTGATTCTAGAAAATTTACATTGGCCATCTACATGCTTCTGGGATGAATTCGAGGTGCTGGTAACCTATAAAGCCCTAAAAGACTTGGGGTCCAAAGAGCTGGAGGGACACCTCTCCCTGTATCTGTCTGCCCATGAGCCAAGATCAGGAGAGGAGGCCACTCCTGACGTTCTACCACTGAGACACGTATATCATGCAGTGAGACATAAAAATGTATTCTGTGCTGTGACACTCCATCTATGGAACGTCATTCTCCTGGAAACATATTTGGCACTGAAATTATTACTGCCAGAGAAAGATCCATATGCTTCCCTGGGCATTTGCAGCAGTCCTGTGGTTTCCGTAATTTTGAAGTTTGTACTGCACTCTAAGTTATACTTGTTCTTTGTATGATTGTTATAGTATTTTACATATTGGGGGGGGGGCTGCAATTTTAACTGTAGCCAGCCCTGAGATCTTATGATGAAGGGTGGGTTAGAAATGTATTTAATATAATGAATACGTAATAATCATGACAAGCTCTGCTACACACCCATTAGGGACTTGCTGGAGTGTGGCCCTCATCTCCACCTGCTTTTTTGTGTCTGAAGTTGTCTATTACAGAGTCCCTTTCAACTTCAAAAAGTTATTTGCTCATGCTTCCTTTTTATATTATCTGGAAGGGTACATAGAAAACCACTTCAGCTTCTTCCTTGTAAACATTTTTCACACCTCTCTCCTCATATTTCCTTCTCTCCTCCATATGCCTCTGGGCAACATCATGCCTATTATATATTTTAATTTCAGTGCTGCTTAATACACAATTTGTCAAACAGCCAATATCAAACCTGCTTAAATCAGGAGAAATGTTAGCTTCAGACTTCAAAAGACTAAGGACTGAACTCAGAATGGATAACCTCTTCTGAGGATTGCCATGCCACTGTTACACAACAGTATAATATATTGCAGCATTAATACTGAGATAATACTGGGTAACGAACAAGGTGGTGTAGAGGTGAATTCTTAAAGAAATGAATGCAAGGCTTCCCAAGCAAATTGCCAACCCGCTCTATACAACATTGATATAAAACATCTTGACCAAGCCACATAGATTTTTTTAACACAACATGTGCAGTACCTCACGTTTGCAACTGGATCATGTGTAAGCTCAAGCACTGGGAGAAAGAAGTATTCACAGAAAAAAGATTTGGAAAAGAGTTCTATGATGAATTCACAGGTATCTAAAAAACGCAATCTGTTCCAGTAGCTTTTTCCTTGGCCCAACTCTGAAAAAAATGATTAAAAGAAACTGACGATCACCATATGTAGATTTTCATTTGATTTTATTGCACAAGAAATGAAAAGAAATGCAATATATAATCTCAAAGTTAATTTAATGGGATGAGCTCAATACAAACTGATCCTGAAAAATGTTTTATGTCATTTTCAATAATGTGAAAAGATAGTCATAAGTCCTGTCAAGACAGAACACTGTTAATCTTTAAAACAAAGCTGAAAGATCAAGAGATGACCATGGGCTCCCTCCCCCTTCTTCCTCTTTCTCTAGCATGAACTCCACCAGGGTTTAGCATTACATTGGATCCCTTCCAATCGGGATTCAGGCCTCACCATGGGCCTGAAACTGCCTTGGTCGCGCTGGTTGATGATCTCCGGCGAGCTAGGGACAAAGGTGAGAGTTGTTTCCTGGTTCTGCTGGATCTCTCAGCGGCCTTTGATACAATCGACCATAACATCCTTCTGGACCGTCTAGAGGGGCTGGGAGCTGGGGGCACTGTTATACAGTGGTTTCGCTCCTTCCTCCTGGGCCGTGTTCAGAAAGTGGTGGTGGGGATGAGTGTTCAGACCCCTGGGCCCTCACTCTGTGGGGTGCCTCAGGGTTCCGTCCTCTCCCCCATGCTTTTTAACATCTATATGAAGCCGCTGGGAGAGATCATCAGGGGATTTGGACTGGGTGTCCATCAATATGCAGATGATACCCAGCTCTACCTCTCTTTCAAATCAGAACCAGTGAAGGCGGTGAAGGTCCTGTGTGAGTGCCTGGAGGCGGTTGGAGGATGGATGGCGGATAATGGATTGAAGTTGAATCCTGACAAGACAGAAGTATTGTTTTTGGGGGACAGGGGGCGGGCTGGTGCGGAGGACTCCCTGGTCCTGAATAGGGTAACTGTGCCCTTGAAGGACCACGTGCACAGCCTGGGAGTCATTTTGGACTCACAGCTGTCCATGGAGGCGCAGGTCAATTCTGTGTCCAGGGCAACTGTTTACCAGCTCCATCTGGTACGCAGGCAGAGACCCTACCTGCCCACGGACTGTCTCGCCAGAGTGGTGCATGCTCTAGTTATCTCCCGCTTGGACTACTGCAATGCGCTCTACGTGGGGCTACCTTTGAAGGTGACTCGGAAACTACAACTAATCCAGAATGCGGCAGCTAGACTGGTGACTGGGGGCGGCCACCGAGACCACATAACACCGGTCTTGAAAGACCTACATTGGCTCCCAGTACGTTTCTGAGCACAATTCAAAGTGCTGGTGTTGACCTTTAAAGCCCTAAACGGCCTCGGCCCAGTATACCTGAAGGAGCGTCTCCACCCCCATCACTCTGCCTGGACGCTGAGGTCCAGCGCCGAGGGCCTTCTGGCGGTTCCCTCATTGCGAGAAGCAAAGCTACAGGGAACCAGGCAGAGGGCCTTCTCGGTAGTGGCGCCCGCCCTGTGGAATGCCCTCCCATCAGATGTCAAAGCGATAAATAACTACCTGACATTTAGAAGACATCTTAAGGCAGCCCTGTTGAGGGAAGTTTTTAATCTGTGATATTTTACTGTATTTTTGGTTTCTATGGAAGCTGCCCAGAGTGGCTGGGGAAACCCAGCCAGATGGGCGGGGTACAAATAATAAATTATTATTATTATTATTATAACAGCCAGCCTCCCACTTAAGGTGGGTCAGCAAACCAGCTTCAAGCCAGCTTGGTTTTTGATCTTAGTTAGAGAAGCTTACCATGGTTAACACTAACCATGGTTGACACTGGTACCACGGTACAGGGTTAAAGCCGACAAGGGAAAGAAGTGGAGGAAATTCATGTTAGGGAGCAACAAAGGCAGAGATGTCCTATGACCACACCATAACCACAGCTGAGATCAGCAGTGTTTCATCTACACTGGACCAATTTATTTTCTCAATTTGATTTGACTTCCAGAAAAATGCAGCTTCCCATGGGAGTAATTAATGCCTGAATTGGAAACAAAGATATATTTGATGCTATTGCCTAAGAAAGTTTGAAGTATGAACATTTAGATTAATCAACTGTCTCTCATCCTTTGCATATTCTTTTGTAGACCTACAAGTGCAGATTAGAAAGTCAGTGTCTGTCAGCCATTATTACATTATTTAAAACCTCTAAATTTATAGATATAGCTTTATAGATGTAGATTAGATAGTTTTCAGAAACTTTAAAATGCAGCACTTTGAAAATGGAGCCTCTGGTTACTCTGATACCAATATAACTGTGTTGAAGTGTCGGAACATGTTACACCACCATGGTGTCAGACCACTGGTCCATTTCTATTCCAATTGGCAGGGGTTATATAAGGTCTTGCTATACTGAGATCCTTCCTTTATTTTACTTTATTTATTAGCTTTACATACCTTCCAAGGATGGTGTACATGGTTTTCCCCCTCCCTATTTTATTTCATCCTTATAGCAACCCTGTAATGAGGTAGGTTAGGCTAAGATATGGTGACTGGCCCAAGGTCACCCAGGGAGCTTCATGGCTGAATGGGGATTCGAACCCTGCTCTGTCAGGTCCCAGTCCAACACTCTGACCATTATGCTACACTGGCTCTCTCACACCTTTAGCTCAGAGATGGGGAACCTGAAGCCCTCCAGAGCTTATTAGACTCAACTCCTAACAGTCCCAGCCTGCATGGGCCACTGATGAGGGATGAAGAGAGCTGTACAACAATGTCTAGAGCCACAGGTTCCTCATCCCTGCTTTAACTGAAGATATGACTGAACCTGGGACCTTAAGATTGTAAATGTTTGCTGCACTGTAAAGATAGGAACCTTCCCCTCTTGTACAACTCTACACACAGTTGCCATCCCTTTTTCCAAATTACACTGCTGTCCTCAAAACAAAGAGAAAATCAGGACTTACGCTCAATCAGTTTCTGGATGACTTCATGCCTCTGTTCTTGTTTGCGATTGTAACGTAAATATACACACAGGGTTCGAGCAGCTGCTTTTTGGACAGGTAAAACATTCTTCAAGAAAGAAAGGAAATACATTTAATACTACAGTCTCTGTAAGTATTCAGACAGGCATTGTTGATTGAAGAGCATTAAGGATAATTAATGGCTAATGGTATGGAGGGGGGGTGAAGGGAAAGAGTAGAAAGCAACTGAAGAATTGGTACTTAAGAAATTGAAATGCACTTAAATTGAATTTGCCACTACTCCCCAAAGCCTAATCCTTAAAACTTGAATCTAAAAAATGAAGCAATTTCAAATGTTTGTGTGATAGCAGGTAGTAAATTCTCAAAATCGTTCCCGATTGGTTTCTTACTGAATATATTGCATTTTACAGCTTATTTTATTTTGCTTATTTTTGCACATAACATATGTTAACCGCATTCATAATGTGGCATTATTCCTACGGGGAGACAATCGGGCAGGGAGGGGAGCAGGGAAATGTGTGAAGTCAGTGCAAGTTTTTATTTCACTCATGAACACATGAGTCAGGAAATGGGGGGAAGGAATCACTTTTGTTTAAATGCAGGTGTCAATCTGCCCAATCCACTGAAGTGAATGGAGTAGGCTTTGGAGTTAGACAAACCCCATGTGCTTCTGAACCGCTAACTTTGCAGCAATCAATAGATTAAGACAGATGCCTTTGAGGTCTTCATCCAAAACATACAAGAAGCTGGCTTTCCAAATGAGTGGATTTAGAATAGAGGTGTAAACCCCCTGGGAGGCTTCAAATAGAGCTCTTTCTCTTTTTGCTGTCTCAGCACAAGTAGTAGAGTTTTGACCACATTCCACTTTACTTTTAATTTTCAGAAGTTATGCTACCTGCTGAATACTTCAGTGACAAAATATACTTAATAGTAATGAAGAACATTAAAATAAAATAAAATAAAATAATGTTTTTCCACTACCTGGCATTTCATACTGCCATGTCGTTTACTGTTTAAGGTTGAAATCCTACATCCAATTACCTGGGGATAAGACCCATTGAACTCAGTGGGGTTTACTTCAGATTAGATAGCAGCCCTGCTCAGAGAGCAGAAGAGCGAAAGATCCACCACTGCACCTGAAGCTCTGGCAGATAGTGCCAGCAGGGTGGAATCAACTTGCTAAGTTTGTCTGCAAAGCCATTTCCCCCAAACCACGCTCACCCACTGACATCACTCCTGACACATCTAACGGGTGCTTGGCCATCGTTAAATTCTGCATTGGCTGCACACCCACTCCCAGCAGTGAACAGTAGTGTGAAGGCAAACTGAGCAGGATTTAATCTCTGCTCATCCCACCCCATACAACTACACTAGTGGCCAAAATTGCAGAAACCTTTCGTAAAATGTGTATTTCGAGGTTTGATGGCTCATAACACCACTTCTTTTTGGAGTAATACCATAAAATTATATATCAGCCCTCTCTGAGCAGGGCTGCTCTCTAAGCTTGCTTTTGCCCTTCCCATTTCGGAAGCCAGTTGCGTCGTTAGAATGCGCCACAACATCACCTAGGTGACCTCAGAGATCATTTCAATTTCAAATATTCTGATTATTTCTACTTTTTGTTAAGTATTTTTGTTTTTTTACTTGGTTTAGGGGGGCAACTGCCCCCCCTGGATATGCCCATGCCTCCTATAATATTTCAGAAGGAAGTACAAGGAAGCAAGAGAGAGAGAGAGAGATCACAGGGAACTCACGTTTGTCATAATGATGCTCAACATTCTATGCAAAAAGCGATAATAAATTTGATCACTTGAGATGACATGAGGCAGGCAGGCATATTTTTGTAGTAGCTTCTCATGAGTCCTCCATTTCAAAGAGGTTGCTGCTCTCTGCTCCGCTCTTGTTAGCGCTGGGATCAACTCTGGGAAATTCAATAACTAAAGAATGGCAAGGATCCAGGGGATAGGAGAAGAAATGCAAATTATATCACTGAACAACAAACTGCCATCTTTCAAAGGCACACAAAGTCTACTTACTCTGCCACACATGGTCTTCTGGACATTCACTGTGGTTCTCCCCCACCCCCAGTTGAATTCTCCCTAGAGCGACAGAGCAGGGGGCTACAGCTGAAAAGGAGGACCAGGACTCCCACCCAGTGTGCACACAAGTGCTTTGCATATGCACATGGGCTCTTTGGATCCCAACCAAATCCTCAATGTCAGCTCCAGAAATAGCTTAGGTTGTGCGAGTTTGATACTTGGGCCATGTCTCCCAAGCAGCAGAAGTAGTAGCAGCAGCTTTGTGCTACAAGCTGGTAGTCAGTTGCCTCAAAGAGGCAACTGGGAAACACTTCCGATGCTCAGAACAGGATTCTGCCACCTTACCTTGCTCTCTGTTCCAATGTTTTCTCCTCCAGTAGACAATAGTTCAAGAATTTCAGGAAGGTAGCCTATTAACGCATCTAACACCTAGTTAAAGAAAAGATGAGTCGCTGACATTTATGTGACAAAGACATCATTCACGTTACATCTCTCTAGTTTTCATTTTAGTCTTCTCCACAGGACTACAGCTGCTGCTGTGTGGGGAATTGAAGGGGAGATGAAAATTCCCACCCTTATCTGTAGGAGCCAGGAGGTAAGACACTATACAAGTCTACAGTCACTGACTGGACAGTTAGTTGGCTGTGGCACAGATGAAGGCTGTTAACACCAACAGAGATGCCTATCCAGTCAGCAACGGTATGTTCGTGTGGTGCTAAAACATCTTTTGTCTCCCAGAACTTACAAAAAAGAGCAAATATCTGAAAGGCTGTCACATGGAAGAGAGCAAAACCTTGTTCACTGTTGCAGAACCAGGTCCAATGTGCTTAAGTCACAAGATGATTAAGTTGGCTGAAAATTAAGAAAAACTTCTGAACCGAAATAACAGTTTTACAATGCAACCAATTACTTAGGAAAGTAGTAAGCAGACCCTCCCTGGGGGTCTTCAAGCAAAGACTAGATAGCTATCTGTCTATCTCTGAATTTCCTGCATCAAGCATTGGTTAGACAGAGGCCTAAACCCCCTCCAATTCCACGATTCCTCTTCTTTCCAGCATGTATTAAAATACTGAGAAACCATCAACATAGCTACCGAACAATTCTTTTCTAATTTGAACATGCTTCAATCTGCTCATTTTTTCTTCTTATAACTTACTGTATTTTTCCATCTATAAGACACCCCCATGTATAAGACGCCCCCTATTTTGGGGGACTCCGATTTAAGAAAATGGAGGGAGATGTATCTGTATACAGTATAAGACACCGCCCAAATATTTGACATTTTTTTTAAGGAAAAAACCTAGTCCTATACACGGGAAAATATGGTATATTCTACAGCCTGACTTCATACATTTTGATTTAGCAACATAAATTTTGTGACACAACTAAACACTTCATTGCAAAATGAGTTGTCATTAGTGTTAAGTAGAGAATTATCACTGATGACTCCTGAATATGATTTTTTAACCTAGCCTCTAAAATATCAGTAGTCTCTCCCTGCTTTGTGCCATCATCTGCTGATAAGTGATGACTTGATCAAGCCCAAGTATTCTACAAAGGTATTGAAGGATAGTTAATCCAAGATTGACCCTACTCTGGTTTAATGTTAATCCACAAATCAGTGCCGTTTGAAGGGCACTTCTATGTTTACTGTACGTTAGTTCATTTGGCTCCACATTTTTTCAACCTCTCTGGGGAAGATGACATATGGGCTTAAGTGAAAAGAGTTCAGTCATCACTTTCAAATAAATCTTTACTAAACACTTATCATGTTCTTTATGACTAGACCATGCAACAAGCAGAAATGATTCATTCCACCAAGCCTTTCTTACTTAGTTTTGTTATAGTGTCATTTAGGATAATTGTAAATGATCTTAACGTAAGCAACAAATAGGTTATTGTTACCTCTAATGACTCATCCTGTAATAGGGCTACCAGTTCTTTATGTATTACATACACATCAGTATTTAAAAGCTTAGCAACCTGAAAAATACAGAACCAACAAAACAGGGACATTAGCCTTCTTAATCTGGTCGTATTTATTTTTCAACAAGGTCTGAATAGCCAAAAGGAAACAAGGATGTAGACTAGATCTCTAATACCAACAATCATACTTAAGAGAGTTGAGGTCATGTCCTTTTCTCACTACTAAGCAGTGTAGCATCACACAGTAGCACAGAAAATAAACATCCTGGCAACAGCACACTTTCAAATTGTGCCCTTGGGTACTGAGATGACATTTTGCTTCTTTTTACATTTCAAATATTCAATATTTTGACACAGCCAAACATTTTAGCCTTCTGCCATGTAATTCCTATTAACTTAAAATAATATAGCTGATCTACTCCTAGTTGGTTACATATACTACTATACTAAACACAATTCCCACACTTTTTCCTCATTCCCAACAGAAACCATGGGTTGCATTCATCTAAGTTTTACTCAGAGCTGACCCACTGAAATTAATGAGTACATTTACTTTGAGTAAAATATAGTTGAAAACCACCCCATATATTTCCACCATCCCACACAGGTCCATGGAATGGTGACACTGACTGGACTGAATCACAAGTAGCTTCTTGGTTAGGCAATATAATGGAAACTTTAAAAATAAAATATATATATTAATGAATTGTCATCATTTGATAGATTCTGTAAACTGGATTGGTTGATCACTTTTTCTTATAAGGATGTCAAATTATCTAAAAAATTATCCAGCTCTCTGGATGAAACATACTTGTTAAGAGCTATGATTGTTTACTATCAGAACAGAAACAGGGAACTGTAGTCATCTGCAGAATACTATATATTTAAAATATATCCAGTAGCAGAAATATGTAGATTACTATGGTACAGGACAGCTGATGTAATCCAAGGTGGTAATTAACACAAGGCACCAAAGATATGTATTTTTAAAGTCTAATGGGTAATTTTTCATTCATATGAAAAGTGCTTCAGATGAGTACATAAAATTATTCTACAGCAACAGCCAATTAAAATGCCAGGTCTTACAGTCCTACATAAGTTATGCTGGGTTGAATCAATTAAAGCATCGTGCAAGAGTAACAGAAACTTCCCTTCCCTCACCTCCCTCACATGCCTCTCTGCATTCCCCTCCTGATTTGCTTGGAGGGGTTGGGGTAACCCCTAGAGCAAATTTGGGGGTGTGGGGTACATGGAGGGGGGGAGAAGGAGGGGAAGAATGAATACAGCCAATAGCTTTATTTGTTCATTCAGCCTTTATTGGCATAATTTAGACAATAAAAACCATAAAAAACAATGCATAAAAAATTGGTTATACAGACATATTAAACACATAAAACACATACAAGACTCAGTAGCCACCATTAAATAAAATGAAGGAGTTTTATATTTGTGTTTAAAAATCTTGACTACAATAGCTTTATTAATCTGTTGTCCTTTACTTTCTGTGAACTCAAACTTGCTTCAGCAAGAAATATTTCGCACATAAACAACTGGAAAAATCAAGAGTCCTAATAACACAATTTGTGTTGAAAATGACCTACTCATAGCCTCATGCACTTTTTTTGTTCGTAATGGAAAAAGTATACATGGATTTATATTATATCATATTATACATAAAAGACACCTCAATGCAGTCATATGAAACAACCATAAACTAGTAAGAATCCAAAGTTAGTAAGTTATAAGTTGCACTGGTTTCAATTAGGAAGGTTAGCATACACTAATACTGTATATTAAAGATGAACATATCAATGAGATTGTATACAGCGAATAGTTGCTGAAATTAATCCAAGGAGTATTCCTAGACTTACTTCATAGAAGCCAATAGCCATCGTGTGCCTGACTAGGACTTCAGGGTCATGACATAGACAGAAGAATGTTGAGTACAGTTCCAAATTGAAATTTTTGGGATCCACGAAAACCATCATGGCCTAGGAATAGAAATGATGTAACATTGAATGTGGACAGGAACATATTATAACCACAAAGAGTGGACTCTTTCTCCAAATGCCTTCCCTTATGTAGCCAAAAAGGAACAATCAAAATATAAGAAGGAAGCATCACACTGGGCTGTGTGGAATCCCAAGGTTTGCAAGGTGTTTTTTTTAAAAAACCACAACAACTTTATATTAAAAACAAACAAACTGGGGGTAGGGGCAGGATGCTGTGGCCACATAATGCTGACTGACTTTTAGGAGAAAGGGAACAGAAAACAGAGGATGGGGAAAATGGAATGGAGCGGCTGGAACTTGAACAGAAGCACTTTATACTGCAACATTTTGTTCTAGAACCCAAGAGAGAAGGCAAGTGGTAGTGCCTGTTCCACCATCCTCTACCGCTGCCAGTGTAACAGCAAGGGATGTCGCCCTGCTAGCCTTATAGTCAGTGCTTTTTTTCTTTAAAAATGTTTAGAGGTACTCTTATTTTGACTCAAGAAAAACACCATTTTATTGTTCAAACTGGGGAAAATAAATACAGTAAATGGACAAAAGTACAAAGATTCACAAAATGTTTAGGGGTATGTGTACCCCTGTGTCCCCCCAGAAAAAACCCACTGCTTATAGTACACTTTCTAGTTTGGGGAAAGCATCCTGGAGGTGGGGACACTCCACCTCTTTAAAGCCAGAAGATTTACCAACTTCATTATTACTATTAAACTGATTTATATGAATTATGGACACATTATGCACATATTATAAATGGATTTTTAAGTAAAATAGTAGTCCACTCACTGGTAAATTGTAAGCACAGTTCTTCCTCACTGAGATGTACTTCTTTTCCTGTTCTAGGGTTTGGAGTTGCACCTGGTTGTCATTGTGTCCATTTTCCTGCTCTAATCCCAGTGTGCAAAGCTTCTTGTAGAATTCCAAAAATCGCAAATGCTGCTCTGGTGTAAAAATCCCTTCAAACAAATGCAATATGTGTTTATTATTTTATGCTCATGAACAGCACAAGAATGGTCTGTCCGGTGAGTCAGGTTTGCATAGCAGCTACAGCATTGGAGTCAGGACAGTCGATGCTTGGGTGCACATCCCTGCTTTGCCATGAAGCTCATTGGCTGATATTGGGCAAGTCACCCTCTCTCAGCTTTGCCTACCTCGCGGAGTTCTTGTGAGGTTTATTTGCACCATAATGTGGAAGAAACCCACTTGTTCCAGAAATCACAGTACAAAGCCCTTGTCCATTCTCATGAGACAACCCCCCTGGGAAAGCTTCCTATGTTAGTGTGAAAAGGCATTAAAAATTTGGAGGAACTAGCTATTCATCCATAGGCACAATATTCTTATTTCTGTATTACAGAATTTACAAATGTAAGTGCTACAACCCAACAAGCACCTTCGGGCATGCAGAAGGGCTTATTCACACACAGTAGGGCTTTCTTTCCCCTTCGCGAAAGCCAGCACTCCCTATCATGCTGTGAACAGTGATCTGAAATTTCCCTAAGACACAAAGCTAGGCATCATTACCTCTGCATGTGATTTCAGCCACATATTCCTTTAGACCAGTGGTTTTCAACCAGTGTGATGTGGCACCCTGGGGTGCCTTGAATGATGGTCAGGGGTGCCGTGGGCCACACTGACCTCTGTCCCTTTTTCATTCCCTCCCTCCTCTGATGCCCTCTTGCGTCTCTGCCTCCCAAAGGCTTGCATAGCTGTTTGTTGCAGCAGCCCTGGCTACAAATGCCCCAGGAAAATGGTCCTCTGGGGATGGCCAGGGGGTGCTTCCCAGGCCCCTATGGGGCAGTATAAGGAGGCACCTCTCTTTGGGGCAGGGGGGGCAGCTCACAGACCAGGGGCAGCAGCTGTGGCTGCCCAGAGGACTCCCAAGGAGAGGGGAGAAGAGGCTGAGGGAACACTCCACAAAGAAGGGTGTTTGGAAAGGGATGAGGAGCTGCCAGCTCTGCAGGCAAGGGGTGACATAACTGGGCTCCTGAGCCCTACAGGGGTGCTGCAGAAAGAATGTAGTTGGTCAAGGGAGCCGTGGACCCAAAAAGGTTGAAAACCTCTGCTTTAGACAGTAGCCATGGGGACTGTTACTCCAGCTCTGAGAATTTAATATTAAAGAGGTATATATCGCAGCTCTTGCATTAGGGCTCTTCTGCAATGTGTTGTAAGCAGATAGGTGCTAACCTGCACTGGATCTTACAGGGAGAAGGCATTGTGGGAGTAGACTTTGGATCATTTAAGATAAGACCTTAGAGCGAAGGCATTGTCTGTGATTTATAAGGCCTTGAGGCTAGTTCTGAAACTTAACACACTAACAGAGATTTTACATTCCAAAGCAGGAAGAACTAAGGCACACCAAGTTCTCATCCTGAGAGGAGGAACTCACTGAGGCAAAGCTATTTGTATTGTTATCTTGCACATGCATATGGAAAATACTGACAATCCAAGGACAAAATATTACACATTCCACAGGCTGGCATTCATTGTTAACACACTGAATATTCATTATATATTGAATAGTTTTCATGACTTAAGTATACATAACAAATGTAGATCAATGAATATTCATGTGAAATGTAACTGGAGGTATGCATGCTATATCTGTTATTATTAACACCTTTCAAATGTGTGGGTACAGCTACTGTACTGAGAGAAAGGGAATGGGTTTTTCCACGATTGGTCCCATCACATCAGTCCTCTTTATAAAGAGGGTGTTTTGCTATAACTCTGTGGGAACCTTGCTTTGGTCTTTGCTATCATAATTGCAGGGGTTTGGACTAGATGACCCTAGAGATTCCTTCTAACTCTGGAATACTATGATTCTATAATTCATAGCTGGAAGCAAGTAAGGGGCAGGGGCAGAATTGTTGTGTTGTGGCACTGATCTGCTTTCGACTCTGTGCTACACCTCTGCACTGACTGATCAGGAAATTATTTATGTGAACCAGACTGTTAAGAGCACAGAACCCTTTTCAAATTCCCTTCACGACATTCCATGGCACACCTCATTTTAGTGTAAAAAGCTTAGGTCAGACCTAAAGTTCTAAAATTTCTGGCACTTGCATACTCTTCAGAGATCTTACGAATACTCACAATAGGAATGGACCTTAAAATAGTCTAACTCCAAACAATAATAACAAATCTCTCCCTCTTCTGTTCCTCTTCAACTGTTACATCAAATAAAGGATTCAGAAAAATGTCAGTAACAACAGTTCACGGACAAGTCTGCCATTTCTGCTAGTAGTTAACAAAGTTTAAACTGAAATTTCATAGGATGTACTGTATCTGTTTCCAGTGCTATTGCTATGCAAACAAATGTGGACTATAAATTCAAATAAATGTCACATGTCAAAGGAGGGAGCAACAGCAAGTCATTATACACAGTTTTCACCTTGATCATATTTACTTTGTTATTAAAATCATTTATTTCATTTATTTGGGGTTGCAGTGATTAAGATTCCAATGCAAATAAAAACAACCCAGCTCCCCTTAAAATATATATCATACTAGGACCATTTGATCGTACCATATAGTCCATTACAAAGCTTCCCTAAATGGAAAGATAGTGAAACCAGAATAGATTCATCTGCTTTGAACGATTTTTCACAGAAGGATTTCACTAATGGGAGGACTGTTTGACTTCTATCATCTGAAAAACAGAAAATATCATAAAGATGAACAGAGCTGTCCTTTTTTGATCTTTAATCAAAATGTGAATAATAGCATATTGACATAGAACATAGTCTGGCAACCAGAGGAATGGCTGTAGTACTAGGTTCAATGCAACTCAGTTCTGATCTTACCTGCATCAAACATTTCCAGCAGATTAACCAAGGTCTCAAAAGCTGCAAGACGTACACTGCTGCCTTCATCCCTTGCTAACTCTACCAGCTCAGGAAGCACTACGTTTTTGGTTAGCTCAGTCCTACAAAAAGTATCAAAATATTTAGTAAAAAAAGACAACTGCTGCACTATCCACAGAGTCTCCAGAAACAGGCAGGGGCTTCAAGAATGAGCTTGTATTTCCCCATACAACGTACCTTGTAAACCGCTCAGAGGTATTATTACAATCAAGCAGTATTTAAGTTTTGTTAAATTATTAAAAGTCACCAGGCAGAGGTCAAATGGCCATCCTTTCCTTTCCCTTTTCTCATTTTTATCAGAAACAATGTGACCTTTGGCATGGATATAATTATTTGTTTGTTTATCCCAGCAACAAAAACCCAACCCCAAGAATCCCCATCTTCCCCCACCCATGAATGGGAGCTAAGTTAATCACCCCTTTCCTCCCACCCACTGCTGCTACTACACTCAATAACCCCCTTAACTGCTTTTCACTTTAAAACACCCCGACCAATACACCAACAGATTGGATAACACTGGACAGCACTGCAGGGTTGTCATATGCTGCCCTCTTTTAGCCCCCCTGCCAGGTACAAGTAACACTGGTGGGATCCACAGTGCTGGTAGCCAGCAGAAAGCCCCCAAATGCAGCATTCCATGGGAGAGGAGAGGGAGAGGCAGCCTGGGATACACCCGGTCCTAAGCTGGCCCCACGGCCATCACATGATGATTACTACACCACCTCCAGGCTGGCAGAGCAAATTGTCTGCACACCCACACCCATCACTACCACCAGAGCTGCGGGTGTGGGGCTGGCCCCATTGGTACACTGAAACCCTGGATTTCTCCATTGTTTCCTCCAGGCAGCAATCACTTCTTTACCAAGGAAAATCTGTTATACCCCCAGATTCTTTCAAGGAAGTTCTTTCTCCCATCGTCTGAATGCATAGAAAAAGTAGGAAGCCTCCAATGAACCAGGAAGTCCATTGTTGTATTCATTTCCAGAGAGACCACACAAAAAAGGAGTGTGTATGTAGGTTTGCTTCCTACACTGAAATTAGTTAGATTTGATTGTAAATAGATGTAAACAGGAATGACAAAAGTGAAGGTAACGAAAGGTGGCAAGGGAGCGATAAAGCCAGATAAGGTGAAATTATGCTGGGGCAGGAATAGCTTTGCTGAGGAACTGGACCTTGAGGAAAGACTTGAAATGCAGAAAGGAAGTCCCTTGACAAGCAGAGAAGGAAGCTGTTGCAGACCAAGGTAGAAGAGGCAGAGGGCACAGAGCTGGGAGAGGGAGAAGGAATCAAGGACAGCTAGCAGCAGGTGGATCTCTTGATGGAGACGGAGCATGAAATGTCAGAGGTAGAAAAGCATGCAGGAGGCAGGTTAAGAAGATGGAGGACCAAGAAGGCACCCTAACATTGGACCAGAAAGTCCAGAGGCAGGGTGTTTTTTTAAGGAGTAGAAAGACATGAACATGCTTAACAAAAAAGGGAGAGCCAGAGAAAGATTGAGGATAGGGGCCAAACTACAAATAGCGGTATGCATAATTTGTCCAATATTTTCTTTTCTAACTGAAAGCAGCCTCTGGGGCTGTGATCTTCAGCAGAAGAAAGTCCTTTACTTTGGGCTATTTTTCTCTTTGAAACCCACGTCCCAGGCTGCTTTTTCATCCTGCAACACAAAAGATATAGGTGCCTGTATATTTTCCCCTATGGGGCAAAACACAACTGGGGTGGTACTTTGAGGCACCCGCAACTTCTCTCCCCAAACTAGGAGCCTTAGAAGTTGGCTTTTGTTACTATGAAAAGGAGAAAAGGAAAAGGAACCAGTGAATACAAGATACACTTGGCTGCATGCGATATGCGATGAGACCCTGAGAATGTGTGCAAAACTGAGAGGGAGGGAGACAGAACTGAAGGAAGAGGGTCGATGAAGCAGGCTGTAAGAGTTAGGAAGCAAATGAAGCAAACAGATATGGCAGTGGGTGAGAAGGTGGGCAGTAGGTGATTCACATTGGGCACAGGGAGAGAGTCTATATAGGTAGAGAGTAGTATACTAGTTTTTCTTCTATACTACTTTGTACCAGTATTTTAAACATCTGATGAAGCAGGTTTTCGACTGTGTATATGTAGACATCAGAGTAAAGTTGGTATATTCTAAGGGGCCACAGCACTTTCTGCTGCAGATCAGGCATGGGCAACCTTTTTTCTAAGAGTGGCTGGAGTCAACTGAGAAAAGGATTGAAGCCAGCAGTAGGCACGTCTATCCCTTTTTCTCTCTTGTTCTTTCTGCTACTGCCTTCCTCCTCCTCCTGAGCTGATCATTTGCAAAGGACTTACTTGAATCAGGCTATAGGCCACATAAATTAGGCCGAGGACCACAGGTTGCCCACCCTGATTTACACCGTTGATCTTCTGAAGTCATTTCCACTCTGTAGTAATTATGCTCACCCTATTCCTTGAGCTATAAGCTCCAGTTGCCGACACATGCAGGAACGAACTTCATATTCTACATCCTGGCAGAGTGATTTTACCAGCGGAAGAATTTCTCTTTTAATTCTAAAAAGGCAAGAATTGCATTAATCAATAGACAGAAAAACCCCACTCCATTTAGTTGACATGTCCAAGTTGAATAATGTGAAAGTAAAACCTTAATCGACACATCACATTCAATATAAAAACTGCATTTCTCTTTTTCTGAGTTTTGCATAATGAAGTCACATGTGAGGGAGATACTGCAATTTTTAGAAATATTTAGGCATGACCAGTGGTGTACCATGGGGGGCTGCGGGGGCCATGGCCCCAGGCACTTTTTTTGAGAGGCGCAACAAGGCGCCCCCACAACATGCTCCCCCATCAAAAGGCCAGAGCCACAGGAAGGGAAGCAATAATAATAATAATAATAATAATAATAATAATAATAATAATTTATTATTTATACCCTGCCCATCTGGCTGAGCTTCTCCAGCCACTCTGGGCGGCTCCCAATCGAGTTAAAAACAATACAGCATCAGACATTAAAAACTTTCCTGAACAGAGCTGCCTTCAGATGTCTTTTAAAAATAGGATAGCTGCTTATTTCCTTGACATCTGATGGGAGGGTGTTCCACAGGGCGGGCGCCACTACTGAGAAGGCCCTCTATCTGGTTCCCTGTAACCACTTCTCACAATGAGGGAACCGCCAGAAGGCCCTCGGCGCTGGATTTCAGTGTACGGAATAAACAATGGGGGTGGAGACGCTCCTTCAGGTATACTGGGCCGAGACCGTTCAGGGCTTTAAAGGTCAGCACCAACACTTTGAATTGTGCTCGGAAACGTACTGGGAGCCAATGCAGATCTCTCAGGACCGGTGTTATGTGGTCCCAGCGGCCACACAGGGCCAGGCCTCTGGGGCTGGGGTGGCAGCGGCACCCACTTCTCTCTGTGGTCAGTGAAGGAACGCTCACGAGTGCCCCACCCCTGAGCTGGACAAGGGGGCGGGGAGGGCATAGCTGCTGCGGCCGTCACTGCCCCCCCCAGGAGGAAGAGGGAGTGACCCGGCGCGGAAGCGGCAGAGAGGCTGTGGCTTAGCATGTCGTGTGAACCAGCCCCCAAACTGAATAGTTTTGGACAATTCAGTCTATTACTTGTTTGCGTCATTGTCACATGTGTCAATGTTAATATGCCAATTGTTTTCAAAATACTCACAAAAATTTGTGCATCTTGAAACATTTTTTAAGCTGAGAACTGTGCTACAACCATCAGAAAAGTGTGGAATCCAATAGTTATCTACGTTACATTAGTCCAGGAGGTGCATTCATATCAGAAATCATGAAGACGGTATTCCTCAGGCATCCCTATGAGTATAGCTACAAAAAAGGGACTGAGTTTGGGACACCAGCTGTGTAGCTTAATCCTAAAATCTGGTGCACAAGCACATGAGTTCAGGATGTGGCATTCTAAAATGAGCATACTTCTGGTAAAATCTAACATTTGGTGAGCACATGGGGATATTTAGAACTGTGATACCTGCCTATAAAGCAAAACGTTACTGTGAATTCAGCCGCAGAACCTCACACAAATAGCAGGCCTTCACTGACTTTGACAGAAGATAAATAATCAGTTGCTAGAGGGTACCCATCACAGCTGAGGGCATGCCTTCAAAATAAACCTTTATGTGGGATTATAATAGAGTTTTGCAGAGAAATTGAAAGCAAACTGGCAAAAAGTATTGGACAGTAAGATCTTCCACCTTTAAAACAAGACTACTGTGAACTTGGACCCAACATTAATAAATCTCAGGGCATCTGCTGTGACATTTTAATTATGCTGTGAAATTTTAAGACAAGCAAAGAGATCCCAAGGCCATCAGAGGAACAGACAAGGTGGCATTTGCAGATGAAAAAGGAACACCCTGGCTGTTACTGAAATTGGCTTCATGCAGAATGGGATGCTACCATTTTATCCACAATCTCTAATATGGGGCAGCAGTCTTGGCAAGGAGTTTGGAAACGATCCTATAGAAAAACATGGCAGCCAATAGGAAAATTATGGAAATCAGGATGAAATTGGACAATTCATTTAAGGGACCTTGAAAATTCAATAGTGCAGATGAACACCGTTTTTGATCATGCCTTAAGTGTGAGAAAACACTGTGGTCTTTATTATGGGTAAAGCCTAAGAAGTACTCATGCTGTGCCACCTTGGTGAGCTTTTGGAGAAAGGTAAGGATGAACAGCAGCTGCATTGGTAGATTGAGTCCACCATATACAGTTTGAAATACAGTGGTGCCCCGCAAGACGAATGCCTCGCAAGACGGAAAAACCGCTAGACGAAAGGGTTTTCCGTTTTGAAGTTGCTTCACAGGACGAATTCCCCTATGGGCTTGCTTCGCAAGACGAAAATATCTTGCGAGTCTTGAGATTTTTTTTTCGCTTTCCCCCCCCTTTATCTAATCTGCTAAGCCTTTAATAGCCTTTAATAGCCTTTTAGCAGCTAATCCCCTAAGCCTTTAAGCCTTTAATAGCCGCTAAACCGCTAATAGCGCTAATAGCGCTAATCCGTCAATGGGCTTGCTTCGCAAGACGAAAAAACCGCTAGACGAAGACTCTCGTGGAACGGATTAATTTTGTCTTGCGAGGCACCACTGTAAATTGACGAAGTGCTCACTTACACATATACACACAGAACACAAAAGCAGGTCAATTTGTTTCCCTTTCTGCAAGTTTTAATTATTAGGACATCTGAAAAACACACGAGCTACTCACATATGAGCTTCAAACTTGTTAGCTAATTTCCCCAAGATTTTACAACTAACCAAGCGAGACTGAAGTGTTTGGGAAAGCTGTGCCTTGGAAACAAGAGGATTCAGGATCTATGGGGGAACAGAAGAAGAAATTCAAATGGCAAATCTAGGGCTAAACAGAAGCAAAACAATAAAAAGAATCAAGAACCACTTCACATATTAAAACTGATCTTAGTATCAGCTGCCCAGTCAGCATTCTTGCAAGTTACAACAGTCACACCCTACTTGAAGCAAAATGGGGTACACTCTTTCACCTTCAGAGGAATGACCTCCATGTAAGAAAATTATTGGCCTTCAAGTTAATTCCAAAAAAATCCAAAATGCAGACTAAGGGGAATGTTGGTGTAAATTAGCTGTACTCCTTATGTAAGATCCGAAAGAAGACAGGACAAGGACATTTATAATTATATTGCAAAAGTAGCACTTCCCACCCCTTTCCAGGAGATGACTTTTTCACAGTACATTAAGAACACATACATTAACAACATTAAAGTGAATTAAGAGCATCGTAGCTCAAAATATTACACTATTATATGCTTTCAATTCTGTGCTTCTTGTCAGAGGCTTCGTGACTCCCACTAATTGGGACTAGCATGTTGCTTTGTATATGATTTCTAAATATTTAGGAACACGTAAGTTATCTGCAGTAAGAATCATATAAACCAAGAACCACTTCTGACTTTACAGTTTTCATTCATGGGAATGCTCCCACAAGGCACTCCATGAAAATTGTAGACATGAGTCTCAGGCAGTCCAAAGGCCAAGAAAAAACCAGCACATCTATGTATTCCTGTTTATAGATGCATTCAGACCAGTACTCTGACTTCCTTTCAATTTGTCATTCCCTGGCTTCACATTAAAGCGCCTGGGGTCTGGAGCCAGGGAGTCTTGCAGCCAAACCAAAGAGCTCCACAATCTGCAGCATCACAGCAGTGCAACAAAATGATGGAGCTGCTGCCAGGCTATACGCTGCCCTTGGACACCCCCAAAGCAGCTGTTATTAAAAGATACTGCTGTTTGCTGACTCTGCAATTAAGAGGTGACAAGAGGGACTGAAAGAATTTCACACAGTCCTAAAAAGCCTCAGATTTTTCCTAGGTTCTCAGTCTGAGAAATATCTTGAAGGAAAAATGCCAAGCTGCTGTATATCCCACATACCTGGCCATCCTTCTGCCAAGATCTGCTCTGCTTCAGCCCATTTGCCCTATTTACTTAGTGATCATCTGTCTTCTGCTTTGACAATGTCTCCAGGCATCCAGCCCTAACCTACAGGCTTCCTTTGGTGATTCGTTTAACAGGGCATGCAATATAATGAACTGCCATCTTGAGAACAAAGGAATAGGGTGGGTGGGAGAATGGTAGGGAACAATGTGTATTGATTTTTTCAGCAGGGGCTTCTTTTGCTCTCAGGATGGCAGGTGGCACACAGTGCAAGATGAAGCAAAAAGAAAACATTTATGAGGTTCGTGCCTGTCCCTGTGGAGTGCTGCATGGGCACTTGTGATGGACGCGGACAGCCTGATGGGATGGGCAGCAGGTAAGAGCAAAACAGAGACATTTCTTTCTTTGGGGAGTGTCATTAAGAGTTTCAGACTATGGTTGGGGAGACTCGGGCTCAAATCCCCTCTCAGCCATTAAGTTCACCAGCCAGTCACTATCTCTCAGCCTAACCTACTTCAACAGGATTGTTGTGAGATAACTGCAGCTCTTTGCGTGGTCATTTCATAGAATCTTAGAGTTGGAAGGAACCCAAGGGTCATCTAGTCCAACCCCCTGCAATGTAGGAATCTCAGCTAAAGCTTCCATGACAGATGGGCATCCAATCTCTGTTTAAAAAACTCCAAGGAAGGAGAGTCCGCCACCTCTCATAGGAGTCTGTTCCATTGCCAAACAGCTCTGACTGTCAGAAAGTTTTCCCCCGAATGCTTAGTCAGAATCTCTTTTCTTGCAACTTAATGCCATTGGTTTGAGTCCAGTTTGTGCAGTTATATGTATGGATTTGTGCAGGAAGCCTCTAGGCAGGGCTTTTTTTCCAGTCGGAACTTGCATCTCAGGTGGGCACCATTGCCACTCTAAGAGAACAAGGGAGTTCTGGCACCTCTTTTTCTAGAAAAATAGCACTGCCTCTAGGTTAGTTTTGGTGGCTGACCTGCCCCCAACCTCCATATGGCTTCCTACTCAGTCCTCTCCTAACTGCTACAGCAGAAGTACTGTTTCCTAACTCAAACGTCTGGATGTGGCTTTTCCCTCTCTTTGGGGCCTGCCAGGTTATTCCCAATAATAAATGCTGATTCTGCATACTTGCATCCCACACCCAACACCTACACACACTGCCATAAATATGCATTCACTTATTTCAATTTCAGTCTTGATGCAGTGAACAAGCGGGGGGGGTGGGGGAGAGATTCCTGACCAGAACAATGACTGAACGTTTGCTTCTCCTTAACAAGACACATGATTCCGCACAAGAAAACCCAGTGCTCAAAAAAACCCCAACCTCAAACAAATAAGCCAGACTGGTTATTTCATGTTATTTTCTATTGCAGACCACTTGAAAGACTACAGTGGTCTGAGCACACCGTAAGCCATCCCCATTTTGTTATCTCTCTCTCTCAGGAGTGGCCTGTGGGGAAGCGTCTGTGAATGAAATGTGTGAAATCAGAAACAAACCTGAAAAGGAAGACTTGACATTTAGAGCAAATGAAACTCCAGAGTGCTTTCGTCTACTCTAATTAATTAGATTATGAAAAGGCCTATATGCCATACCTGACACGAAGCTACAAACATCTTACCAATTATATTCTGCACAACGCTACTCATGAAAGTTAATATTATCTTGTTTTACAGTGTTTCCAGGGAGAAAATGCAAGAAGTCAATTAATTTTTTAAGTGGATTTTTTAAAGCCAGAAGTGCTTTGCACCTCCCAAAACCAGTGTTTACAGTTTTTTCACCCTTTGATTGAATTTTTTTAAAATTCTTGTCATTTATTTCATTTCCTATGCAACCATTCATTTGATACAGCTTTCCTTCAGTAGGAAGCCTGCCCCATCTCAGAATTTACAATGGAGTGTGCACAACATACTGAGAACTATTCCTATGCCAATAATATTTGACATTTGTACAGGATATTCTGGCTGTTCAAAAACCCTCACGTACCTTATGCCTTCAACCTTTACAACTGCCCTGCACAAATTTCTAAGCACCAATTTAGAATTTGAATCTATTTTAGTACTTTAACTTCTGTATGTTTTAAAGTATGGCTGCAAATTTTTATTGATTTTGTTGCTTTATCTTTTTGTAAACTGCTTTGAGGGTGGAGTTTTAGGGGGCAATCAAGCAGTGTATAATCTTTTTGAAATAAAAAAACAAACGTGTGACTCACCAAGCTGGACAAGCGCAGCTCATCAGATCACCAAAATGGCAGGCCGACACATGGCCTGCATTCATTCAACTAGATGGGCCACACGTTGTCTATGTTTGCTTTTCAACAGGGTTTCCCAAACTTTGGTCTCCAGCTCTTTTTGGACCTCAACTCCCATCATCCCTATCTAGCAGGACCAGTGGTCAGGGATGATGGGAACTGTAGTCCAAAAACAGCTGGAGACCCAAATTTGGGAAAACCTTGCTTTAAAACCATCAGTATGTCAGATGCATGCACCCTTGCCAACCCAGAGCTACCCCTACCTCGTCCATCATGGCAGATGTAATGCAGTGCCACCAGCAAGACACCCTCGCCTCAACCACTGCTGTCTTTGAATGGATTGAAATTCGCTTGTGGTGCCCTTTAGATGTTCTCCTAGTCACACGAGAGCAACCTATCTGTGAACAGCTCCAGTGGGGCTGAGAGAATATTCAGAGGAACCAAGCACAGGCATGTGAAACCTATTTATTGTGGCCTTCCCATGGAATCAGAACTACTCCAGGGGGATGAGGGAATTCAGATCTTCTCCTAGTCACACAGGAGCCCTTACAGGTAACTGGCTCCCTTGCAGCTGGAAGAACACCTGAAGCAGGAAAGGGTAACCTGTGGCTCTCCTGTGATTAATACTAAAATTCCTATCATCCTTGACCATTGGTGATGCTGGCTGGAGCTGATGGAAGTTGGAACATGTGTCATTAACAGCAGAAGTGGCTTCAAGAACTGGGATACCCCTACTTTGGCTCATGTTCACAGACAACAGTGATGGATGGACTCTGCTGCAGCAACCCTATAGCAACTCAATAGCACAGTGCTGGAGCCAACTGCATTTTGCTGCCTGAAGCACACAGCTGGAAATTTTTTGTAATATTAAGCGGTATGTAAGTGCTTTTAATCAATCAAATATAACTGAACAGCATGCGCAGTTTGACTCTAAATAAAAATGTTAGGCCAAATGTTCAGAAAACTATAGAACACACTACATCCTCCCCCCTTCCCAGACTGTATTCATGTTGTCTGTTATATTCAAAGGAAAACAAAATCACCTCATGTCTGATGGTTTCTTTTGGCAAAGCTTCTATTGCAGCAAGAAGGGTTTCCAGCCATGCATTACTGACACCTGTGAGGTACAAAAAAGACTGTAGATATATACATGTTATATCATATTCCTATTTCATTAAGCTCCTTCAGGTTGTGACCTCAATTAACCAAGCTCTTAAATGGCAACTAACATGAGGATGGACACACCCACGTGAAACTGCTGAGGGAAGGTCATCTGGAGATAAAGAATGATGTGTCAGCAATATGCAACTCTCTTTTTCATCAAGGTAGCAGAGGTGCTAAAACAGTGCTTGGCTGCAGTAATGGATAGGATGAGGATCAATAAACTGAGTCTCAATCTAAGCCAAATGAAAGTACCGCTTGTAAGTGGGTTTGCCCTCCCAGGTGAATGGTGACCCACCTTTTCTGGAGGAGCCTGCACTCACCCTAAAGGATCAGGTTTGGAGTTTGGGAGTGCTTTTTGTCCATCTTTTTCATTAGAAGCAAGTGGCCTGGTTTGAACTGGACACAGTATTCCAGCTGTGGTCTGACCAAGGCAGAATAGAGCAGCACTATTACTTCCCTTGATCTGGACACAATACATCTGTTGATGCAGGCTAGAATAGCAGTAGCATTTTCAGTTCTTTCCTGTGTAGATCTTTTAAAAACGGAACATTTCTGGGATGTTGAAGGGCTGTTTCCTGATCTAGGACATTATTTTTCTTCTGGACCGTGCTAACAAAATCAAGTCAGCTTCCGGAGCACATACACACAACATGAGATCTGTTTTAAATCTGCTGATACAATTCATGGCTATTTGAACCGAAGCACAGGCAGTGATCACTTAAAGGGAAATGTAGACTAGGAGCTTCAAGCTAAGGCCCTCAAAGCTCTACTGTACTTCAAAATCAGGTGTTGGGTAATCAACTGCATACTGCATTATACATAGTGTTGGCAAGATCGCACTATGTCACTGTTTTATTTTTTTATTGGTGCATGCACTGCTTTAAATAGTATATCACTGAGCAAAGAAAAAGCATAGCAAGCTAAGAAATCAGCAGCATGACATGCCTCTGACCTGCATCTCTGTGCTCCAGATTCTGTAGAATGATGTGTAGGAAGGAGTGGGAGTAAGTATGGATGGATATTGACTCCTCTTGTAGAATAGTCAAAAGTGAAACAGCAGCTGTTAACTGCATCTCCACCCCTGCAACAGGCAGGACCTCCTGTGTAATCCGAGGCAGGGGAGAGAAGAAGATTTAAATCAAAGAGTGAGGCTTATAGATATGAAAGGCAAACATAACCATTACAGCAAGAAAGAGCATGGTCAGGCCAAAAATTATCTGTACCAGACAAAATGCACCATAATTTTATAAAACCAGAAGAGCATGCAAGGCAACGTGCTAATAATTCATCTTAAATCCTCTCTTTTTGTCAAATATAAACTGCCCCTTCAAAATACAAAGCCACTTCTCAAACAAGCTGAGGAGAGTTCACCCAGTATGTACCTATTAAGATTCCCAATATTCTGTTGTGTATGGGATCTGGCTCTGTTTTCAATTGATCCTGCTAATTTCTATTGGACAAAATAACTGGGCTGCAATGTGGAACACAGTTTTGGGGGCAAAACCTGTGCCTCACCTCAGATACGGAGTTAACTTGGGGCAGGATATGGGGATTCTTAACCAGTACTGAGTGAACTCATTTATTTCCTGCAGAATGGCTGCCACTCACTCCACTTGTGGCGGGGAGAGGTAAATTCAGTAGGGGGAAATGTGGCAGTGTGAGCAACCCCTGCCTGCCCTGCCCCCAGCAAAGTGCAGCCCAAACTCCCCTGAAGTACAGTGTGGGTCTTCATACAGAGTCTAGAGAGGTGCCCTCTCTCCATACACAATCAGTCTATCACAACGACACACATTTGTATAATCAATAAATGGCATAAATACACCCAAAGCACTGACAGACTCCTGTGCATCAGACATCAGTATGGCAAAGATGTAAATGGATTATAATGTTTTGTACTGAATATCATTAACTGTGGCTTTAGGTATCTTTCCTGTTTAGTGAGGCTTCTATATTCATGCGATTTCCTCCATGCACAGCATGGGTCTGTCACCACAAATCAAGTAGAACTCATTTCAATTTATGTGTTGTGCCTCTGAGCTGGAGATACAAATCTACTGCATACCTAGAAGAGACGTCTAAAATGTACAGGCCAATATTTAACTTTACTTCCTAAATTATTGATATAGAAAGAACGTTTATAGTACAGCAATGCCTCATCTTAAATGGGGGTTCGGTTCCAAGGGTTATGTGTATACGCCGAAATTGTGTATAGCCAAACCCTTAGAGCTTCCCTGCAGCTAGCCAGCCTGCTTCCTCTAAAGTGGCTGATGAGGGGCAGGGGGGGGGGAGGAGAGAGAGAGCATCCCCAGCAATCCTAGAGCTAGTGTGCTGAGTGGGCCTTGCCCAGCAAACAAGGCCAAGAGCTTAAAAGCTCTTTTCACTCTGGGTCCGCTTGGGGTTACCCAGTAAGAAAAGAGCTTTTAAGCTCTCAGCCTTACTGGCACACCAGCTCTAAAAGTGCTAGGGAGATCTCCCATGAGATCTTGAGGGAAGTCACATTGTCCCGCGAGATCTTGTGAGAGCTCTACCTCTCTTTCAAATCAGAACCAGTGAAGGCGGTGAACGTCCTGTGCGAGTGCCTGGAGGCAGTTGGAGAATGGATGGCGGCTAATGGATTGAGGTTGAATCCTGACAAGACAAAAGTACTGTTCTTGTGGGGCTGGTGTGGAGGACCCCCTGATCCTGAATGGGGTAACTGTGCCCCTGAAGGACCAGGAGCAAAGCCTGGGAGTCATTTTGGACTCACAGCTGTCCATGGAGGCGCAGGTCAATTCTGTATCCAGGGCAGCTGTCTACCAGCTCCATCTGGTACGCAGGCTGAGACCCTACCTGCCCGCGGACTGTCTCACCAGAGTGGTGCATTCTCTAGTCTCACGCTTGGACTACTGCAATGCGCTCTATGTGGGGCTACCTTTGAAAGTGACCAAGAAACTACAACTACTCCAGAATGCAGCAGCTCGACTGGTGACTGGGGGTGGCTGCTGAGACCACATAACACCAGTCTTGAAAGACCTACATTGGCTCCCAGTACATTTCCGAGCACAATTCAAAGTGTTGGTGTTGACCTTTAAAGCCCTAAACGGCCTCGGCCCAGTATACCTGAAGGAGCGTCTCCACCCCCATCGTTCTGCCCGGACACTGAGGTCCCGCACCGAGGGCCTTCTGGCAGTTCCCTCATTGCAAGAAGCAAAGCTACAGGGAACCAGGCAGAGGGCCTTCTTGGTAGTGGCGCCCGCCCTGTGGAACGCCCTCCCATCAGATGTCAAAGAGATAAACAACTACCTGACATTTAGAAGACATTTGAAGGGAAGTTTTTAATGTGTGACATTTTAATGTATTTTTAATCTTTGTTGGAAGCCACCCAGAGTGGCTGGGGAAACCCAGCCAGATGGGCGGGGTACAAATAAATTATTATTATTATTATTATTATTATTATTATTATTATTAATTACCACAAGTCCCAGAACCAGCCCACCAAGTGGGTCTTGCCTGAGTGACCCCAAGTGAACCTGCCATTGAAAGAGCTTGTAAGTTATTGGGCTTGCTTGGGACTTGACTTGCACAATTTCAACCGGACTGTCTTCCACTGTGTACAGTTGAAATTGCAGAAGTCAAATGCGCATAAGATGAGGTATATCATCTGGGAGGTGGGAAGGCAAGACATTCCGTATTCTTAAGTATACGTAGAATGAGATTTATTGATACACTCATCCTATTTGTTAAATGGTAAAGTAATCTGCTCAAATGGTTAACAATATAATAAATGAAATGTTAAGTAAGTTCTAATTTCTAGTATGCTGTCAGAGTGAAAGCTGACAATATAAACTGTCAAGCTCTTTTAAAACCTACACAAAGGTATTACAAAGGAATAAAAAAGGTGCAGTGCTTCAACTTTCCTTGATGACTCTGATACAGAGAAAGCTGCACCAAGGTGGAAATTTATGGCACAAAACTGAAAGACTTGACATCCAAGTGAAACATCCTGGCTTAAAGATTTTGCTGACAGCTGTTGCGTGAATAGAACGTGCACACGTCATTTCCTCTATGCAAGACGAACAACCATGACAGCTCAATATGGAAATGTCAATCCAGAATTACACATATGAAACATAAAAATATAAGGAAAATCAATTATTCACGTTTAAGGAGGAAGATTTAGATATGTTCACCATAGTGCCTGTGTGCCTTGATTAAAGAGCTGTATTTAGCATTTTACTGGATGATAAGTGTAATTCAAATATATTTTACAATTCCAAGTTTCTCTAATTTTTCACTAAGGGTTTGCCCTTGAATGCCATTAAATATCCCTTAGAATCCCATAGAACAAGGCACGGATATCTTGTAGTGGGAAAACAAATTGAGAGTGACAGAACATTGGGGAGAAAGGCAAGAAAGCACCAACAGATTAAGAGCAGGAGCAGACTAGGGTCACTTGATCTCATTTATGCCCACTTGACTACTTGGATCTGCAGAACTGGCACTGTTATAGGTAGCATATAATACTAGATCCATACTTCTAAGAAATCAATATTTTGGTGTGGCAGCACCTACACTTTGGAACTGCCTGCTTATTGACATCAGGCAGGCATCTTCTCTGTACTCTTTTTTGGTGCCTGCTTAAAATGTTTTTGATTAGGCAAGCCTATAGAGACATGGAGAAGTTGCATATGTTTTATTTCTTTTTGGCCACTGTTGATTTCATTATTTCATTTCAGTATTTTTGTAATCCACTTGGAGCTTTCCTTAATATCAAGCGGTATATAAATAAACGCAATAATCAACAGGCTGCCTGCCACAGTCTTTTAAAAGTATCAGAGCCTACCCAGAAGAAAGGTCCCATGGGGATTCGTACAATAGTGGTTGCTGCTTGGAAAAGGCAACAGATGATATCTAAAAGCCTTCTCAAATGACGGTCAGTTAGTTCTCTGTTCCCAAGAAAAACAATGGCGGCTTTGGAACTGTGACCTAGAGGAGTGAAGTTACTAAACCAAACCTTGTGCTGGGCCATTGGGCAGCCTGAGCTCTAACTCACATGCACTTAAACTGAACTTGCCATAAGTGCAATACTCCTTTTGTTGACCCAAAAGGATCCTAGTGATCAGGATTTACAAAGATGTTCACTTCCTTCTCCTTGAAAATACAGTTTTTTTGAAATAAAAGAATGCATCATCCTTGTATGTAATGTGCACACTTCTGGCATTCCTGATTGCAAGACATTTTGAGCACTAAGCCAACTTGTCTTTTGAGTTTCGGCAAGAAAATTAACTATGGGAAGGACCCAATATTACACAAGAGGAGCCTAACTTCCCTGCTCTCCCCTGCAGTCCCGCTTGCACTACCAAAAGCTGTCCCAGTGCATTCCTTCAATCATTTGGAGCTGATTTTGAGGGAACACAGCAGACTGCAGGCAGGAGCGGAAGGTGAAGTCCCATTGCATAAGCAGAAGTCTGCTCTGTTTATACATGAGCAGTGTTGGATACACCCCTAAGGCATTACCAGAACAAAAGCAATCGACCTTACACTAAAATTCTATTATTTAGAACATATGTAACAGGCCAGGAGTCACAGATTTACAGTACAAAATCTGTATTTATCACATTGCCACACCTTGATAAGAATGTTTTGAGGACCAGTGTTGTTATTATACCCGTAATTTGAGGATGTCAGAGCATGCCCATTAGCCACTCCTCTGTCTAAATCCATCTTCTCAGAATGGTTTACATTTAACTAGCTTGTAAGCAGCAGCATAAATCCCAAGATTCCGGGAGCAAACCATTACATGTCCTTTTTTTAATGCATACTAAGCATCTCCTTCCAATCTTCTCCCACATACCAGCTGCTTAGCTTGCAATAGCAAGAAACTCAGAATGAACAGTGTTGGCTTGCCCATTAGACAAATAAGACAGTTGTCAAAGGTGACAACCTTGGAGGAAGTAGCAAGATGCGCCCCCCCCTTTGCTTCTGTTCCAGTTATGGAAGAAACCCTAAGTCTTGGTGTTCGTTTCACTCTTTCCCACTGCATCCTGTCATGAAAAAATCAGGTGGAAAGGACTGGGAGCCAAGGATGGGATGAAAGGCTCAACTGAATCATTTCTGCAGCTCAGATCCACTTCCTATTCATGTGAAAGAGGTTAGAACCAGACTACATAAGGTCAGACTATTATAATGTTAGTTTGAAACATGATCACAAATGGGACTTCACATATTTTATCCTGTGAACCACCCTGAGAACTGCAGGTATAGGGTGGTATACAAATTTAATAATAATAATAATAATAATAATAATTCATTTCTTGTCTCCTGGCTTGAGTGCTCTTTAACTGCCATTTGCAAGTGAAATAGGAAGACTGCACTGAGCTGGGAGACTGAGGAGTTTTGGGTTTCATGGTAGCCCAACCATGATTCATAAAGCATGGAAGGATACACAGGGCAGGCATAATTGCTGCTTTTGCCAAGTCCCCACCCATGCTGATATGCAGAATCATTATTCAGCCCATGATATATGACAAAATAATGTCAACAGGAGCAGGTTGGACTACAGTCATAATAGAATGATATACTATCTAAGAAGAGAGGCAAAATAGTCATGGATTTACTTGTTATTCGACACCCAAGAACAAGTCACTGCCTGGCAGTTCCACATCAGCTGACCAGCTAGTTTTCGGATGTGAAATAATAATTAGTGCAAGATTATCCAATTATCAACCACGTTCCCAGGCAAAGTAAGAACCCTGTTTATTGTCGGGTGTGTTAAAAAACGTGTTGAAGAACCATTTCCACTCCACTGAAATAAAGTTTTCTAAGAAATGGTGAAACTACCTACAGAAAACCTGTGAATATTTTGAAAGCAGTATAAGACCTTTCTGATTGTGTTAGCTGAGCTGGATAAGGATGACAGAATGCAAAATATGTTGTGCTTTAAGCCATTTTGTTATATTTAGATCCCCCCCCCCAATGATTGCTTGTATGCTATCCTGAAATCTCAAAATGAATTAGCTTATACAGTATATTCAAATAAATGCAAATTAATATGTTAACATACTTCTGAAAAATCTAGATGCCACAGTAGTGAAATAAATAATTACTAACAAGCCTGAACTTTGTGCAATACTACTAATGGCAACAATAGTCATCTCAAATTATAACATTCAACTGCTATGAACAGCAACTCAAAGAAGTAGAAACTTCACTTGTCCAGGTCTTCTTTGGATGAGGATGCTATTTTTAGAGTAGGATCTGAAACAGGCCTAAGCCCTCTCCAGGCAACAAAAGAGTACATGTGGGCATATAATGGGTTGGGAAAAGATGCCTGTCCACACAAGCCTTTCCCCCAATGACTCGACTGGCTCCTGGTCCTACCCCGCATAATCAGGATTCCTAATTGGAGAAATCTAATTGCATTCTGTAAAATGCTGTTACTGCAGAACTGAATGCAAAAAGGTTGAAGAAGGGACACTAAGTGTGTACACCCTTGATGGCTTACAAAATCTGAGCTCCCACATGTTTTTCTGAATATAATCTCTGGGCTTGTACACTTCCTATCCCATTTATCTTGTTGCTTGCAGAAGACAAAAGAATGCAGCAGAGAAACCTCCTATTTATTTGAACTCATGATTTAAAGGTAGAAGGTTGCCCTCACTCAGTACCTTTTCTCTGTGCTGAGGGCAAAGGTGAGAGTTGAGGAGGGTTACATGGGAGCCTGAAGCCCAAGGGCCAAATAGCACCCAAACAGGAAGTATGTTTCAAAACACTCTTCACCTACTCTGCTGAGAGAGACCTCACAGTCAAGCTATTCTTAGAAGTCTTCTTCCTTCAGTAAAAAGTCAGAAGATACCCATATCACAACACTATAGTCAAGTAAGCTGACATTTTTAATAAGTCAAAGGTTTCTTCTCATCTTGTCATTTTAAAGAGCAAAGTGAACCAGCGTAACTTTCAGCTTGCAGACCACCTAAGAATAAGAGCCATGACAACATGAAAAAGATTAGCCCAAATTATTAGCAATGATAGTCTGAGGCTCTTGCAAGCACTTACAATTATTACTCCTTTTCCGTTTGTTCTGTTTCCCCCCAAAGCCTCCACAGTCACTATTATGGATGACCTTTAAAGTCCAGCAAATAATTCAGGGAAACGCAGGAAGAAAGAGGCGGATGGGAATATGCTGGAAATATATTAAAGAGCCCTTGGGCTAAATTAGAAAATTGCCACTTTGTTCAGAACTTAAATGAAAGAAGAACCAACAAACAAATGTTCAGATGTGTTCCAGAACTTCAGTCGGCAAGATTTCAAATGCCACACATGGCTCAGCCAATTAAAAGGGGGCAATTTATCATTAGGACTCCTACTACTTCCTTACTAGAAGGCCACATACCTAACAACTAACAACAACTGAACCCTTCAGTAGATGTCACACTTGTAACAGAAAGAAAATAGAATTCTTTAAACAAAAGGGAAATCTAAGGGAACAAATCTTTAAACAAAAGGGAAATGCTTCCTGTAAGTCAGACTGAAGAGGCTGCGAAAATAGACAGAGCAATTCTATGTTAATATTGTGCTGCCACTCCACTGATGGAACAGCCGCTGCATCCATGCGTGCTTGGCCCAAGGGGACAAAGTGAAAACACATAACACAGAAAACACACAAACAGCATAGCAATGACAGACACACCCACAACGTCCCTGAAAATTCTGCCAGCGTCCACCACATGGTAAGCATACATGAAGGGGCTAAGGCACACAACCTGCTTCACCACACACAAAACATGCACAACACCACGTCCGCCCCACTCCATCAGCCTCAGTCGCGCAGACAATGATGTTCCCCCAACTGCTAGTCCCCATGCATCTCTCCCTACGGACAGGGGCTTGAATCCCCTAATGCTCCTCACAACCAGTTTTACAAGCACCACACGTGAGCACACATACACACAGGAACGGACAAGGGGTCATCAGCCACTCAGGGGTTCATGAGCCACTTTTCTGGCAAGCAGCCAATAGCAGGGACCAGGATATGCAATGAAGGCAGCCACAGAAACACACTGACAGCAGTGACCTCCAGTGGCCGACTCAGGAGGGCATGGAGTTCTTCTCTCAACCCGTCTTTCTCCCCCCTCATCTCTTCTGAACCCCGCTCACTGTCTCGTACACCCTGGCAGCATGCAATCAGGGGACCTGTCTTAGAGCCCATCAAGCCTCTTGCCCACCCCTGAGGTCATATATAATTATTATTAGTAGTATTATCATCATCATCATCACTCCCATGCTTCCTCCCAAAAGGAGGTCATGGCAGCAGACAGCAAAGAAGCAAAGCAATCAATTTAAAAATAAAAATAAAGTATTTAAAAACAATAAAAACTTCTAAAAACATTTTTTTAAAACACTATATTCCACTACTAGGGTGGGGGAAATGGATCCCTGTCTATCAATCCTTGACAACAAAGAAACAACACATACAGCACAGTCAAAATCTTTAATTGTTGGCTAAAAAAAAAATCCCCTTACTCTGAAATCAGTGGGAGTAAAATTCTTGGTTCTAGTTCTGCAATGGAGATGGAAACTTATTTTGCAGGATACAAATTAAGTGTGCTTCTTTGCCATGCTGCCCACATTCCCATCCCATTTCAGCCTTTCTGACAGCACAACGTCATAAGCAGAATGGCTTCGATGACTGAGTCATGGCCACATTCCACCAGCATAGGAAGGCTCATGTCTAAACCTATAGGACCTCAACTGTCAGACTGCAGTATAGAATTACATCCTAAATATCCAAAGCAGCCACAACAAAAATAAAACACTAGTTCATACAAAGCCAATTAGAGAGAAAAAAATCTGAAAGGAAACAGTAAGATTAAGAATGTATACAAGTAGAAATTCATAGGTGTACCAGAAAACAATAAAAACAACAGCACTGAAAGAAAAATCTAATTAAAAGCTCCAACCCCCCCCCATGAATGTATTTATCTGGTGCCTAAAAGTTAGAAGGGTAGGCATCATTCAAGCGTCCCTTGGGATGCTGCTCTGTCACCAGTCTCCACCTTCCTCAACTCAGATGGGAAGGACACTTGGACCATGGCTTCCAATACGGATCTCAAGCAACTTCATATTTTATACAAGCATTTCCAAGCTACAACAGGATTCCATTAGCACAGGCAGTGTACACAGAGGCACTATTGTCTGCAATCCCTTCCACTACTTTAGGCGTACCAAAGAGCTTCTGCGTGTTCCATAGGCCTTTTCATCTTACAACACAGCATGGAGCACTATTGTTCAAGAATGACAAATCCAAGGCCACACTAAGTGCCCAGAGCTAGCTGAGCAGCTCCTTAAATAATGGGTTCTTTGGATCACATAAAACATGTAAATGAAAGAGCAGGTGTTTGAACTGGGTGGAAGGAGTTCTCTTGGTGAAAGCTTAGGGTTTTGGAGGAGGAAATTAAAATTATACCTAAGGGTTTGTGAAAAGTCTAAAGTTTTCAAACTAAAACATTGTGTGTGTGAGAGAGAGAGTGTGTGTGTATGTGATTGCAAGCCCTTTTGAGTCAAAACCTGTCTCTGTCACTCCCTTGTTAAATAAAATATAAATGTTTTGTAATCTGCCCTCAGCCCAGGATAGTATAAGCAAGCCTTAAATGCATACATAAATAAGCCAGTAGACAAATTATTGACTGGAGACAACTATTGGAAACCAATAGCACTGATATCCCAGAATAATGCAATAAACATACATTCATCTCATCAGGATAGCTAGCAGTTTTAATTTTCCATATATGGTTAAATAACTAAAATCTCACACAAATACACTAATTATAAAGAGTGCTATTGGAGTGCTACAGTGCTACAGTGAATACAGTGCTAGTGGAGTACAGTGGTGCCCCGCAAGACGAATGCCTCGCAAGACGGAAAACCCGCTAGACGAAAGGGTTTTCCGTTTTCAATGCGCTTCGCAGGACGAATTTCCCTATGGGCTTGCTTCGCAAGACGAAAATGTCTTGCGAGTCTAGAGATATTTTTTTCGCTTTCCCCCCCCCTTTATCTAATCTGCTAAGCCTTTAATAGCCTTTAATAGCCTTTTAGCAGCTAATCCCCTAAGCCTTTAAGCCTTTAATAGCCGCTAAACCGCTAATAGCGCTAATCCGTTAAGCCGCTAATAGGGTTGCTTCGCAAGACGAAAAAACCGCTAGACGAAGACTCTCGCGGAACGGATTAATTTCGTCTTGCGAGGCACCACTGTATGTTATTCAATCTGAAAAAGATGGTTTTTTTGTTGCCTTCTTTATTGAAGGTCTGACTCACAATTGTTAAAATCAATGGGAGCTTTGTCATTAGCAAGAATGGGATGTGGGCCGCATTCAATTATTTTAAAGAAGATAAAAAACAAGAATCAAAGTAAGGCATACTACACTTACTCTAACTTTTGGCAGGACTCTTCTTAGCGTCTCTGCAGGATTCTGTCGCATCAGAACTGGAAGACTTGCAACCACGCTTGTTCCTTGGATATCCTGACCAGAACTTATAAAAAAACACATTTGTTTTAAAGTATTTTGCAATGAGAACATCTTTAGCAAAAGACAAAAAAACCCAAAAAACTTTTGCTCATATCTCTCTTGTTTAAGCATTACAATACATAAATTACACGTATTTAACGCTTTGAAATTTAATTTAAAAGTGCATGCAACACAAATCTTCATTTAATTAACTAGAAGTAGCATAACAATACACAACGAAAACATTCTACCTCCGATGTGATGTGATTGAAATGCATTCAGTAAAGTCACAATGTATCCTTAAAACACCATTTTAATTGCTTTACCAAAACAGAAGCAACATGCAGCTGAGGCAAGACACTGTTACAAGCCAATGAAAGTCTTATCATTTCCAGATGTGTAGCAAGTAGTATTTTTGCATCACCAATAAAGCAACTGCTAACTTGAGGGGGCTTGGTAAGAATGTACAGTGGTACCTCGCAAGACGAATGCCTTGCAAGACGAAAAACGCGCAAGACGAAAGAGTTTTTCGTTTTTTGAGTTGCTTCGCAAGACGAATTTCCCTATGGGCTTGCTTCGCAAGACGAAAAACGAAAACGTCTTGCAAGTTTGTTTCCTTTTTCTTAAAATCGTTAATACCCTATGGGAAACCGTGCTTCGCAAGACGAAAAATTCGCAAGACGAAAAAACTCACAGAACGAATAAATTTCGTCTTGCGAGGCACCACTGTAATCTCAACCCTGAAACCACAAGCAAGAGTAATCTGTAATAACCAGTTGTTGTTATTATTAATTATTATTATTATTATTATTAATTGTACCCCACCCACCAGACTGGGTTGCCCCAGTCACTCTGAGCAGCTACCAAGATATATAAAAACATAATAAAACATTAAACATTTAAAAGTTCCCTATACAGGGCTGCCTTTGGATGCCTTCTAAAGGTTGCATAGCTACTTATCTCCTTGACATCTGATGAGAGGGCATTCACAGGGTTGGTGCCACTACCAAGAAGGCCCTCTGCCAGATTCCTTGTCATTTCACTTCTCACAGAGCTGGATCTCAGTGAACAAAAGGAGTGAAGATGCTAAGTGCTTGGAATCAAATTATTGTAGCTCTGCTTTCAAAGTACCGTAAGATACTCTTCCTTCATCCACCAACCATTTCATCCAGAGGAAGCAGAACATGGAAAAGGTCCTTCTATATTCCTCCCCATAAAGCAGGGATTGAGAACTTGTGGCTCTCCAAGTGCTGTGGGACTGCAACTCCCATCATCTGTGACCACTGGCCATGCTTCCTGGCCTAATGGGAGCTGGAGTCCAGAAATATTTGTAGGGCTGCAGGCTGTCCATTCTTGCCACAACAGCTCAGTTGGGTTCCAGACCTTGTTGGAACAAGCTGTTAACATGGAGTTGTCCAAAGTCCAGCTCCTCCAGGCTAGTACTTGCTACTGACTGAGTGGCTGGTATGCTTTTGATTGGCTTACATAGGAACAGAACATAGGCAGCTGCATAATACTGAATTAGAGTATTGGTCCATGTAGCTTAGTATAATCTGTGCTGACTGGGAGTGCCTCTCGAGGGTCTCAGACAAGGAATCCCTTCCTAGCCCTACCTGGAGATGCCAAGGATGGAACCAAGCATTTTCTGCATGCAGAGCAAATGCTCTACCACTGAGCTACAGCCCTTCCCCTTTGCCTACTCCTGCTCCTTCCAGAATCTCTTCTCACCCATGGACTTCTCTACATACAGGACAGGAGACAAATTTATAACATGAGCATGGGATGATATTTTAGGAGCCTCACAATAGCTGGTTCTGGCACTTGAGCCTTATGCTATATATGGGGGAAACTGTAACTTGAGTGCTGGGGAAATACCCTTAGTAGACAAATTTGAGATGAAAACCAACATTCAGTTACAGTAGTTCAGTTACGGACTCCAATCTACATCCTGACATACAATCAGAATGGGTTTCTTCAGTAATAAGGCAGGCTATTATGCAGAATATTGGATTTCACTAATTTAACTAATAGATAGAAAGATAGATATACCGGTATATGTATGTATATGTATTAGACAACTCTCATACTGGGGAATCATTATCCTTGAATAATATAACATCTGTTATAAAAACTTTAGGGATATTCAACTGGGGTCCTTTTGAAGGGCTGGGGAGGGAAGAAAGATAAGGAACATAAGAATAACCTCATTGCTTATTTGTAGTAGAAAGAGGCACATAACAAAAAACTCAAAATTGAATGCACAACATATTCAATTCAAATCACAACATATATGGTTAAAAGGAATTCAGATAGCGTTACTAGAAAATACATCTGTCTGAGACCTTGAAGACAGTATGCCCAGATGCACTAATTATCTGACTCAGTATAAGGCACTTTCACATGTTCATGTTTCTGTTAATAAATTCACACATATTTTAAAAAATAAAAGGGTCCAGATGGAAATGTTAAGTACACAGTGTCAGTCTCTCAAACTATAGCAAAGTTTTGAATTGCTTCCAAGATTTGTCTTTATGGGAAGTTCTTAATTCTGTACTAGATAAATCTTTTTCATATTAATCCTGCTTAAAAAAAAAAATCTTCATCACATGTTAACATGCTATACTATAATAAACACATATATGTGAATCATTTTCCGTGAAGTTAACCAATAAAATGATGTGGCAGGGGGGATGGGAAGAGTTTCGTTCATTTTGGCATAAAAAGGAAGCCAGCATTTGTGTAAACTGTATGTTAACGCAAAAAAGTGGTGTGATGATATGCAATTCTAAAGAAAAATGAGGCCTTTCCTTTAAAAAAAAAAAAGCTCCAAGTGGCTGGCTTGCTGTCAATTTAAAATGAGAAGCAGAGGGTTTTTAACACCTACACAAGCTGTAATTTTCCAACTGTGGAAGATTTTTCTTTTATTTCTTCTTAAATAGCAGAATTGGTGATCCTCTGCTCTTTAGCGATTCTGAATGAAAACCATCTATCATATTGTGGTCACTCCAGCAGTTTTAACACTGTAAGATGCATCAAAATATACACACACACTTTTTATTTCAATCAGGGGTTGCTGCAAATTCAGCATTGTCTAGAAAGTGTCATTTTATTAAAAGCACTAACCACAGGAAAGCTCTCCCAAAACTTAGTCAACTTAACTATTCTGCCATTGTGTGAACAAACTTCATAATGCTAAGGTTTTCATGGAGGGAAAATCATTTCTACATTTTCAATTTTTTTCTATAGAAGTTAAGCTATATATAGTGATATTAGATTACAAACAATCAGGTCCTGCAACAAAATGTTGCAGTGCTCAATGCTGTTGCTCAGGATTTCAGCGCTTCATCCCATTCCCGCTTCCACCCAGTTAGTTTGTCATCACCCCACCAACTACAAAAAAACCCAATGGCAACACTAAGTCAGTATCCTGTGGCCACAAGACTACAGTCTGTCCTCTTAGGCATTTTGGGGGGGTGGGTGCCAAGCCACCTAAATAACTTTTACCAACCTTGGGGCTCCCTTAAGACTGTTGATGGAGCCTGTGAAAAAGACTGAACTATAGTCCTAGAGTGCTTGTATATATTATGGGAATGTTTGCCTTGCTTGTATGTCTTATTGCAACTTGAGTGGGGGTTACCAAGTTAACTTTGCATTGTTCAAGTGGAAATTTGCTCTGCTAGTGGAATGGCAGAGTTGGGTGTTACCTTTTGTGCTGTTATATACAAGACTGCACAACATCTACACTCTTTGATTCCAGTAGGAAGATCTGCACAGTTGGACAAGTTCTGCTCCAGCTATTTCCATGGTGAGAGGTAATTCAGTGAGTAACAAATGCAAAAACCTCCTAGACAGAACAATCCAGTAGTCGTGGGTATGCTACTGGTACTGATTCCTCCCCTCTACACACAGACACACACACAGAGGAATAGGTCACACCCAATAAATACAAAGCTCAACTTTTCTAGCTAGTCTAGAGCATGTTGAAGGTTGTAGAAGCTGGAGGATCCTGCTCTAGCACTATGTTTCTGAAGTCAAGGCAGAGCGTTCTGCTCAAATAGACTTCAAGATAATGACTGATGCAAACTCTGAATATGAGCTTATCTCAATGCCTTGCCTTCAGAAGCATATTTAGAGAGCTTTCTTATCACCATTACTAAGTGGATAAGCAGATCCATTAACAGTTTTGGATGCATGCCTCAGAAATAGTAAGGCTGCAATTCTTAAATTACTTGGGAGAAACTTCAGTTGAATTCAGTGGGCCCTAATCTGTTCAAGCTGCGCATCATGAAACATAGTGGGACAAAGGATAGAAATGACAAGACTCTTCACAGTATATCAAAAAGTCATTTCACATGGCTGGGGGCAATATATATTCTTTGCAGCCTTCCAAATAACTTTTGAACAACCTGAAAGCTCATTGGAAACCTGACAACAGCAGTATGATTATTTGTGTTAAAATATATACAAACTGCTTTAACATATGAAGAAATTCCAAAATGATGTACAAAAAAGGACAAACAATGCAGAAATATAATATAAGATAAAATCAATTTAAAATACAACAATTCCACAAATCATAATAACCAGAGTCTCATTTACCTACAAAGCTCAATCTGTCAAGGTTTTAATATTTATGTTGAGTTAATACACATACAAATGGCAACAAAATGCTGTGGTTTGGAGTGCTCCTGTTCAGCAAGAAATGTTCATGCCCTTTTGCAGGATACTCCATTTCACTACCGTCCTAAGCCCACTAAGCATGGTCAGTCCTCACTGGGCTGTCTTTCACGTCCTCCACCACTTTGGGCCTTTTTCTAAAGGGTTGTGCATGTGGTTTTTTTGTACTTCTGCAAACCTTTGATACTTCCCTCTTATGCTGACACCTCCCTCTTGTTGATGGATAGGGCCATTCAGACTTCATAAGGATTCAGTTCACTATTGTTATAGATAAAATATAAAAAGCAAGCTCCTAATCCCTTGTGATTTAAAAGATACATTTAAATATGTGACTTACTTAAATAAGAAACCTCAAGATAAAATGGAGCCCAAATTCACCACAAATTATTAGCACTCAATATTCTGACCCACATAGTAAAAATTTCCATGAGTTACTGAAAGCTTTTCACAATTAAAGGTTACTATTATCAGAGGGCGATAGAATTAGTACAAGGCGTTCACAGAACAGGAACTTGCATATTCATGAGAAAGATATGCAAATTACAGATTTCATGCAACTCAAGTGTGCATCTTAACCGTGATCCTCCAACTCAAGATATATTTAGGGAACTGTCTTTAGCATCAAGCAAGTCCCCGTGACCAATACCAACTTTAAAAACCCATTTTCTTCCAAAACATGGGCACAACCAATCAGTCATCTTTGTTAGGGCTCAAACAATCCTTGCCAAGTCTACTCAGAAGTCCTAAAAAGAAAGTATAATTTTTGCTTCAGAACTATTGTTTCTACTCATATGCAAAGAAACAATAATTTAATCAGCCATGTGCATGACACGAGGTACAGATTCTCAAGAACCACTGGTCAAGAAGGTTTTAGCATTTGGCAGAAGCCCCAATACACTTGCAGCGTTTCCCAAACTTAGGTCTCCAGCTGTTTTTGGACTACCACTCCCATCATCCCTAACTAACAGGACCAGTGGTCAGGGATGGTGGGAACTGTAGTCCAAAACCAGCTGGAGACCGAAATTTGGGAAACCCTGCACTAGAGGAATACGAGATATGACACCACAGTTACAGATATGCTAGCAGAGTCGTTCTGCTGGCTGAGCGGCTCCACCACCAAACATATATGCAAGGCAAAACAGGGCAGAAACATAGATGGGTCATGGGCAGCACAGGAGAGGAGCACACATGTGTCATACCCAATACTCCTTCCGTCCATGGTTAGATCTCGACTGATGGCACAACTTGTTAGTGGCTACCCCTTGATTTTCTTTCCCACTGACCAATGGGGGATTTAAATTTATATACAGTCAGACCTACATCAACAACTGTTAAACCTGTATTACAAAACAGGCTAGGGTGCAACTTAGCATCCAGTGAAATGTGCATGGTATGGAAGGAGCCAGTACAAGCCTCCAACCAGGTAGCCAGGAAGAGGACTTCAACAGCTTCCCAACACACATACACACCACTTTCCCCAAATCTCAGCTTGTTTTGTCATCTGGGCATATAAGAAGCTCAGTTTCAAAACAAGTAAACTTTGAACCATGGGTTGTTAAATTAACCAACATTCATTATAAACCACAAGCTGTGATGCACAGGACAAAGGAAAGCAAGATTCAGCAAAGCAAAAGCCTACTGAAGTCTTCCTTCTGGCTGTAGGAGAAAAGCGAGGGGGACCACAAGAGACTAAGGCTCATGGCAACTCCTTCTTGCTTTTGCACATTTCACTAAAGTTTAACATGCCATATAAACTTGGTCAGTGGGTCAGGGATTGGACAGTTAAAAATACTAGAGACAGAATTCATCCAGAACTGCCTTCTCAACAATAATGGCTGGTGGTTTCAGTCAACTTTCCATCATCTCTAAAGGTAAGTTCTAAGGGATCCACTCCTATAGACTAAGTTGGAGTCCAGCTGATTTTATTTATTTCATAAAAAATTGTACACCACTTTATTGTATCATCATCATCAACAACAACAAGAAAGTGGTGTACAAATAGATAAAACAAGAAAATCAAGATCAATTTACAATACAGTCGTACCTTGGAAGTCAAACAGAATCAGTTCTGGAAGTCCGTTCAACTTCCAAAACGTTTGGAAACCAAAGCACGGCTTCTGATTGGCTGCAGGAAGCTCCTGCAGCCAATTTGAAGCTGCAGAATCCCCACTGGACGTTTGGCTTCCAAAAATAGTTTGCAAACCAGGAGCCATAACATTTGAGAACTAAGCTGTTCGAAAACCAAGGTACGACTGTACTTTAAAATTTTCAGACTCAAAGGGTAAATGAACACTGTAATACATATTGTGTTCTTTTCTAGAATAATGTTGACTTGCTTGTTTGTCTTCTCCTTTTTTATTTATTAACCACTGAGCAACACCCAGCTTGTGAGCTCTTACTGGTTGGAACAGCTGACTGGATAAGGTAAAATAGAAAAATCTAACTTCTAACAGATTACAGGCAAATTACCTAAGCATGCAAATAGACAGAGATGAATCAGGCTCTTTTCTGATTAGCCCAAGTAGTAAAATTCAGGCTCTGCTGGAGTCAAATGGCATGGAGAAGTGTAATCCAGTTGCTACTCCAATGACTCTAGAATATTAAAAGCAAGATGATGAAAAAGAATTTGAGGATATTGACAAATACAGAAGTGTAATTGGAAGTTTGCTTTATTTAGCAAACATATCCAGGCCTGACATATCAAATGCAACTGACATACTTAGCAGAAAAATGTCCAAGCCAACACAGCAAGATTGGAATGCAATGAAATGTGTTTTAAGATACCTTAAAGGAACCATTCATCATACAGCGGTACCTCGGGTTACATATGCTTCAGGTTACATACACTTCAGGATACAGATCCGCTAACCCAGATACTACCTAAAACAAAACACTTAGATATACTCTATGCACATGTGAAATATTGCATTTTTAAAGTGTGGCTCAAGCTCAGGTATTGTTCCACAGAGCTTATGACTACAGATATTTTTACAAAGCATTTGACTGCTGTAAAATTTCAAATGCTGACTATGGAATTGGGACTTACTGAATAAAAGGAGGGGGGAGAATACCAGGTGTTCAAGGCAGAATTTCAAGTCAGGAGGGCTGTTGGAATATTCTAGAAGAAACTTGTAAATGGCCTTGAACAAGTTGCTAGGCAACGGAAAATTTCCCCAGGAACAGGTGTCCTTATCAGGGCATGAGATCAACTAAGTTGGGGTCAGCGTAAATGAGAATGAGAATGTGAATGAGTCAGCGTTAGGTCTCTGGCCGGATGGCTAAAAGGAGGAAAAGATTATGTTTCTTTATTTGTTTTGTTCTTTACTGATGACCAATGTAAAGTTTTGTAAATAATAAAGACTCTGAGCCAAATGGTTTTATTCCTGCTTGGCAGGGGGTTGGACTCGATGGCCCTTGTGGTCTCTTCCAACTCTATGATTCTATGATTCTATTCCTGTACAGTGGACGCTCGGGCTGCGAACGTGATCCATGCGGGGGGCATGTTCACAACCCACAGCTTTTGCAACCCACAGTGCCACGTCTGCGCACACGCGGGTTGTGATTCAGTGCTTCTGAGCATGCGCAAAGTGTGATTTAGCGCTTCTGTGCATGCACGGCCGCCGAAACCCAGAAGTAACCTGTTCCGGTACTTCGGGGTTTCAGCGGGTCCGTAACCCGAAAAAACGCAACCTGAAGCATCTGTAACCCAAGGTATGACTGTAATGGGAATTTCACTAAGAGATAGCTGGAATGCTGCTGCTGCTGTAAAGAAGTAGAAGGTGCAGGAAAACTTTTCTGTAAAAAGAACTCTGCTGCAGAAATAAATGAAAACCCAAGAGTAGATGCTCACACCAACAGTGCATAGAGATACGAGGCATATGAAGTCACACACACACATACTACACAGTGTGAATTTTAATTAAGGGAAATGTATACAAATGCATCACCAAGTTATTTTGCCCAAATAGTATTTGGGTTAAATACATAGATATTTGTAGTCATATGTACAGCCTTCATCAGAGGTCTGGGTGGGGTACAATACATAAGCTGCAATACAGAAGTACACAAACACACTAATAACCATCAGAACTATAAATCAATATAAATGTCTGCACTGTTAAGAGATATATGTGTTGGGAAGCCCAGATTGCAGTAAGCTTCCCCTGATATTATGGATTCAGTCAAGGACAAGCATAGCACACACATATGGAGGTTTTTATGCTCTGGAGCACAAGTAACTCATGGGAAACAAAACACATGTATAAATCTCCTTTTCCCTGCTATTCAACTTAACACTCTCACATTGGTAGGAAAACAAGGAATAAAGCCACTAGGACTCTTCTGCATATATCCATGCACTGTGCCTATGTTCAACTGGAACAAGCTCTATATTTCTGTTTCCATACTCTGGTTTGGAAACTAATATAGGAAGCAGCTTATAAGTTCTCATTAAATTATAAAAGGTATTAGGAAGGTCATGGTTAAATAAAGCAAGCATATCTTTCCTTCGGATATCTGACACTGATTAAAACTTAGCTTTGCTCCATAATATCAGCAACTAGTGGTTCTATTTTTGTTTTTTGTTTTTTTGCAAATAAAGGCTCAAATGCACAGACACTGTAACTTGCTAATGGTGATTCAGCAGATTACACAACAGAAAAGTTTTTGGACAACTAGAAGCATTTGAGTCATAATGTACATTTCATATCCAGTTTATTTAATTCACATAGCTATGAACAAAGTATTAAACACAATCAAATTCCTTCCTACCAGGTCAATCACTTGTGACTGCAAAATGCAAATGGCAAGAATAGCAAAAGTTGGACATTTATTTGTTCCATTCAGTTTGTACCAATGGTGTCAAGCTACAAATGCCTCATACTGATTCGTATTATGGTTTTTTCGTATACAAAACACTTACTGTGATTCACATCCACTGTAAAACAACATAAAGGCTACAATGATCACCACAAAGGGTCAAGTGGTTAAACCAAAAGTGGTGGAAGCTCATCCAGGAACATAAACTAATAGCCAGGTTTTAGAACTACTGGTAATGTGGATATGAATACTTATGGAAGTCAAACCACAAATGTGTGAAAATGTCTGGCTATATTACAAAGAAAAACTAGAGACTTCAAGAACAGGTGAAGACTTCTTTTGAAGAAACAGCTTTGAAATTAGCACAATGGGCTCCTTCTGTACTTAAAAAAAGAAATCTCTTGTACAAATCAAAAGCATGACTGTGCTCACTGTTTGCCTGCTTTGGTTTTCAGGTCAGAGTAGTGTTTCAATTGAAATGCTGAGCTAAATGGATACTCTGATCCAGAAAGGCTCTGCTTATGTTCTTGTGGCAATGAACAATAAATGAAAGGTAAAACGCAGGGCAAGGGATCCAGAGTGTCCTACTGTCTTCAAAGGAAATGTTTTGCTGAAAGTATGTAAAATATTACTCTCCAATGCTTGATAAGGCCCATTTTTAAAGCATCTCTCTTTCCTCCCGCCACAATTCCTCTTCCTTAGGTTATCATTCCAATTCTTAACATACTACCGTACCATACTTAACATACTATTTTTCCATGATGCCTCCATGTATAAGATGCCCCCTATTTTGGGGGATGCAAAATTAAGAAAATGGGGGGGAGTGCCCTGAGTTGTTGAGCTTTTTTGGGGGGGTGGCCAAATGTTGTGCAGCTTTTTTTAGGGGGAATTGTCAAAAATCGCTCACCCGCCTGACCTACGTTACCACTTGCACACGTCACAAAGGCCACCTATCGTCTGTCCCCACAACACCAAAAGCCGCCAATCACCCACCCTAGTGCTGTAGTGACAGCCAATCAACAACAACCCATGTCACAGACACCAATAACATGCCAAATACCCGCTTGACAATTTCCAGCTCGTGACACAAACCAATCCCAACTTCCAAATATGCACTATCCATGTATAAGAAGACACCCAATTTTGGACATAATTTTTAAATAAAAAATGCTCATCTTATACACAGAAAAGTATGGTATATGATATCCATGCCCCATCTACCGAATTTCTAACCACTGCAGTAGCCCAGGAGTTGAACATATGTTGGACACTTTCACAAAACTGAGAATCACATCATGTGAAGTCTCCAGCAAGCACCCTGTTGTGGCAAAGACCCTTAGCTTACCCTCTCATGTGTATATATTGCTATGAGGCTTTTTTGGTTTTTAAGATTTTTACTAAATCTTAGATAAAGATATTTCATAAAGACCATATTTCATAAAGACACTGCAGTGTCTGCTGTGCCTAATTTCTGAAGGAACCACAAACCTGGCTGAGTGCCAAGACCCCTGGAATCTCACACCAGTTGACAAAGATTGGAGCAGCCTGTAATTTCTATTATAGAAATTGAATTGGGCGTGCTGGGGTTTACTGTACTTTATGCACAACCTCTTCAATGATACCATGTTCTTTGAATAATCACTGCTACTATCCTCTTTGTTTCACCTGTTAGAATTCAAGAACCACATTCTTTAAGACATGATATGTCTAATATTCATTCACCCATTAGCTGAGAAGACTCAGCATATGGCATCAGTGGTTAGTCAACATCAACTTCCATTCCAGGTTTTCAGTTCTCCATCTCCAGAATGCACTAGTTGCCAAGACAAAAAAGAACTGCAGATACATATCATTGCCTTTGTGGCAGCAACCCAACTGCTAATTTCAGTACTGATAGCAGAGAGTTATAACATCAGTTTCAACCAGTGTGAATTGTTACTAATCTGTTGTTAGCATTTTGTTATCAAAATTTTAGGAGATTACAATGTTACAAGTTTGACATTGCTTTGGGCATAGTTGCCACTTCTGATTGTGCTTACATTCTCTACACAAAGAGATTAGAAACACCCACAGAAAATATGCATATGAATAATAATAATAATACAGGTACAGTCTTATTTCATCTGATAAAGGAAACATTTTATGCAGAAGAAAAATGTGTTGTCTGTTATACGAAAATATGAATCTGAGATAATGGGGGGGGGACATGTGCTTATGTGAGCAAGCAGAAACACACACACACACACAAGACCATTAGTCCATCTTGCCCAATACTGCATGCTCTATCAGAGGTTCTCCAAAGATGTCCCCCCCCCCCATTTCTGTGGATAGGAAATTCCCGAGCCTCAACCTGAAAACCAGTGAAAGGTGCCAGGAAAAAAGTTCCAGCTAGCATGGGGCAATTGCACAATAATCTTTTTTTTTTTTTCCCTTCCCCTTGTGCTGCTTACATTAATTCCACTTATCCCCAGTCTGTTATGGCTAGCAGAGATCAATACAGTGGTCAACATAAGTTTTTGAGTTCATGGCAATCTCAGCAGGCATACCTAACACTCCAGAAATTATAGGTCTACAAGCATCTTAGAACATTCTCAGCAATGGAAAGCAGGTGCTAGTCATATTTCAACCTTTGTTTACACAATGCTATAATACTCCTGCAAGCACCAAACTGCAATCTACATATACTGGACAAAGAAGGTGGGGTAGGCTTGCTGTGTTATTTAACCAAGCCACAGGGTGCTATAGCAATCTACAATGTCTATTAAGGTCTTAACTCAATTCACTCTTTCTTCAATATGGTTTTACAAAACAGAACTTTTCATACAGTGAGTCTCCCTAGGACAGTTTGAGCCTCCCCAGCAGGAAGGCACGGAGCCCATACTATTCCTCTGACACAGTTCACGCTTGGCCCCAGGTAAACAGATTGGCAGGAGGACAGCAGCCATTTAAAATGTGCAGAAATAGCACACCATGCAGCTCTTCTAGTTGTGGGTGTCTGGTGGCATAAATGAGCACCTCCTCATATAAAAACAATCACCTTTTTTCTAAACTTAAAAGCCCCAGACAGTGTAATCTTTCCTCATAGGGGAGTTGCTAGGTTTATGATACAGTGGTACCTCGGGTTACATACACTTCGGGTTACATACGCTTCAGGTTACAGACTCCGCTAACTCAGAAATATTACCTCAGGTTGAGAACTTTGCTTCAGGATGAGAACAGAAATCGTGCTCTGGCGGCGCGGCAGCAGGAGGCCCCATTAGCTAAAGTGGTGCTTCAGGTTAAGAACAGTTTCAGGTTAAGAACAGACCTCCAGAACGAATTAAGTTCTTAACCTGAAGTACCACTGTACTCTGTAAATGATAGTATGCACTAATGGTGCTGTAGTGAAAACACAAAGCCTAAAAGAAGAATCTCATCATTTCTGTTTGTCTGACTTGGCCCAAGTGAGACACTGAGGGAGGTCAAAAGACATCCTTCTTTCTCAATAGTGGCCCCAAGAGCCTGGGAAGCCCATTTGTCGGACTCACGTGTCTTACTTCAGAGAGACAGGTGAAAACGTGTTGTTGTTACTATTTTTATATTAATATCACCACTACTATTCACAAGGCTTTGCGAATTGGGTTTTTTGCAAGCTGCTTCTTCTTCTTTATTTTTTTACCCGTTATGAACTTTTAATGTTTTATTATGCTTTGATTGTTGTTGTTTTTTAAATTGTTCATGTCAATAAAAAAATAAAAGAAATCTGAAGCCACTCTGGCAACTCTCCACACCTTGCTGGGAAAGTCCACCTCCCACTTCGACAGCTAGAAGACCTTTAGAACAAAAGATCTCACCTTACTTACATTGTCTGTCTCAGTTGTCTGGAACCAAAACTAACGCACTCTATACACTTAGTTTAATTTGCTGCTGTTCTTATTAAGATATCTAGTTACAAACTGGCCTTTACCTGCCACAAAGCTTGTGTCTGAATTATTTAATGGGCTAATTCTACACAGGTTTCCTACTACTTCTGTTTTAAAGAAGGGAGTCCTTACATTTCAATGGTTTATTTAATTTACCATTAGATAGTCAACATGATTAGCCCACTGTTGTTTAACTATGATTAAATAAAAACAAGAATTGGCTGCATGCTACTGTAGCTATGTATCATAGTAACCTTGTTTACCAAGATCAGCTTGCTCAATCCAAGTTTCTTATTCCTTTGTTTTCTGACGAAAGAACTGCCAGCAAGAATGGAATAATTCAGACAAATGGCTATTTTGAGACATTGCCAAATCAAGTGTATGCCGGTAACCTCTTTCTTTCTTTTTCAGAGTTTATTTCACCAAGTTCAAGCTTTAATTGCTGTTTGCCAACAGAAAACTCCCCCACTCACAATCTTAAAATTAAAGAAATGCTATAAACATAAGGAAATATATCTCCCGTCTAGAAAAGCTTTAGTTACACAGTACTAGAAATAGTGGAAAGCATTTCCTTAATGGCAAGCTGACATGCTGTTTCCTTCTTACGGAAGAAGTAATTGGAAATCACCAACACGCTTGTGTGGGTGTTCATCCTTCCGCTCATGACTTTGAAGCTAGAAGCCCTTTTCACACATTAAATGGAAGGAAAGGGATGCACCATCCCTCCTCTTGATCTCCATATTCAGGGGAAGGTAAGGATAAAGTCTACAAGTTTACAACTTGCACTTGTGTAGTCTCTCTCTGCATTATCAGGTGCCCTCAAAAAGGAAAGGACCCTAATTGTGCATACAGTTCTAAGTTTTTAGACTCTACTTGGACTTTCCACTAAATTAATGTAGGATAAGGTTATGGACAGTGGGTAGGATACCTGCAATGTACACGCAATCATAATCAGAAAAGTTCTAAAGATTCTAACATGCAAAAATAGCACACACTGCAGAACTTCCTGGATTGTACCCCTTTGAACTACAGGTAAGGGAGGGAGATCTCATGTTTTAAACATTCTGAAAGCCAGTACAGTGGTACCTCGGGTTACAGACGCTTCAGGTTACAGACTCCGCTAACCCAGAAATAGTACTTTGGGTTAAGAACTTCGCTTCAGGATGAGAACAGAAATCGTGCTCCGGCAGCATGGCAGCATCAGGAGGCCACCTGAGCTAAAGTGGTACCTCAGGTTGAGAACAGTTTCAGGTTAAGAACGGACCTCTAGAACGAATTAAGTTCTTAACCTGAGGTACCATTGTATAGCAAACATAGTGCTGGACTTGGACCAGGAAATTCAGAATTCAAATCCACACTCAATTGTGACCTTGAATCAGGCACTGGTACTTAACCTACTTACTTAACAAGGTGGCTGATAATACAAAAGGGTAATATGATGTACACTAGTGAAGCTTCTAGGCCTTTAACTAAAAGCTTCCTGCTTGTAGGGTCTTCTCATTTTATTGCTTCCTGTTCCATGTGAGAATAGCAATTAATACCCCTTGGTTATCTTCAATTCCTAATGAGGCTTTAATGATCTATTCCGTTCATCACTTTTTCTTTCTTTTATAAAGTTTGCTGTAAAATAAATAAAAAAAGAAATGTAATAATTAAAGCCCCCACCCCACCACAATTCATCATTTCCCTCAGCCCCACTGTACAAGAAGCAATAAAAGAGGTAGAACCTACATTGAGGAATCTATTAATAAACATTGTGGGGAATCTTGCAGTATTTGCTTGCAGGTAAACATTACAGAAGTATCTTGGTCATGAGGTGCAGCACTGCTGGATAATACAATATAACATTTAGTGTTCCATCATGTCCTACAGTTTTTGCCGGCAAAAGTTCCACTGAGGTATAAAATGCTATCAATGAATGGAGCTGTCTGCAGATCAATGCGAAAAGCGTTATCTAGAGTAGGCTAGGTTTGTGATAATGTACAAAATTTACATACTGCTTGAATGCAAACAGAATCTCTAAGCAGTTTACAACACACACACACACACACCTGTGGTCACCCTGCCCACCTCCACCATCACCAGTAGTGAAGCAGCAGCTTGAGATCTCCTGGTGGAATGACAGACGGACACAAGAATGAGAGGCTGGCAACTATTTACAGTTGGACTCATGCACACTAATCAAGAGCTCTGCGACTCAGAGCCTTTTCAAGTACACATGGGACTCTTTCATGAACATAGTCTGCAGATGCAAACCTGACAACTCCGTTAAAGATGGGTCAGCACTTCAAAGAAGGGAATGCTCCAGCTAGGGCAATGCATTTTAATGGTGTACTTTGTGTACCTCAAATTGCTTGGCCTGAGTTGTCCTTCTTATACTGTTATGGGGAAAACTGTGATTCAGGCATGACGTACAGCAGAGGCAAAAGTATGAATAAATCACTGCTGTGTGTGTCATATTTCAGACAAATGTGCAATCCACAAAATTGCACATTTTATGTCACCGTGAGGGAATAATTTTAAGAAACCATTTTATATCCAACAAGCTGATCTAACAGCATGCACAGATTGTGCTATAATTGTACAAACCAACATACAGCAAACTTGCATCTGCTTTTATCAACATCTTACTTTTTCCACATCACCCTTATGTGCAGTAGAATGGTACAAAGATAGAAAGTTTATGAGCACTGCTTTGTCATCTTACAAATATGGGTTGATTAGATCCAAGCAAACTGTAGTAGCAGGTGAAGCTGCCATGTGATTACTTCACAAACGATTATCACAAAATCTGCCTAAAGTGGAATGATCTGTAGTTCATTCAATATGAGTGAGGTTAATGTAAATGAATACTATGATGAAACAACCACACCATACTTCCCTGCATGCCAAACTTTACAAAGTTTCACACAATCCACATTCTTGGAACGACAATTTGTTCATTTAAATCTTCAACACTGAAAACATGTATGTTCATGACTCAAATCTTAATTTAAAGTGATGTAAACTGGTGCAACTTCTTTAAGGATTTTCAAAAACATTGGTAAGAAACCTCAGGACCAGGGACTGAATGTGGCCCTTCAGCTCTCCAAAAACTCTTCAGGCCTCTTTCCCAAGCCACACCCCTACTGAGGCCACATACACACACCCTGCTCCATGCTCTCCTCAAATGAAGACGTTCAAGTTACAGAATATTTTGAGCCTATTCCAAATATTAGCTATTTCATGTCTATGTGTGTGCTTTTATTTATCAAAAAATTAACTGTTGATAACGTCTGCTACCTTCTGACAAAGTCAAAGAGCACCATTCTCTCAGTTCTTCACAAAATACCACCTGACAGGACCATTTTAATGTCTTATTGTCCTTCCATTCTCTTAGTTGCCACTTTTCTGGACCTTAGCTAAATAATGGGATCACTAGTTAAGTTTAGGATCCCCTCCCCACCCACATTATTTCAGCCTTTTGAACCGTCTCCATTGCCCAGGATCAGGTTCTCAGAAGTAACAGCTACACCATATCAAGCTAAGCTGCCATGTTTTCTTTTTTATTAGGTGTTAGCCATAGATCAGAGATAGCTTTCTTACAGAATGAATGAATCATTTAAGGTGACTTTGCTTTCTTGCCACAGCTGATTCATACTCAGCTTTTTAAAAAGTGCTGCACTTATATTAACACAGCAATGAAAAAATGGTGGTAAGTGGTTATTTACTGAATAGGCCCAGGTCTCATTTAAGCCACTGGAAAGGTTTCATATATGTAGATCATAAAGGTAAAGGTAAAGGGACCCCTGACCTTTAGGTCCAGCAGTGGCCAACTCTGGGGTTGCGGCACTCATCTTGCTTTATTGGCCGAGGGAGCCGGCGTACAGCTTTCGGGTCATGTGGCCAGCATGACTAAGCCACTTCTGGTGAACCAGAGCAGCGCACGGAAACGCCGTTTACCTTCCCGCCGGAGCGGTACCTATTTATCTACTTGTACTTTTGACGTGCTTTCGAACTGCTAGGTTGGCATACACACACTCAAATAATTAATGAAACAAATATCTAATTTATCATTTTTGGAACTTTTGGAACATTTTTGGAACAGACATACATATCCTGGAACAGATCCTTGCCTAAGCCATGTTAAAATCAATAAAAAATTGATTTTTTCAGGTGTATCTGAAGAAGCATGCACACAAAAGCTTATACCCAGAACAAACTTAGTTGGTCTCTAAGGTGCTACTGGACAATTTTTTAATTTAATTTATTTCGACTGCGTCAGACCAACATGGCTACCTACCTGAATCTAGAATGATGTTGAAATCAGGGAGACTTAAGTGAGTTACTACCAACATTTCCTTGATTTCAGTGGAACTCTTGTTGTAACTAATTTTCTCTGGATCGGGGCCTCTCATCACTTTCATACACTAAAATTCCAGTATTCTGAGCTCAGCCAACAAAATCGTTTCACCTACTAACTTAACTGTCAGTTTTACTGCATTTTATTGTAATTCACCATTTTCCAAAATTAAGATTGCTGTGTTTTATTTCTTTATGCGTATCTTAATGACACACACAGGGACAGGGCTCAGCTGGTAAAACTTCCAGTAAAAGAATTAACATCCTTCCACAGCTGGAAAAGAAAATCACAGTACAAAAACATCTACAGTGTAACAGTTAAGGATGAGCATTAAGGAATGCCCAAGAGCTGAACTGCACACTTAAAAATATATGAAAAAAGAAAATATAATACTCTTGGTGGATCAGTCCAACGGTATACAAAAACCCAAGGTACTAGCAGAGTTCTGCTTTTCCTATCATTCATTGCTATCCCCCAGCATCTTAAATTTTAGAGATATCAGGAGAATAAGGAGAATAAGGAAGTATTGCCCTGACCACCATAAAATCTATTAAATTTACATTATATGCAAAAAAAATAAAAAATAGTTTGACTAGTAGTAGAGACATGTTAAACAAAATGTTTTTTAAAAAAATAATTAAGCACATCACAAGTGAGGGTGACATTAAAAGGGTACTTAATGTGCTGCTAAAAGAGTTTTCAACCTGTGAATCACAAATAAAAGGAGATAAGAATAAACCTATATAAAAATGATATAATCAACATGCAGAATAATTTTCTATTCTTATCTATCCATATATTATTTCCCCTACTTGTTTGTTCTTCTCGTGGTCCAAAATACAAATATATATACATAAGCATCCCACACACAATGATAATGAACTCATTTGCCAAGTGTCAAGCCTCATGTAGCCAAAATGGCATCCTGAACACAAGCACTTTACAATGCAATATTTTGCTGTAGGTCCCATGTGTGCATTTGTGTGCATGTACACCCCCCCCACACACACTACTACTTAAACTGGAAGAAGTAGCAACATCTCACTGCACACCATAATCTTGAAACAGATACTTAATGAAAACAATAGGAAGGATTTTACTGTTTACAATTATCAGTGGAATTTCAGGACAAGCAACGCTGAGCCAGTGACTCATCCATTGCTTGATATCAGTGCAACGCTTCCAGATCCAAAAGCTCGGCTGCATCAGTACAAGCAACATTTTCTCTGCTCTTCCTCCCAGAGCTAACTATTTCATCTGCATGCCTGCATGACAGCATAACTAATACTTTCAGTATTGTGTACATGGCATCCATATGGGTCCTTCACTCTCTTCCCCCCCTTCTCTGATTCAAGTGTATTTGTTCTGAAGCAATAATTAATTTATCTTCAGTGCAAAAAGTTACAATTACAACAAACATAAAATATCATGGGTCTTTAAAATGAAAGGCTGTCCCTGACTTATTACAAACTCAGGATCTGGTAGAATCTGTGAGTAGGTGACCTAAGGGACAAAAATATTGTCAGCTCGACAGCCAGCGTTACAAACTTCCAGAAGTGCTGCAGTGGGTATTTTGCAACACATGTGCTATTTCTGCCATAAATGCATTTCCAAATGCCATGCAAAGGCATATCTATATGTGCTTCTACATTCAACACAATTGGTTCAGCATCAAGATTGTACATGTTTGAATGCCACCTCTTGAAGAGGAAATGCACCCTCTGTCCATTGTCTTACTCTGGGGCAATTAGGCTGGCTATCAGGAATAGTTGGTCCCTGTTTTCCATTTGTGCCCTTCTCCTGGATCCTTTCCCTTGTACAGTGGTACCTCAGGTTACATATGCTTCAGGTTACAGGCGCTTCAGGTTACAGACTCCGCTAACCCATAAATAGTGCTTCAGGTTAAGAACTTTGCTTCAGGATGAGAACAGAAATTGTGCTCCGGTGGCACGGCGGCAGCAGGAGGCCCCATTAGCTAAAGTGGTGCTTCAGGTTAAGAACAGTTTCAGGTTAAGAACGGACCTCCGGAACGAATTAAGTACTTAACCTGAGGTACCACTGTACGTAATACTTTTCCAGCTTTGATGAATACTCTGTAATAGCTGTAGAAACCCTGACAGCACTGTTACACACAACCATTCATGAAAGCTACCTTTGTGAAAGAGTAACAAGGCTTCCCTTGCCAAGATCCCCACCCCCATCCGCTTCCCTCAGATGATCACATTTTCTCTTCAAACTAAAGCCTCAAAGTGCATGAGGAACAAGATCCTTCCTCACTGAAGGGTTGAGAGAAGAAATTTGGCTTACATATTTGGACCATTTGGTACATCAGATGAATGGTATGATCCTAGGCAATAAAATGTATGACTAGATAAATGCGCACGTTAAGATTCTTCTTCATATTTACCATGAGTGGCAGCTCTAATGACTCCTCACAAGGATAATGAGCAGCAAACAGTTTCTCCCCCAATCTTTAATAAGAATACGTAATACCCCAGGAGGCATAACCCATTGGTTATGTTATTCTTTGAAAGTGTAAGGCCTTGGTTTTAAAGGGGAGGGGAGAATGCAATAAAGGAGGCTGAGGAGTATTGAGCATCAAAAAGTAATGTCCTGAGGCTCTCCCAAGTCAGAAGCTAAGCCCCAAGAGGCAAGACCTATTAGAGCTTATGTTCTAATTAGGTGGTCTGAGAGGCTAAAGTGGCTTTTCCAAATACATATGGAACAGGATAACAAAGCAAAAGCAATGGAAGTCAAATTCAAGAACAACAGGAAAATATCATAGTCTGTGTACTTTTCCTTATAAGAACTTCTATACTGGGGGGGGGGGGGATGATATTTAGAATGTTACCTTACCACATGCTCACATCATTGTAACATTAGTAATCATAAGGGCTGAATGCAATTGCATGTTGAACTGCTTTTCAGAGGCGGATAATAAAGCCTAAAATGAAGTACAGCACTTGTATAGCACAGTGACTAAGCAATGAATCAGAAAATTCCACATTCAAATCTCACCTCAGTTGCCAATATTATCTCCGTTTCAGTCCCCATTCCTATCCCTAGTATTATGCATGGGGATAATAATACTGATCTACCACACAGAGTTGATGAAAGGATGACAAGAGTATGTGAGAACATTTTGAGTATATACAGTGGTACCTCGGGTTACAGACACTTCAAGTTACAGACGCTTCAGTTACAGACTCCACTAACCCAGAAATAGTACTTCAGGTTAAGAACTTTGCTTCAGGATGAGAACAGAAATCGTGTGGTGGCAGCGTGAGGCCCCATTAGCTAAAGTGGTACCTCAGGTTAAGAACAGTTTCAAGTTTAGAATGGACCTCCAGAACAAATTAAGTTCTTAACCAGAGGTACCACTGTATAGCTACCAGTGGCGTAGTGTGGGGGGTGCAGGGGGTGCCGGCCGCACCAGGCGCAACATCTGGGGGGGGGCACGCTCGCACTCGCAGCTCTCTGCCCCTACCTGGCTCACTCACTCTCTCTCACTGCAGTGCTGGTTGTGCGAATCCGATCCGAGCCGCTGGGTCGCCGCCCACTGTGGAGGGGGTGGGTGCCAGGCATGCAGTGCGGAGAGAGAGCGAGGGACTATCTGGGGGAGGGACAGTGCAGCGGCCGCCCAGTGCAGCGCTGAGCGCGGGAGAGAACCACACCAGACCAGACCAGGCAGCAGCAAGAAGAAGCTGGCAGCGGCGGCAGGTTAGGGGTTAGGGGGCGCAAATTACTTGCCTTGCCCCGGGTTAGGGGGCGCAAATTACTTGCCTTGCCCCGGGTTAGGGGGTGCAAATTACTTGCCTTGCACCAGGTGCTGACAACCCACGCTATGCCGCTGATAGCTGCTATTATGACCATATTTTGATCGGTTAAAGAAAAAAGGCAAAAAGGATAGTAGTAAGCTATAAGTATGAACTAGGAGAAACTGCAAGGAGTAAGCAGGACAAGCAAAATGCTGGACAAAAATGGGAAAATCAGAAGTCACCTTAACTTGCAAGAAAATTTGATATGTGTTGATCATGTGCAAATAAACTGCAAAGGCAGGACACACAAGCACAATGCTTTCTTTTGGGGCAAACTAGGAAAAGATTGCCAAATTTTGGCACAAAAAGAATAGGGCAAAACGTATTCCAATTGAAATATCCCAGGGCAAGTTCATTACCTATCTTTAGGCACCAGGCGAAAACATTTCTCTATAACCAGGTCTTTGGCTAAGTAACATTCAATGACCTTTTAAATGTGTTTGAGAGAGGGGTATTATTGGTTTGTTTTTGCTTTTGCTTTACTATGTATTTTGCGTTTTTATGTTGTGAACCGCCCTGTGATCTTCAGATGAAGGGCGGTATACAAATTTAATAAATAAAATGTAAAATAATTAATAATGTCTGCAATGCTCTCAGGAATGTATTTTAGAAATAGTTGGCTTTTTATTATTATTACAGATTCATTTTCATATAAGATTTTTCTCTCTTCCATCCAACCCGCCAATTTGGATATTTCAAATTAATTTCCCTTAACATTTTGGCTGTCAATTGAGTATGTCTCTTTGTACATTTTGTATACCTTGTGCATGCTTTCTGTGCTGTTTCTAATAAAAGTATTTCCTGGTGCAAGGGGAAGGGGGTGACCACGGGCGTAGCCAGGATTTTTGTTGGGGAGGCAGGCTTTTGTTAGGGGGGCAGAACCTAAGATTTGCATTGATTTGCATTGATTTGGGGGGGGGACAGGTGACTCCCCCTGCCTACACCCATGAGGCTGATTGGTGGCTGTGTAAGAACTCCTGATCCCTTGGAGCAATTCTTACTTGGGACAGGTGACCAAGTAAGTGGCTTTGTCAGAGATGGGATCCTGGGATGAACAGGTCATTGAGTATCTCAATGCTATTCCTATTTCTCTAGTACAAAACATGAAATCAGAGTAATATAAAGTTCCATGGTTTGACCAATCAAGTCAAATGACCTCATTATTCCCATGTTGTCTGGGGCACAACTTGTCAAAAAAAAATTTTTAAAGGTTACCTTCAACACATTCCCCCCCTACAATCCAGATTCAGAAAGCACACTCATTTTTACACATTTCACACAAAAATCTTCAGATTTCAAAATAAAATGGAAACTAGCAAAGTCTGGAGGTCAAATGTCCAAATAAGGCAGGCTTCACTTGCAAGGCAAAGAAAGAAAGAAAGAAAGAAAGAAAGAAAGAAAGAAAGAAAGAAAGCTCTGCTGTTTGATGCAGCACACAGTGGCAGCAACTTGTTCACCCTGGGTCAATTTGCGGATTTGCACACTACAATTAACTAAAAATTTCTACAAAAGTAGTCCTGTCATCTATGTGCTGCAAAAAGGGGATAGGTAGATGGGCAGGACCTACATGCATACAACAATATGTGGAGCAAGCTTATTTTCTCCTGCTCTGGAGGATAGGACTCAGACCAATGGCTTCAAAATACAAGAAAAGATATTCCAACTAAACATAAGGAAGAACTTTCTTGACAGCAAGAGCTGTTCGACAGTGGAACAGACAGCCTCAGGAGGTTGTGGGCTCTCCTTCCTTGGAAGTTTTTAAGCAGAGGTGGGATGGTCGTCTGCCATAGATGCTTTAGCTGAGATTTCTGCATTGCAAGGGATTGGACTGGATGACCCTTGCAGTCCCTTGCAACTCTACAATTCTATGATTCTAGAAAAGATTCTAAAAAGCCTATGTGCAAGACAGAGGCAAGGAGGAAATGTCTGCCCAAAACTCATTCTTGCACCCTACTACAAGTAGAGACTGTGTTCTGGGGAACAGTGTGAACCAGCCCATAATGAAATAATGTCCAAAAGTTATGTAATAATGCTAGACATTCAAGGAGAGAATCATACAGCAAAAAAATAAAGAAAGAACACATATCAGTCAAGCCAACAGCATGCTGGTGATGTTCAGCCAGAAATATGACAAGAAATGTCTAACTGGAAGAAAATAGAATTACAAAAAACAACAAGCAAACAAACAAAACTAGTTTATAGGGGAAAAAACACAACCCATTTTGTTGCAGTTGTTACAGAAAAGCCTGTTCTGAAAAGTATGGTCAATCAGGAAGAGGTATTCTATGTGCCACTGAATGTACAGAAAAAACTAGGTGAGGTTGGCATCACTGGTCGGGGGGGGGGGCACGGGGATGCACCAAGGAACAATTAGACTACCCAAACAAGAAAAGCATGCTAGTGTTGCTACACTGATGACACTCGACACTATTTCACCACGTATCTCAAAAAGGAAACAATTAAAAGCCAAATGTACATACCTCAACCAGAGGAAAGGAACACTCGAAAGAATTTGTGTTCCACCAACACAAAACTACAAATTGACCTAATTCTCATGCCATAAGCCATAAACCATGGTTTACCGTGCATCAAGCAAATTGCTCTGGTTTTGCCCCGCCCTCTTCCTAGCTCATGCCAGGAAGGAACAAGCCATGACCTTTGGCTTAATGTTACAATCAAAACAGGGACCAATGTTTGTTGGAACAAAACAGGATCAGACATAACTGTTGTAACACTAAACTGGAGGTCATAGTTTGTTTCTCCCCAGTGTGATCAAAGAGCGGAGAAACAGCTCAGTGCATTCATAGCAAACCATGAACTAGAGTATACTATGACAGGTAAACTGGGCCACTGTATAGTAAAGTGGGGGGGGGTCAAGAAGAATACAAAACCAGTTAAGAATCCTCTTAAACTCTTAAGAACTGTTAAATATAGCTTAGCAATTATCTAGCTACATCAGCAATTATAAAATCTTATCTTAATGAGACTTTTTTTGTTTCAAAAAATATTTGAGGCCTGCAACCTTCCAATACAATTGCATTATTCTCTTTCCCCATCTCTGACAGCTTGCAACGTGTTCTATTCATGTGAGGCCAAAAAGTGGCAGAAATCTGCCTTGCACATCAGAGTGTGCAAACGCTAAGGGTAGGCATAGAATCACCAATGACAGCCACCAGAGTGGCCTCTACCACAGTGATTGGTGAGCAGACAATGGTCCAATCTCTGCTTACCCAGTCAAGACACAGAAATATTGGATTGTGTGGAGGTCAGTTCCTTTTGGCTGCCCAAGAAAAGGAGATGTGGCTCCCATTTGAAAAATAAACTATGGTGCAAGAACAATTTTTCATTATTTACCATATCTTTTTAAACAGGCCCCCCAAAGTTACTGGCCTCCTAAAAGGTTTGTAGCCTGCTAAGAGAGGTTGGAGCAGCAGCAATGGAGTGTTCCATCCATCCTCTGTCTGTCCATTCACTTTCCTGTATACAATTCCTTTTCATCTAAGTTGACCAGGCAAGTGATTAAATATGAGGTGGTTTGCAGACTGGAGGAACAATATTCATGAGGTGGAGGTAGTAGCCATGTACAAAATTATTTTATGTCCCCAAACAACGCAAAGGTCACCCAGAGCTATGGAACCCAATATCTGCATGAACAGTATACTATTGATAACACTGAAAAAGGTAAATGGTGAATTCAAGCAAGTACTTCCAAATCACATGTGAGTGAGATAATTAAAAAAAAAAAAAAAAAACAGAGCAAGATGATGGCTATTGCCAGATAGGAACTATTATCAGAAGCATAAGTGGCAGATAAAAATGCTGGCTTAAAAAGTGACAAATAGATTATATTAGCAGAGCACATTTTGAAGACTGAGACAAACATGGCTCTGGAGCACTCTAAAAATAACTGATCAAACTGAAAGGAAGCTTACAGCTGGGACTTCAATTAGTGAGCATTGTATAAAAATGCAAGTTTAAATGAAAATCTTTCAGAACAGCACCTCAAAGATGATATCTACATAAAAGTCAAAGGAAGCCCATGTTTCGGACAGTTAATGTTCAAGGCAGTTAAACATCTGTTAAGTAAGCATTTCAAGAGACTGGGTGGGGAAGGGTACCAGATATGACTGTGTCAATGTTATCTGCATCTCTGCATTTCTCAGGTGCTACACAACAAATCCTTTAAAACATTAAGTTGTACTATAGAGTTAGTCAATGTGAAATCTTATTAATATCAGCACACAATTTGGTGACCCTCAAAAAGAAAAACAATAGCAGCCCAACTCATCAGAGGGAAGGACCATAGTAGAAAGTAGCCAACTTAATAGAAAGTAGCTATGCATCTGTGCATGCCCATCGATTCTTCATGCTACTACGTGCACGAAGGGCCTTATACAAATTTAATAAATAAAATGCTACCATCACACATTTTAAACTTTCTTCCATGGTGTTATTCCAAACCTTTTTTTTTAAAAAAAAAAAACACCTTTAAAACCCTTTAAAAAACCCCATGAAGCATGGAGATGGAAACATTTAGATAAAAAGTAACATTAAAAAACCCTCTACAACGTTATCTGAAGAAATACCTGAGTAGATATACAGCCCTTTCAATATCATTGAGTTCTTCATCAACTGTCAATCTCTCTATTTCTTCTGGTGTCTGTCAAGTGTGAAACACAAATTAACATAATTAACATCTCAAGTCCATGCTTGAATCTGTTAACAACTACTTCCACCCCAAGTTTACAGTACATAAATATACTTAATCATTGAGATCACTATGACTTATTCCTGAGTGACTATGTCTAGGATGATGCTGTTAATTATGTTGTACAGCTCAAAACACAAATAAGTTAAATCAGAGTACATGAAATTAAAAAGATGCCAATGGAAAATGAATTCAAGTGCTCCTGCTTAATTGGTTATGAAGCTGTCTTGTATGAGTCAGACCATTGATCCATTTAGCTCAATATGATCTATACCAACTAGCATCTGCTTTCCAAGCTCTTAGGTAAGGGTCTTTCCTGACCCTGCTAACTAGAGACAGTAAGAACTGAAGCTAGGATTTTGTGCATGCAAAACATGTGGTCTATAGCTGTCCCCCTCCTCAGTTTCTGAATCAGAATGTCAGGCTGTAATTTTTAACTCACTTTCTCTGGAACAGTCTCCTGGAAGTCTATAAACAGTTCCAGGGTTTTGAGGCCTTTGGTTTTTAATACTCAGAATCTCTGTTAACATTTCAAAAATTAGGTAGTGCACTTTTTTAAAATCAGGAATAGTCCCCCCCCCACACCATTTATTAAACTACATCCTGAAAGAAAGGAATGGGAAAGGATCCCAAATTATATAATCACAAAACCTATTTCAAGTTAAAGCAGTTTATATCTAGTATTTCTTCCCCCACCTCACACTTAAAACCCCATTTCTGAAATAATTCTACTGTCAGATGACATGATTTAATACCCTTATCTGTGCAAACTATCTCTTCATTGTAAAACAAGCTGAGCCTGCATATAGCAGATAGTAGCACCATTTATTTAATAGATTCCAATCTGAAATAACTGCAGTTTGATTAGAAAGTACAGTTTTATATATATATAGAGAGAGAGAGAGAGGTATACCTTTAGACTCCTGCGTACTGGCCTTTCAATAATAGTAAGTTCCTGCAGATCTTCTATATAACCAAATAGATTGTTCTGGCTAAAATCCATTTTGTAGGAGAAGATGATTATCGGATGCATGTACTAGGTTGGAGCGCCAGTCTTTGACAAAACCAGGGTTGTGTGCAAGCTTCACATTGCACTGAGGCCAGAGAGAGGGAGAGAGAGAGGAGAGAGCAAGCAGGCAACAAACACCCTCTTCTCGTCTTAAAAGGATGCACTGGTGGAGGTGGGCGAATAGAGGCTGCTCTGCTGCTGCTGCTCTTGCTGCTTCCTCCTCCTCCTCCTCCTCTTCGTAGGACGCTACTGAGCCCCCACCGCCCAGGAGGAGCCTCAGCAAACACAATGCGGCACCAGCACAGCCCGCCGCCGTTGCTGCTCCAAGAGCATCACTCGCCACTCAGCCCAGGCTCCGGCAAGGAAACTTTCACTCCTGCTGCTTCACTTTCGCCTCAGTCCCTCCACCGTTTCCAGGGAGAAGGAGACACCAACATCTCCCTTCCTCCTCCTCCACCTCCTCCACCACACATACGCATATACGCACGCCCTCCTTTCACTTCGCTCCTGCTTGCTTTTCTCTCCCTCTCTTTTTGGTGGGGGCGCTAAGGGTGGAAATGCAAGGCGTGGGGGCGGGGGGTGGAGGCGGATCTGAGGCTGCAACTTTTCTCCTCTTTGGCCCAGGAAAGGAGGCAGATCTTGGGATCCCCTGCTCCAGGACAGATGGGGGAAGGTGCCCACCTGAAAGCTAACACTGAAGAGGGTTTTGCAGTTGGGGGGGGGGGGAATGGAGGAGAAATCGACAACTTCTTCCCCGAACGAGTGCAAAGGGATTATCGGTTTGTATTTTAAATGTGAATTTAGGGGGCGTGCGGATTAGAGGGACCTGCACCCCCGCAAGAAGAAGGGTTGGTTAGGGAGGGCAGGCGCCGTTTCCTAGATGCTCCAAGAACAGGGGAGAAGATTTCCCGGGGGGGGGGACGGGGTGGTTTGGGTGGCAGAACGGGGAGGTGGGCGAATGACAAGATCTATAGCCCTTTTTTTGTAGGGCGGGAAAGATGGATTGGGGGGGGGCGCTTACGGAGGGAAACGCAGCGACTCTATCATATATAAAAGCCCGAGAGTGCGGTGCGTTCCCACCCCCGCCAAAGGAGCGGCTCTCCTGCCTTCCCGCCGCCCCCGAAGCGCAGCGATTCCCCCGCCCTCCTCTTGGTGACGGGCCAGGATGGGGCTTCGCGAGCGGAGAGAGAGACAAGAGAGCGCCAAGCCGGGAAGGCCAGATGCCAACCCCGGGAGATGCTGGGCCACTCAGGGCCCTTCCGAGGGACGCGGCTTCATGGGCCCAGGCGGGCTGCCTGCTTTCCCTCGCCCTGCAGCTCCCAGAGGCGCCGCGCTCCCTCCCCCGCGACTCGAGGAGCCCGAGGGGCAAGGGAGCCGGAGCCGCCTTCGCCTCCGCGGGCAGTGTGGCAGCGCCGAGCCCGTCGCCAGGGCAACGAAGCCGCTACAGAGGCTCCGGAGGGGCAAAAAGGGCCGACCCGAGCGCGCCAATATCGCAACGCGCCCGGGAAGACGGTCCAGGCACATCGTATATACAGTATTATATTATGTATGACGGGGCAAGGCTCCGTTTCGGCTTAATTTGTTGTTTCCCACCCATCTCCATGAGGTAAATTTGACATTCCCGTTTGCCGCACGGGCCCGCCTCATGAGGAAACTAGCCGCCGCCGCCGCCGCCGCCGCCGCCTGCTACGCTCACTGTCAACCCCTTTGCCCCGCTTCAGGTGGTGAAGGATAAAACGGCTTTTTTAATCCACGGCTGCTGGCCGTTGGTTGGCTGCGCTCTTCCCCCTCAGGAGGGGTGGTGGTCACGTGCTCAGGGACCAAAGGCCGGCCCACCTGTAAGGCAAGGTGAGGTGATGGCCTCAGGGGGGCGAGGATCAGCAGGGGCAGCAGACCTGGCCCCCAAAGAACGCATCACCCGCTGACACAGCTACAGCAGCGCACTCTGTGAAAGCCAAATCTGCCCCCTTATCAGCAATACACACACACCACCATGCCACCTGTACAACAGGCCTCACAATGGTTTGCCTCAAGTGCCAAAATGTATTGGCCCTGCTTCCCATTGGGATGTCTGGTTGGGCGCTGTGAGAACAGGAGGCTAGACCAGATCTTCTTCTTTATTGAATTCATATACCACCCTATACCCAGAGGTCTCAGGGCAGTTCACAGAACAAAATATGTAATCAAAATATAGGCCACTGGCCTGATTCAGCAGAGCCTCCTTATGCTCTTGTGGCTCCCATGCCAAAACAAACACCAAAAAAAAAAACACCCCAGCAAGGCAGAATAGAGTGGTATTATTACTTCCCTCAATCTGGACACTACACTTCTGATGATGCAGCCTAGAATAGCATTAGCTCTTTTCTTCCCCCTCTTTTTTTTTGCTGAGGCGGCATCACACTCTTGGCTTAGGTTAAGCTTGTGGTCCACCAAGACTCCTAGATCCTTTTCACATCTATTGCTAGCAAGCCAGGTGTCCCCCATCTTATATTTGTTCAGGTGGTTATCTGTGTCTAAGTTTAGAAACTTACATTTGTCCCTATTGAAATTCATCTTTAGTTTTTGCATCAACTCAGGCCCATTGGCCACTGTAATGAGACAGGCCACCTTATGGGCACATACGTCCAGGTGGGAGCTTCATTTGCAGGCTGATCTTTGGTCACTGACAACAGTTAGGGTTGCCATGTTTCAAAAGATTGAAGACTGTGGAGCTTTGTTGCAGAATCTCAAAAAAAGAAGTTTTTGAGCTATTTTTAAAGCCGAATCTCAGCTATATCTGGGAAATTACGGGCGTTAAAAAAAAAAAAAAGGCAAGCCGGCATTGTCTTGTGGATGCTGTAAAAAGCTTGCATGCATGGGGAGTACCCTTCCACAATAAAGACCTATCTGGAAGCACACTGAGAGTTGCTTTGGTTCATGGTAGAGAAATAGTTAAATGTGGTAGTGTTTCCTCACTTCTGCACCCCCAGGCAGGATGGAACAAGTCCTAGATGTCTCTGCAACTTGCCCATACTGCTGTGGGGACATAAGCAATTTCTTATTCCACTGCTTATACTTCAGAAGTCACTTTTAAGAATCAGGCGACTCTGAATATGCAAAGAGACAGGAGGGACAACCCCTTTGGAATGTGCTACCCAAGGCAAACCTTTCATGCTGTTTCATGTTAAGGTTGGGCCTGGGGGTGGTTGCTTCTTAATTAGGCATGTCAAAATTTATTTTCAATAATAAGATGTAATGGAAGACTGAATACAATTTTACTGGCACTTTATATATTTATTGGTGAGCCTGCCAATTTAATTAGTCAATTAACTGTTACTTTTAACCAATAAATGTCAATTAATCTGTTAGCATAGAGCACTGGAGAATCAGAACTAGATTTTCAGCTTACAGATCCTACAAAGGGCAGAGTGAACTGACATTCCCTGGGGAAAATTCTGCCAAGAGTTGCTAGGAATAAATATGGAGAACCAATTTCCTCAATTTTGTGTTCTCAGTGGGCTGGGGGACCTCAGGCCCTGGGGCTGGATGTGGCCTTCCAGGTCACACTGTCTGGCAAGCACAGAGTCTCCCAAGTCCATGCACCCTCACCAGCTCTGCAGTCTCGAGTTGTTTTTTGTATGTTTGTTTTGCCGGGCTGGAAGTTTTCCTCTTCCATGGAGAGATGTGTGAGGAGGGTACAGAACCCTCTGAGTTGTGTGTGACTGGAATGTTGCCATCAGCTCAAAGGCAAGAATTGCATTTGTTGTTGCTCTACACAGCACAGGTTTGTGCACATGTACCATACCCCATGGCAGCAGGGCCCCCAGACTCTTAGCTTTCATTTTAAAAAGTAAGGAATAATAATCTGAGATATACTTAATGTTGAAAAGAAACAGGGTTATACCACAGATAGGGTAAAATGATTAAAATGACATACACCCTGAACATGCAGACACTGGCCATTACTCTCCATGAACATAGATAACAGTGTGATTCTGCCCTGACATCTTCATGGCTTGCATCCTATTGTCTGGCATTTTCTATTTGAGTTGTGACTTCATTCTGTTTAATACTGCATGTGCCAAACAGGGCTGCATTTCTACTGCACCCCGCTGAGTTGCATGCACATCTATCCCACCTACATAGCGCTGCCATGCAGTTTTGTGGAATCTTTCATATTGTTTTATATATAAATTCCTTGAAAGCTCTCTAGAGCATTACATCACAGGCATACCAACAGAGTTTTGAAAGCATCTCAGGAAAAGGCAGAAATAAAGAGGAACAAACAGGGACAGTTATTTATCAGGGACAGGTAGCAGAAAACAGGCACAGTTGGTCATGGATAGCAAGCGTATGGCACCGGAGATGAGCATTTGGGAACAGCAGGCGAGCAAGGTTTGAAACGAAGGAGGGGCACGCTTTCACCCACAGTATGGAAAGGCCTGAGTGCTATTGTACAAATGGAACAGCATTGATTACAGGAGATACCTCCATTTATACAGATGGATTTAGGGTTACACCCCAAGGCTACAAGCCCCAAATTACTCTGCTGTTGCTGAAAGCCGTACTGAAAAATGATTTCAGTAGACGTTCTTGCGCTCAAAATGCTTTGCTGCTAGTGCATTGCCTCTCTAGACTCCTGTAACTCTTCCTTTTCCTCCATGTTATGCTGGATAACTCACTACACTAACAGGAAATGGTAGACCGACCAACCCCACAAGACTTGAGGCGGGGGGAAATCAAATTATGTGAAATATTATTTGACTTCATGCACATTCTAATTATACTTTTTATACTAAGCAGACACTAAGATGCAAGAGAACAACCAGTAATGTTTCTGCAAACGAAAATAATGAAACTATGAAGCAGTAGTTTCTTAGCAACAAACTGGAAGCTGTGTTAAGTAATGTTCTTATTTTTATCAGGGCTTGTGTGTATTGGCAGTTTGGCATCTCTATTCTAGGAATTTTTATACGTGCAGATATTTCACTTCCCCCACCCTCTCTCTTGCCATATATATGAGGAGGTTAAAATGACAACAGTGATTGCTACTTTTTATCCAGATAGGTGCATTGTGCATTTAGCAACTGCCCAATATGTAGTAATTCAGCTAGGACAGTTTTTTCTGTAGATTGAAAACAGTAATGAGGTCTAGTCTGTTGAAGTTCTAGCAGTTGTGCAGCTTTTAAAGGCACAAATGTTTTGTCAAGAAAAGGAGAAAGAAACCAACACTTAAAATGACAACATATTTAAAGTAGGAATTTCACCTAGTGAAAACAGTTTGTTTTACTAATGTAGGAAAAGCCTCAAAAGTACCATCTCTTTTTTCCTTTACCAAAAACACATGGGCTCTACTGAATGGTTTGCTCACAGTATCTGTATGTGTTTTGGCTACAGAGACCTTCATATCCCAAGAGCAAGCAGGACTCCAGTCCTATGAAGAAAGGCTACACCACATTCAGAAGACAATGTAGCCTTTGTCAGTTGTCACAATTTGTGCAAGAGAGAGCAAGGCAGCACCCTTGACACCCACATCCCCATTGGCTCTACGAGTCCTAATTTGGGAGAAAAGTGGGATATAAATGCATTGAATAAATAAACATGATGACCCTCCTGGATCAGGCCATGTAGACCTCCTATGGGAAACCTGCAAGCAAGCTGGAAATGAGTGCAGCAGCACTCTGTCCAGCTGCAGTTCCCAGCAATGTGTAATTCCCCTACAATCCAAGTGTTTTGTGGGTGCATGTCTATAGAGCTAAGTCTGCTCTACATGCATCAACTCCCACTGAATGCAGAACTCTATTTAACTCTATTTATGCTTCATTCTGCCCTTCATACCATGGGCATCCATGGGGTAAGGGGAGTCCTCACCAATCTCACCCACCTCTGGATGAACGATAATTTAAGGATCTCCTGCTTTCTTTTTTTAAAAAAAGTCTAGCAGTTCTAGAACCTAAGTATAAGACAAATTTGTACGTGCACTATTCTTTCCATTCTTTTTATATAGTGAGAAACTGGCTTGCCTTTCCCCTTCAGTGTTTTAATTGGTCAGTCTTCTCCTCCAGAAAAACTCCTACAGACTCCCATGCTTCACACAATTGTTAATCACATAAGGGGACAGGAACTAGGACTGAACAGGACTACTATTCCCTATCACTACTACTATTATTCAGAAGAAGCTATGCCAATATTATAAGAACTTAGCACCAGGTAGGGCCAACACATTTAACCAACTGCACCTGGTGGGTGGAAGTTTATCTGCATCGATCTGGAAGTTTGCAAATCACCTGGGAAACTCTTCTGCACAGCCCAGATGGAGCAGATAAGGATACCACCACTGATAATATCAAAAGCTGCTGAAAAGTCAAGGAAAATGAACAGGGACACATTTTCCCTGTTTCTATCCTGACAGAGGTCATCATACTGAGCAATCAATGCCATCTTTAAATATTTTAAGGGCTGTCACATGGAAGAGGGAACATTGTTTTCTCCTGCTCTGGAGGGTAGGCCTCGAGGCAACGGCTTCAAGTTGCGAGAAAGGAGATTCCAACTAAACATTTGAAAAACTTTCTGAAAGTAAGAGCTGTTTGGCAGTGGAACAGACTCCCTCGAGAGGCGGTGGACTCTCCTTCCTTGGAGGTTTTTAAGCAGAGATTGGATGGCCATCTGTCATGGATGCTTTAGCTGAGATTGCATTGAGTTGGATTGCATTGCATTGAGTTGGACTAGATGACCCTTGGGTCCCTTCCAGCTCTAAGATTCTATGAATGCAGTTAGTTCCTCTACCATAACCAGGTCTAAACCCCAACTGTAATGCATTTAGAAAATCAGTTTCCTCCAAGAGCGCCTGTATCTGGTTTGTGACTCAAGAACCTTGATATTGGTTGTTTAGTTGATATTGAGTCGGAGACAATCATGAACACGTTTTGATAACTTGAAGGCAGGCATTATGGCTCAGACAGAAGTTATAATAGTATGGCACTTAAATTCTGGACTATTGTGATTTTTTTTGATTTTTTTTTTGCTTCACTGAAGCCCTTAAGGCTTTATATACGCCTTTCAAAAAGGGCCTCATTTTTATTCATCATTTGCTCTCTAAATTTCAACCGTGTCTTCTAAGCTGAAATCAAGGCTTACAAAACACAATGAATATTTAAGAAACACAAACATAATCATTATCATAAAACCTTGATGTTCTGTTAATAAGGTGGCACAAGATCACATTACATAAAACCACTAAATAAATAAATAAAAATGTGAGCCAGTCTCTCAAAAGAAAATGTCTCCTTGAGGTTCAAAATCAATTGACACAAGCAATTTCTGTGGAAGGGATTTCCTCATAAGGTGATTGTAATAGCATTGAAAAATTATAAGTAGAAACCGTTTTCCAGTTAAGTTGCAAAGAAGAGGCTTGACAAAAAAATTGTTTAATTCATTAAGGCCCTGAATTCTTTTTATGTAACAATGTTTGTGCAGCTGGTAGGGAAGACTGGGAACTTCAAGTGTTACAACTTTCAAATTCTTTAAAGTGTATTGTACTTTAAAGAACTGGCATGATATGTAATTCTGTCAATGTGAAGGCGTAATGCTTCAAGGAGGAAGGAGTCAAATGTGAAATTGCTGATCTTCTAACGGAAACACATAACTTGTCCCTCAGATCAGCCTCCATTCCTGAAGAATTGTAAAGAAGCCAATTTAACGCCAGTATTTCAAAAAGGATGCGGGGGGATCCTGGAGATTATAGGCTGGTTAGTTTAACATTTTTCCTGCGAAAACTGGTGGAATTTATTGTTTTGTTTTTTAAAAGTTGCCAAGCATATAATGAACCTTGCTGAAGGAGGGCAAGCATGGCTTCTGAAGGACAAGCCCTGTTTCACAATGCTATTAGAATTATTTAGAAGTGTCAGTAAGCATATTGTAGATCAAAGTCTTTTTTATGTTGAGTTTAATTCTGCATTTTTTCATTTTTACTGGACTTGCGTCATCCACTTTGAGGAGCTGCCAGGCAAGGTGCCAGTTTGCAAAACAAACAAATAATAAATTGGGGTCGTCAGTTCTTTGTCATGATAGATTTTAATAGGGTTCACATTTTTTCCAATGGCTTCTGCAGCTGTGCCTGTAAGATAGGACAACTTATGTGTTGCCAAAAGGGGGGGGGGGGAGGGAATGCATCACACAAAAAGGCGGCCAAAAAAATAAGCATAAACCTTGCATAGTCTAAGTTATATTTATAGATGCACATTTATAAATAATTACTATAATAATTACTAGAAACACATCTCACCATAACTGAGAAGATAGTGGCTTGTGTGCCTGCTCAGTCTCCTATCTGGATGGTAATTGTTGATGGGCATCTTCAAATCCCCTGCTCCTCTTTCTCTAGTTTTTTATTTTTAAACTGGACTACCACAGACCCTAGGGCTTGCCGATCAGAAGGTCAGCGGTTCGAATCCCCGCGATGGGATGAGCTCCCGTTGCTTGGTCCCAGCTCCTGCCAACCTAGCAGTTCGAAAGCACGTCAAAGTGCAAGTAGGTAAATAGGTACCACTCTGGCGGGAAGGTAAACGGCGTTTCTGTGCACTGCTCTGGTTCACCTGAAGCGGCTTAGTCATGCTGGTCACATGACCCGGAAGCTGTACACCGGCTCCCTCAGCCAATAAAGCAAGATGAGCACCGCAACCCTAGAGTTGGTCACAACTGAACCTAATGGTCAGGGGTCCCTTTACCTTTACCTAGGACCAGAGAGCCCTTCATAGGGCCTTCTTGACCTCCCTTGAAATAGAGGGCTGCAAAGTTGGACACATGGCTACCCTACTGTAACAGCAGCTTGATCTGTAGCTATTAGCAGATGAGAAAATCTTTCTCCTGCTCTGAAAAGCACAATCCCTGCAGATCAAGCGTCTGTTAAAGGCACAGTTGCAGAAGCCACCTGAACAGTCCTCCTCAAAGCCTAAAGAGTTGGCAGAGTGGTTCAATCTCCTTATGCCTGTGCCTCTGAGGTAATGTATAGTAATGATTTCCTAGGACAGAAAATGGTTTCAAGGTGCTGCTTTTCACTGCTGCATCTGCTGCACTACTAATACGGCTGCATCAAGGAATATTTTTCAAGCACCCCAATGACTGAGAAGCAACCGGAGATAGTCTTAGAGAGATGAAATCATACTAATTATTGCAGTAATTGCATTTCACTGTCTGGCCCCATCCTTTCCCTTCCAGAAATCTCCTGTTTGCTGTCTCTGCCTATGTGTCATAGTATAAGAGAAGCTGTTCCGGCCATCTGTCTGTCTTCATGCTTAACTCAAAAACTCTCCATTGTTTCTGGTGTATAATTTAAGCCGTACATATTCTTTTTGCCAAGATCAACCTGCAAAATGCTCTCCATCGCACAGGAGAAAATAACATGCTGTGTCTTCTGGCAGTGCACTTTAGCTACTTGGAACTCCCCCCCCTCCCCCCCCGCTCATCATGTTACTCTCCACATGCCCCTTCTCTCAGTGAAAAACACCAGAGGTGCGGGGAGGGCAAGAGGAGGAGAACAATAGGAAAAGTAAGAGAAAATAACATGGTTCTTTCTTAGGTGAAGCTTGACGTGACATTCAAATCCATACAGCCATTGTATTAAGAACATTAACAGCCTTGCTGGGTCAGAACAGCAGACACTTAAAGGGAAATGGTATAAGTGCACAGCACTCCAGAGGAGTTCTGCACTCCCTGTTCCTTAATTCTATCAGTGTGGTGAGGACTATTTTAAGGTTACTGGATGCAGCGGAAGATGGGGCTGCTCCCATAACAGCTGGGCAGAAAAGAGAATTCCAGGAAATGCATCTTCACATTCACATCTGTCCAAGGCTACTGATGGGGGAGACTGCTGTTGCATTCATGTCCTGCTTGGGGGAGTCCCAAAAACATCTGGCTGGCCACTGTGAGAGCAGGATGCTGGACTAGATGGCCCTTTGGCTGCCACTGACTCAGTAGAACTATGACTGCAGGTAAGAACTGCTGCTCCATCAGCCCGTCACATATCTGTCCAACATGTCAGGAGGCTAGCAGGCCAGGCACACCGCCAGCCACACATGCAGCAACCATGAGAAGGGGGACTTGTGTATACAGTGGACGCTTGGGTTGTGAACATGATCCGTACGGAAGGCACTTTCGCAACCCACGAGCGTCGTGATTTAGCAGTTCTGCGCATGCACAAGCGCCAAAACCCAGAAGTAATTGTTTTGGTACTTCTGGGTTCGGTGCAGTGCGCAACCTGAAGCGTCTGTAATCCAAGGTATGACTCTACTGACATAGGCACTCACAGCTCTTCTGTGTAAGGATGGTATCCTGAGTCAGAGTCCTTTCTCAGATGGAGAAATGTGATGTGCACTGGTACATGCACAGGGCTCCTGCACATGGTCACCCAATGTATGGTTGCTGAGGTGGAGATGTAGCAGCAAGGTTTATTAGCAGGGACCAAGACTGGTTTGTGATGCTCCTCAACCCTCATGTGGGCTTTAAACCCATGACTGAGCAATAGCAAAGCAATGCACACACACACACACACACACACACACACACACTTAGTACTGAACAGGATGCAGGTGGATTAGGTAGTGAGGTTTATCTGCCCACCTCTCCCAGTTGACTCCCCACCAGCTGAAGTTGGGATAGCTATCTGCAAGAAAACAAACCAACCAAAGGTCATTCCTGGAATCTGGGGCAACCAAGCTGTTTCCACTGCTTTCACTTGACAGTATTAGATCTAATCCAGGCCTATATAATCCTGCCTGCACTTTTGCCATATCCATCCTGAGCAGGAGTGCTGCAGATGCGACAGTAGTTCTACTCTGCAAAGCCCAGCCAGCACCATAAAAGAATTCAATGCACAATATGCAGTTAGGAAGCTGTCCAAATCAAGCCAGACTATTCCAGGTATTTGCTATTCTGACTGGCAGCTACTCACCAGTGTCCCTGAAAAAGATCTCTCTCAGCACCTACAACCTGCCCCCCCCCCCAGTGGAAAGGCAGAATTGAGCCTGTAGTCAAAGCATATGCTCTACTGTTGAGCTATGTATGGTCCCCCCCCCCCACCCAGAACCTGCCCTATTCTTGTGACTAATTTGATTTAAACTGTTTTTAATATTGCATTTTAAAATCGCAAGAATTGGACCTTTTGGTGAAGGACAAGTAACAGTAGATGGATGTGGATTTATTCAAAGTTTGTTGTGCACAAGATTTGAATCTGGCGTTTATGGAAAAATGGGCAAATAGGTCACATGAAAGACGGTAACATTAAGAAAATTGACAACTTAGGAAAATATGGTTTTATTTTATTGAATCCGCTTTGACATTTTTACTGCTTCAATTTGCTATTGCTATTCTATATAGGACATTGTTAAAAAAATAAAATTGTGAAATGGGCTTGGGTTTGGGAGGAGGGGGAATGTTTGTTGGATGTCACTTCTCCTCCCCTCCTTTTCAATAATTAATAAAATCAATTTTAAAAGTAGCAGTAGTAACAACAACAATACAAGGTGAAGAGACTTCAGCAACTTTTAATGAGAAAAAATACAGGGCCAAACGATTCAGACAGAGACTACGGCATGAGAGCACAAGAGCTCAGAAAGCGTGCAATATCACCCTCCTGTTAATCTGTGATTAGCTGGAGAGGGACGCGGGTGGCACTGTGGGTTAAACTACAGAGCCTAGAACTTGCGGATCAGAAGGTCGGCGGTTCGAATCCCCGCGTTGCTCGGTCTCTGCTCCTGCCAACCTAGCAGTGCAAAGTGCAAGTAGATAAATAGCTACCGCTCCGGCAGGAAGGAAGGTAAACGGCGTTTCCGTGCACTGCTCTGGTTTACCAGAAGAGGCTTAGTCATGCTGGCCACATGACTTGGAAGCTGTACGCTGGCTCCCTCGGCCAGGAAAGCGAGATGAGCACCGCAACCGCAGTCAGTCACGACTGGACCTAATGATCAGGGGTCCCTTTACCTTTATGCCTCGGTTACTCGAGCTAACGAAGTGCTGAACATTCTCTGAGGATAAAATAAAAAAATAAAAATAAAACAGCCATAATTAAGCAACGGGGATGGAGGAGAGCCCTTCTTGATAACATACCTCCAAAACTCCACTCAACTTATACCAGAGCAATAACGCTCATCTAAACCGACCATCGGATAACAAAAACCAGCAGAATCGGATGCCTCATCCTGTGCTTTCCCCCACCCTTCCCATAGAGACATGACCGAGCCAACGCAGCAACCGCAGCCTTCCCCACTGCTGGAGAGGCAGCCAGCATGCAGCCTGATAAAAGTTCTGAAGCGAGCTTGGCGCTGGGGGATGACGTCACGGCATCATGGCCGCCCCCGTGAGGCTCCCACGTGGTGGGATTTCCCGGAAGCGTCGCTGTGCAGTGTCTGGTGGGATCTTCGCAGGGACTTTTTTCCGCGGGTGCAAACGGCGCTCGCTGGGCCGTTAAACCCGGCAAGCGCGCAGAAGTAGCCTCGGAGGCCAGCGGAGGAAGGAAGGCAAGGATTACTTTTGTGCAGCCGTAGAGATTTGTGTGGTGTAATGTATTTATGCATATAGATATTTCAGTGTAAGTCTCTTGGAGACCTTGGGTGACAAGCGACTAATAAGTTCAGCTAATAAGAATAAATAATAAGAACTTGGAAGGAGATAACCGCGTGGGGCGGGTAGCAGGAAAGGACGGACGGCAGACCCCAAAGAAGCAAAATCGAGGTTGCTATTTACTATTCTTGTAGTTTCATTACCATTTATAAGCCTGCATCCTTAAAAATGCTTGTTATTGCCGCTTTGATGCCTCGCTGTTCCTCTCAGGAGCATAGAGTGGCATTTTCCTTCCTGTTTCTCCCCTCCCCCCCTCCGCCCCCCACTTTAATCTCGCGACAGTAACGGTAAGATTGGTTGAGAAACGGCGGGGGAGGGGGATCAGCTGGGGGTTCACCCCACTGTGGCGATGTGGTGGTTTGGAGATTGGTCTCCTCAGTACTTGAAGGAAATCCCCGGTGAATCAGTTTAACTTCTGAATAAAACATATTTAGGATGGCTTCCTGGTCAACTGTTAATTCATGCAGTTGGCTGCGTGTTGGACGCAAGCTCACAACTTAATGTTGTTGCGTACCACTGTTACTGGGTGGACTGGCGAATTGGGAGGTTGCTGATTAGCAGAGATCCAAAAGTCTCTCATTATCTGAAAACCGAACACTTACAGTTCATTTCTATTTTTTATTCTTCCTTGTATGTTCACCTGCAAATTGGTTGGGGTAAATAACATTTTTGGTTGTTTATTTGTCTGCTTATTAATTTAATTTCCACCTATTGTACATCTGTTAATGTGGGTACTTCTGCCTTACTTTCCCAAAGTTGCAGCTCTGTTTTAACAACCATATGTTTAAACCCGGATACTGAATCCCACAAAAACTGTAGTTTAGGATTAGGATCGACATGTTGGACAATTAACCGTGTTAAATACTCAGATATTTGAAGTATAAGCCACTGAGCGATATCCAGCTGAGTCATACTCTGAATAGACCCATTGAAACCAGTGGACTTCAGTTATTTAAGTCAGCTTATTTCAGTGGGGCTGTTCTGAGTATGACTAGCATTGAATAAAGGTGTAGAAGATTACTCTTTTATTTCAGCTCCCTAGCTCTGTTGGCAGGGCTGGACCTAGGAGCATGGAAAAATGTACCCCCTTGGCTACCAGATGTAACTGTAGGCATTTCCAAACAGGCACACAAGCTTCTGTGAGTAAGCTGCCATCAGTTACAGAAGCCACTGGGACTGGAAAGATCCAGGTTCAGTTTCTCATTCAGTCATGAAGCTTATGGTGTGATGTTAGGTTGGGTTAGTTGCACACAGTTTGCACGGCCTGCTTCACAGGGCTGTTCCAAGGAGAATAATGAGAATAATGGGGAATGGGTAGTATGCTTGATAATGTGGGTCCTGTGGAGGATGGGCAGAATTAAAATAATATATCACATTTTTTAAAAGTTGATGTCATTGTTTTATAGTACAGTGGTGTTGTGTAGTCGTGTCCGACTCTTCGTGACCCCATGGACCAGAGCACGCCAGGCACTCCTGTCTTCCACTGCCTCCCGCAGTTTGGTCAAACTCATGCTGGTAGCTTCAAGAACACTGTCCAACCATCCCCTGTCGTCCCCTTCTCCTTGTGCCCTCCATCTTTCCCAACATCAGGGTCTTTTCCAGGGAGTCTTCTCTTCTCAGGAGGTGGCCAAAGTATTTGAGTCTCAGCTTCAGGATCTGTCATTCCAGTGAGCACTCAGGGCTGATTTCCTTAAGAATGGATAGGTTTGATCTTCTTGCAGTCCATGGGACTCTCAGGAGTCTCCTCCAGCACCATAATTCAAAAGCATCAATTCTTCGGCGATCAGCCTTCTTTATGGTCCAGCTAGTACAGTGGTACCTCTAGTTAAGAACTTAATTTGTTCCGGAGGTCCGTTCTTAACCTGAAACTGTTCTTAACCTGAAGCACCACTTTAGCTAATGGGGCCTCCTGCTGCTGCGGCGCGATTTCTGTTCTCATCCTGAAGCAAAGTTCTTAACCTCAGGTACTATTTCTGGGTTAGCAGAGTCTGTAACCTGAAGCGTATGTAACCTGAAGCGTCTGTAACCCAAGATACCACTGTAAGGGCCATCTAAGTGTCAGACCGGTTGATTAGCATTTGTCCTCCTGCTGTAACCTTATTGTGACCATTATGGGACTGGTCAAATGCCTGAGATAGCTCAGTTGGTAGAGCATGAGACCCTTAATCTCAGGGTCATGGGTTCAAGCCCCACGTTGGGCAAAAGATCCTGCATTGCAAATTTATTTTGTATAGTTAAGCTTTTACGTCTATCTTCAGTACATTTATGCTATGTTATTGCTACGGCCAGTGGCTGATGCAAATAAATATTATTCTGATTCTCTGCACTGCGGGGGTTGGACTAGATGACCCTCGGGGTCCCTTCCAACTCTATGATTCTGTGAATGCCCAGCTATATGTTTAGGATACTTTATAAGGGAACATGCAGCTGACAGTACAAGGCACCACTTCATTTCATGTCTTCCCTTTGCAAATTTCAGAAGGAAAAATTGTATTCCATTTGTACATGTAATCTTCTACCAGCTTTTGAGTCTAATGATTCCAATGCCACAGCTGCCAGTTATAGCTTGCTTTGTCCATGCTTGCTGTCTGAAAGTTTTTTTAAAAAATACAGTCACTACCAAATCTGAGAGGATTGTTGTTCAGAACAAAATATGTAGAACCAAATGTTCAAAGAACCAGGAAGAGAACACAAGCCTATGAAGGGCATATTGAGACATGTTGCTGTAGGAGTTGCTCACATGAGTGATTATTCAACTCCCCCAGCCCCCAAGATAAATGTTCACAGTAAAAGTCCTAGGAGCTGTTATCACTTTTCATATGAATGGACTTAGCAGGCTGGTAAGGACGACTGTAAGGGGAAGGTCTCTGCTAGTTAGCCAAGGTGGTGCCCTCTAAATGCTGTTGGACTAGTGGTTAGGGTGTCAGGCTAGGGAGACCAGGGTTCAAATCCCTGCTCACCCATGGTCTGGAATGATTGGAGTTGTAGTCCAAAACATCTGGAATGCATTAGGTTGGGAAACTCTGGTCTAGGGAAAGGCAGGATCATGGGAGAAGGTAGCATGGCGTGGGAAGCAGGGAAGGACTAGGAAAGGAGGGTGGGAATGGTCTGAATGAACTTAGGGAGGACCTAAGAGGGGAAGAGAAACTAGACTGCTGGATGAGTGAAGGAGGGATGCTCATAGTTGGGAGCTGCAGAGAATTACATTTTGATTTGAAATGGCCTCATCAGATACACCTGCCTAGTTCAGTTTATAAAGATATACCCTTCCATCAAATCAAAGAAGAGGCAGAGCAAAGTAGATTTACAATTAATATTAAATTTATTGACAGTGGCAGGAATATATAGCTCAATCCTTGAAAACCACACAAATTCTGATTGGCTTAAGAAAATCTGGGACATGGTTTTAATATCCAGATTGGCTTTTTTTACAAGCAGCTATAGCAGCACAAAACAGACTTTGTTTATTAATTCTAAAAACAACAAATTTCATGATGTACTGCCATTTATCACTTTTTCTGCATTATGAGTCACTTAAATAAAAATATTTAATAATTGCATAAAGTGTTAAAACAGTGCACAGTGGTATCCTTTTTTTTTCTTTTATCTCTTCCCTTTGTGCAATTTCATGTTATGTACTTTATATAATGGGACGCAGGTGGCGCTGTGGGTTAAACCACAGAGCCTAGGACTTGCGGATCAGAAGGTCGGTGGTTCGAATCCCTGCGACGGGGTGAGCTCCTGTTGCTCGGTCCCAGCTCCTGCCAACCTAGCAGTTCGAAAGCACCTCAAAGTGCAAGTTGATAAATAGGTATCGCTCCGGCGGGAAGGTAAACAGCGTTTCCGTGCGCTGCTATGGTTCGCCAGAAGCGGCTTAGTCATGCTGGCCACATGACCCGGAAGCTGTACGCCAGCTCCCTTGTCCAATGAAGCGAGATGAGTGCTGCAACCCCAGAGTCGGTCATGACTGGACCTAATGGTCAGGGGTACCTTAACCTTTACCTTTACTTCATATAATGAATTTAACTGATAGCCATTTTTGAAATATTTTCCTTTGTTCTTCTTTGAAGGTCAGTCATGAAGCTCAAGCGAGGTTCAAGTAAGTTTAAGACTCCATCCAAACTTAAGCGAAGAGGCATCAAAGTGACAGGGGCATGGAAGCCCATTGAGATTGACCCAAATCTCTTTGCCGACGAGCAACTTGGAGGCTTAGTATGTTTTGAGGAGCTTACAGATTATAAACTGGTGTCTTCCTCAAAAGCGGGAGAAGAAAATGCCAAGGGGAGAAAATCTAGTAGGCGGCCTGGAGAAGTGGAAGACCTGGAGCAAGAGCATAGTGCAATTCCCAAAAAGAAGAGGAAGAAGGAGAAAAATCTGGAACAGGAGGTGAGGAGTGGTTATGAACCCAAAGTGAAGGAACCGGTAACAACTGAGCAGGAGGCTGAATGTAAAGAGGCCATCCCTAGCTTTGAGCAAGATGAGAGAGTAGAAGGAGACACCACAATCCTTAAAAGGAAAGCGAAGAAAAAGAGGAAGAGAGAGTTGAAGAAGAAAACCTGTCCTCCCCAAGATGTTGCTGAACCAGCTAAAGCTTCTAAAAAGGCTAAAAACTGGACAGCAGAAGTCCTGTCTTTATCTTCAGGTCAGGAAGTGGACATGTCTGCATGGAAAGGCCTCTTCGTTCCTAAGCCTGTTCTTCAGGCACTGAGTGAATTAGGGTTCAGTGCGCCAACTCCGATTCAGGCCCTGGCTCTGCCTTCTGCGATTCGAGATGGCATGGACATCCTTGGAGCTGCAGAGACAGGTATAATTCATTGCTACGGCGATTGTTTCGCTTCCACTGTCCAAGATGTGTTGATTCTGTACCTCCATAAGCACATGATAGAAGCATGGATTTTGGTAATTGAGCACAAAGTACAATGTGTTGAGAATTTCAGCTTTTTCTTTTGTGGGTGAAAAATATTTGGGTGCAGGGGCTGGTGAAATTGAAGAGGGCCATCAGGACATCAGTGGTGAGGACAGGGCCGGCCCAAGACATTTTACTGCTGTAGGCAAGACCAGCAATGCCCTCTTCCCCACAACAATTAATTTATTATTTTTATTTATTAAATTTATATAACACTCTCCATCGTAAGATCTCAAGGCGGTTCACAGAATAAAATACAAGTTAAAAGCAAGAGTGCAAATTTTCAACTTTGAAACGTGCTTTTTGATTGTAAAATTGTATATGGCAATTTCAGTGTGTTAGATTTGTTGGCATCTCTCAGCTAAATTTGGCAGGCATCAAATATGGATTCTTATAACCTGCCAGTTGTTGATAACAAATCACAGACAGCTGCACGGGCACCAAGATTCAACTCGTATCTGTGTGTTTGTGTGTTTTTAAATATTCCAGTCTGTTCCGAGTTGCTTTGTACTCTCTTTTTCAATCTGTGCTCTGGCTTCTAAGCCACTACGTCTAAAACAAAGCTCTGTGTTTTCCTTATTCACTGTAATGGGGAACCTGCAGTGACTATAACATTTTCCCCTTTTTGGCCAAAGTGGATAAAATTTTGAGAGACAAATACTCTTCTGGAATGCAGTGAGCCTGCCAAATTGTAGACCGATAGAGAAATTTTCATGAAGGGCGCCTTTAAAATTTGATGAATCTTAACTAAAGGAAAAGTCTATTACCTTTTTGATGTTCTGGCCGAATTGGATGCAGTTTGCAGGCATCACCACCCCTTCTGAGGGGATGAAGACTTCTGAATTTCAGAATGAATCATAAGGTGGTGGTAGAAGGTTTATTGGTGGAGTGTGTGAGCTCCCCATGCCCCCTAAGACTTAGAGATTGCAACTTTTCTTCCTTAAGAGAGTGAGAGACCTCTACATTGTGATTGGAGTGCCCTGAGAAAATAATTATCTGTGATTCAAGCCAAGACCTGTCTGTCAACATGACAGATTGCACCCTTTCCCCTTTTGAGCTCTGGGCATCTCCCCTCTCGGTTTTGTTTCATTTTGGTGGGGAGAGATTTGTTCATTTTTTTTGAGAGCTAAAGCTACAGAGCCATGCTGTCTGGGACTTACGAGATTCGTAGTCCCAGCAACATCTGGAGGGCTGCAGGTTAACCACCCCTGGCTTATTGAATTGAGAAGGTCCCAACTTTGTTTCCTCTGAATTCACATTGTCTCAACACTTACTGAGGGGGAGCAATAGTGTGATAGAAGAAATGTCTGCCAATTCCCCCTTCCCTAGGTGGACTGTCTTCCAGATTCAGAGGCCAGCCTGGGTGAACAACCTTTACCACAAGACCTGGGGTCAGGGACATATGCGCAGGGAGACTTGGTGTGGGGGGCAGGGATTAAAAGAGATCCTCCTGTTTGCCAGTTTTCACTTGGGAAAAGTCCCTCCATTCCTTATGAGGGAAACCACTGGGTTAGTGATTCCATATTTCCTACAGAAGGAGTTAAAATGTCAATGGCAGCAACAGAAAATTGTATCACGAGAGATGAGTTGAGTAGAATGCAGTTTGTCCTTGGCCTAGTTTTCATTTCTGTGTGTGGAGAGCACTGATCAGAGCTGTCAATTAAGACAATTCCTTTTATAGAGCTTTTTAAAAAAGACCAAGAGTAGAAGGAAAAATCCAACCAAGTACACATGTTTGCACGTCAATAGCATTACACTGCTTTGTATGTTACCTTAGGATGGTGGAAGCCTCAGAGCAGCCTTTGCACACCCAACCACAAGCAGGCCAGAAACCACTACAATTTTTAATATATTTTTTAAGCAGAGCAGCCATTTTGCTTTGCGGTGAGTCTTATTACAGACTAGCAGCCTACAAATGAACCAGTACTTTTTAAGAGTCCAGGCACTTATTTGTTGGTTTTAAAAAATATGTATATATTCAAAAGATTTCACAATGATTTATATTTATTAATTACTGCTGTTGAAAAGCAACCCACAGTGAAGTGTCTTGGTGAGATGAGCAACGACAGGTGCCTGCTTTAAGAAGCGCCAATTTGACTCATTGTAACTACATATATTTACATGGCTTTAATTAAGAGAGGGAGCCCTGGCTGAGGGATAATGCATATCCTTTGTATCCAGAATTTCTGAGGTTCAATCCTCATCAACTTCAAGGAGCAGGAAGCTGCTGAAGTAAAAGAATTCCTTGCCTGAGATCCTGGAAAAGAGCTGGCAGTCAAAGAAGAGTAGACAATACCAGACTAGTGGGGGGAAACCGGCTGGTTTGGTTTCTTAATTTTAGATTTAAGCTTAGTTTTTATCATTCAACAAGTGTACAAAATATTAAGAAAATTGGATGACACGAGGTAAAAAAGTTGGATCACTTGATATGGAATTACCTGGCTACACTAGCGTAAGGCAGTTTAGAAAACATTCGGAAAAGAGCAACCTGTTGAATGTTTGACTCTCAATTACAGTGTATACGGATGGAGTGTTTCTTGGGGTGTGGGGATGTATGGGGGTGGTTTGTTATATGAGTTTTTTTAAAAACAAAAAGATGTGTTAAAAAGAAATGGGATGGAGCAAGTCCCCTATAAAAAAAGGTGCAGAATTTGGGGCTTTTTAGTTTAGGGAAAAGGCAAAGAGAGGCAACATGGTAGAAGTTCATAAAATTGTGCATGGAGAAAGTGGATAGAGAAATGTTTTTCCCCCCTTGCTCCTCACGCTAGAACTCATCCAATGAAGCTGAATGTTGGAAGATTCAGGACGGGTAAAAGAAAGTGCCTAGTTAAACTCTGGAGCTTAGTTCTGTGGGAGGCAATGATGGCCATCAGCTTGGATAGCTTTAAAAGAGGGTTAGGCAACATCATGGAGGGCAAGCCTACCAAGGACTACCAGCCATGTGGTCTAGCCTGCCTCCATGGTTGGAGGCAGCAATGCTGGAAACCACATGCGGGGGGGGGGCGACTCTTGGGTTTGCCAGTTTCCCCCAGGCATCTGGGTGGCTGCTGTGACAAGATGCTGGACTAGTGTGATGGCTTGTGTATGCTCTTCACAATAAGCACCCTCTGCTCACTCAGAGAGGTATTTACAGTTCTTTATTTTACATATGGACAAGCAGCACATTACAATCATGCGTCTGAATCGTCCGGTTCAGATTCAGGGAATTGTCTTCTCCGGCTTCTCCAACAGAAAAGGCGGGGAAGTTTCATGGGACGTCTCTGATCCTTTCGTTTTAACCCTCTCCTTTCCTATGCAGACGGCACAGGGACAGGCTCTCCATCTGTTCCTGAACTTCCTGTGTGGTTCTGGGGCTCTGCTTCAGCATCAGAGAGCCTTCCCGCCTCCTGGCTCTCTCCCTCTTCCCTATCTGTCACTTCCTCTCTATCTATCTCTTACTGTTCCCGCTCCTCAGAGGTGTACCCTGGCAACCCTGTGACAACTAGGTGGGCCATTGGCCTGATCCAGCAGGCTCCGCTTGTGTTCCTAGGTTTCTAACCTGCGTTTTATTTGTCCATGTTTAGGAAGTGGTAAGACTCTTGCTTTCGCCATTCCAATGATCCATTCCATTCTGCAGTGGCACAAGTCAACAGGACTGGCAAGTGGAAGGGACAGGCCGATTGATGAAGGAGAGGATGGTGAGGATGAGGTACCCAAGCAGGAAGAGAGTGTGGATACAGGAGGCTTGAGCCCTGATGGGGGTGAAGCTGGTGGCGATGACGATGGCGACGGTGACAAGTCTTTGGCAGCAGGAAACCTGAAGGTGTTGGAGGGTGCAGAACATGATCTGGGTTCCCCAAAACCTAATGCTGCTGCACATAGAAACAATCCTCTTCTGGGTTTGGTCTTGACTCCTACAAGAGAACTTGCTGTCCAAGTGAAGCATCACATTGATGCGGTGAACAGATTCACAGGTAATGTCAATTCCTGGTAATCATAGAATTGGAAGGGATTCCATGGGTCCAACGCTCTGCAATGCAGCAATCTCAACCAAAGCCCCCATGACAGATGGCCATCTATCAATGCTATTGTTGTGGTTATTATTTCATTTGTGAATCACTTCCTATGATGCATCTGGAAGTGATTCTACAATACAGTGAAGAGAGATGAGACAATAGCATATATAAAATCAGTTTTGTTTTCATCTAACATACATATAAAGGTCTGTCTTCCATTACTTACTTTGCTGCTGAAGTACATTGCTTCAGTTTCCCTTTCCTAAAATGGAAACATGCTCTGCAGAGAAAGTTTCCTACAGTTTTCTGTCTTCTCTGTAGGGAAAGCACAGACTATGGTATGCACAATCAGTTTGCTGAGAAAATCCTTGGGTTTTTTCTTTTCTTTTTTGAAATGCAGCTTTCTAACCTTCCTTGCTGTGAGGCTATGTTTGAAGGTGTCTGGGCATGGCCTGTGGACATCTGAGAACCCAGAGAGGTGGTTGAGTAAGAAGTCCAGTGATTGGTGGTGGCACTTCAATGACCTGCCCGGTTCATTTTCTCACACAACTAGAAAGCCAAGATAAATTATTCAGAATAAGAGTGGTTGTTATTTGCATAATTTACACAGGTTGAGAATTCCACTTTTGGGGGAGCTCAGCATCGCATCAGTAAGGATTTTTAAAATTTTTAAAGTGATCCACTACTAGGAGGAGCGCACACCATCTTGAATACGGGATAAATGCTGTTTTGGAGATGTAGGTCATCTTTGTAGTTCATTGGTTTTTTAAAAAAACATTGGGAAATACTTTTGTGGAGATTTGTGCTCCTAAAAAGAGGGGAGGTAAATCCAGTGATTTCTTACAAACATGGTGCAGCATCTCATGACTTTCATGCCAGAAAATTTTATGAAATATAGCTGCTGCAACAATGCTCCAGGGACCTTAATGTCCTATTGGTCTTCTGTCTTTTAGGCATTAAAGCAACCATTCTTGTTGGAGGAATGGCACCTCAGAAGCAGCAGCGAGTTCTGAAAAGGAAGCCCGAGATTGTAATCGCAACCCCGGGGCGCCTGTGGGAGCTAATACAGGAGAAGCAGCCACATCTCTCAAACCTGCGGCAACTCAGGTACTCAAGATCCCTTTTCAAATATGTCTTCCTTCTCCCAAACGAGCAAATACTATCTGGGTATTTTTAAGATCATCAATGCTAAAGAACTTCCTGCTTAAGCAATAGTACAGAGGTAGTCAGTGTATCACCCTCCAGATGTTTTTGGACTACAGCTCCCATCAGCCCTGACCGTTGGTGGTTCTCACTGGGGCTGATGGGATTTGGAGTTCAGCAACACCAAGGGCACCATGGTTAGCCACCTCTGCAGTAAACACTTTGCAGGATCTTTCAGGGTGTTCCCTTGAAGTTCACAGTTGCTGCTTTGAGAATCGGGGGACACTTACGCATGCTCGATGTTGCACTTGGACTGCTTAGCTCTGTTGCACCTGCCTGAACATACTGTGGCTCATTCAGATGAACAGCAGAGACCATGAAGCTACTATAGAACAATTGAGGTGGGTGGAGGATGGAAACGGTTTCCATAATTGGCCTGACTTACCAGATTTTCTCCTCCACCCAGCTCATGCCACGTTTCAAAGCAAATTTCCAGGCACTGGCAAGTGGCGACCAGTATTAGAAATCAGCCAGGCGCCAGGTGCATTTTGCGACTGCCGTGGGTCCAGCTGTGATCACCTGGAGATCTCTGGGGAAACCAAAATGTCACTTAGGGAATGATCTGAAATATTTTCCTTGAAGCCTGAATTTGTTGTATTCCGGATTGCTTTATTTGATGTTTCAATATGCTATAAACCGTTTTGAGATTTGTTCTTTAAAATATAAAGTGGCATAGAAATGAACAAGATGATGATGATAACAAAGCCCATTGAAAAGAAATGGCGCCTAGACATTCCATGGTGGCAACCACAACCTACATTTAAGATTTCATTTGTGGGTTAGCGGGAGTGGCATCAGTTTCAACCTGGTTCCTCCTGGGCCCAGACTACAGCTCATTCCTAGTGGCGGAGTTTCATGCTCCGGCACCAGGGGACAGGGCTGGCGTGCGTCCTGGGGTGGGGCGCGCCGCCCGCAGGGGCGTGGGGCGCATCCTGGGGTGGGGCACGCCACCCACTGGGGCATGGCACACGTCCTGGGGATGGGGGGTGCCGCCTGCGGGGGTGGGGCGCCCAGCACGGGCAGGGGGCAGTTGTGATGGCACCCTGCCGGAGGCGGGGCACTCCCCCCGCACTCCTCTTCCTCCACCAGTGCTCATTTCTCCCTTGGTGCACCAAGCAGTGGCAGCAGAGGGAGTCCCTCCATTGCCAGTGCCTGGCATGCCAAGGGAATAATGACCTCCATTGGCCACAGCGCTGATGGAACCTGTTCTACCAGGTGCTGGCGACAGAGAGTTCCTCTGCCACCAGTGTGCTAAGGGAATAACAAGCTGCATCAGCTCTGGCACCTTACGGTCAGGAGTGGTGGCAGTTTCACCCACAGTCTACCGTCGGGTGAAGGCGCCATCATGCTCTGGCCCTCAAACCAGTCCTGGGAGATGCATTGATACACCAGGCCTAGCGGTCATCACTTTGCAACAGCAAAGTCCTTGAATTTGCTGGTGCAAATTCCATCAGACGTTTGTTTCCTTGCACCTTGGTTTCCCACTTTGGTATCTATACAAGCATACAGAATAAGAATCGGCTTGTGGTTCTGTTCACTCACCGCAGGCCATTGTTCTTTTCTGTGTGCGCTGTAGCAGGTAGGGCTCTTTTGAAGCGTGTCGGATCTCCTCTTATCTCAAAACGAAACGCTCTTAAAACTGTCTCTCGCGTCCGTCTGACAGGTGCCTGGTGATCGACGAAGCGGACCGGATGGTGGAGAGGGGGCATTTCGAGGAACTCTCTCAGTTGCTGGAAATGCTGAGCGACTCGCAATATAACCCAAAACGCCAGACGTTTGTCTTTTCTGCCACCCTGACTTTGATCCACCAGGCTCCGACTAGGGTTCTCCACAAGAAGAGAGCTGTCAAAATAGACAAGAAGACCAAGCTGGAAATGCTGATGGAAAAAGTTGGCATCAAGGGCAAGCCCAAAGTGATAGACTTGACCAGGAAAGAGGCCACCGTGGAGACCCTCACCGAGACCAGGATCCACTGCGATACAGAGGAGAAAGACTACTACCTGTATTATTTCCTCCTTCAGTACCCAGGCAGAACCATGGTTTTTGCAAATAGTATAGATTGCATCAAGCGGCTCACTGCCCTCCTGACGATATTGGACTGCGACCTCCTGCCTCTTCATGCAAACATGCACCAAAAGCAAAGGTTGAAAAACCTGGAGAGGTTTGCTGAACGCCCCAGGTCGGTTTCCCTCTCTCTCTCTCTCTCTCTCTCTCTCTCTCTCTCCCCTTTGGTTTATTTTATCAATTAAGATCATGCCGCTTTTCAAAAGTGGATTGCTTGAATTGACAAAAACACAATGAGAACAAGAACGGAGTAATGCGCCGCAGCACAATTAGCAAGTAAACGCTGAAAAACTTACCAGAATTTAAAGGTGGGCGAAACTTTTAAGGGGAAAAGTAATAACGACTCGCCTAAAGCTTAAAACGGAGGGATCCAATTTGGGAAGGAGTTCTTTGTGGGAAGCATGGGGACCGCAGTAGAGAAGGCCCTTTCTTAAGTCCCAACCAGCTACACCTGCAGTGGAGGTAGGACACAGAGCAAGGCCTTTGATATTGAACACAGTTGAATGACAGGATCCAATAGCGTGGCCTCCGTTACCCATGCTCTGCTAACCTCCCGTGCAGATTGCTGCAGTGCATTCTACATGGGGCTTCCCTTGCAGATGGTCCAGAAGCTGCAGCAGTGGAATGCAGTAGCTCTGGGCAGGGCAGAGCTGCCGGAGAAAGGCACATCGCTCCAATTTTGAGAGCACTGCACTGGGTGCTGGGGAGATACTGGGCCCAATTCTAGGTATTGGAACTAGTGTGCAAGGCCTTAAATGGGTACTTGAAGAAGCCATATTTTCCATATGCCGCAACCCATAATTTGCGGTGGAGGGCAGACACCCTGAAAGCAGTGGCAAGGAGGATGAGAGTGCACAAGAGGGCTTTCTCTGTAGTGGGCCACCACGTTTAGAACCCCTCCTGAAGGTAATGGTGCAGTCCCCATCCCCTAGCTGTGCTTGGGAGGAATTCGAAGACAGTTCTATTTATCCAGGCCTTTGGGAGGGGATTGGCAATGTTAGGCTGAGGGGTATCATGCCTTTCATTTTAATTCTTGTGTCCTGGATACTGTGTGGTTTGATGTGGTGCTGTTGACTTCCTTGGGGACTCTTCAGGGAGGAACGTCTAGCTGTGAATTAAAGAACAGGAGGTGGACCTTCGAATACCTTTAGGGCTTTGTCAGTAAGAATGGGAACATTTATTGAATGATTTGATCTCGGCACAGTTCACGGAATAAAATACAAAATAATTAAAAACTAAACAGCAAAACAATAACACATGCACCCTTCCCAAAGGCACATTTAAAAGGCTATAGAATATTTATCAGCCCAAGGCCTGGTTGAACAGAAACGTTTTCTCCTGGCGCCTAAAATATATAATAATAATAATAATAATAATAATAATAATAATAATCCTTTTTATTTATATCCCGCCCTCCCCAGCCAAAACCGGGCTCAGAGCGGCTAACAACAGTAAAAATAGCACCATTTTCATAAAATCACAATCAATTAATTGAAATACATTCTAAAATCAATTCAGAATCAAATTAATGGCAACCATTGGGCTAGAGTTCTATGTGGATTACAGAAGGCGAGAGGGGGGTCAGACTGTGCCTTGGCCAAAGGTCTGGTGGAACAGCTCTGTCTTGCAGGCTCTGCGGAAAGATGTCAATTCCCGGAGGGCCCTAGTCTCTTGTGACAGAGCGTTCCACCAGATCGGGGCCATGGCCGAAAAAGCCCTGGCTCTGGTTGAGGCCAGCCTAACCTCCCTGTGACCCAGGATCTCCAAGTTGTTTTTGTTTGAAGACCGTAAGGTCCTCCCTGGGACATACCAGGAGAGGCGGTCCCGTAGGTACGAGGGTCCTAGGCCATATAGGGCTTTAAAGGTAAAACCAGCACCTTAAACCTGATCCTGTACTCCACCAGGAGCCAGTGCAGCTGGTATAGCACTGAGTGAAGGTGCCTGGCAAACCTTACCTGGAAGAACATACCGCAATTGGGGAGCCACTACAGAGAAGACCCGTTCTCGTGTTGCCGCCCTCTGGACCTCACCTGGAGGAAGCACACGAAGAAGGGCCTCAGATGCTGAACACAGGGGGAGAGGCAGCCCTTGAAGTATTGCAGTCCTGAGCATTTGAATCGCTCCCACAAACAACTACCAACCAGTGCAGACAAAGCAAGAATCTATGATGTGTAGTTGTCACACACACTGTATAGCTTTGATTAACGGCTAGTTGTCCTGGAAGACTGGCTAGAGAAGGGGTGAGAGCTAGCGGGCCTCAACTTCACACATGAAAGTCGGCATCACACAGTGTTTTGCGGCTGCACACGCAGTGTGTGTACACCACCTTTCTTTTGCCTCTAGGGTGACAACTAGAGAGCCAGGCGGCAGCAGCACCTCCCTCAGGGCCACTGGAATTGGGCCAGGCATCTTTTTCCCCCTAGACTCCTAGTGTACAGGACAGCTGTTTTGTGCAGGGGAGTAAGCAAACTTAACGTGAGTTGGAGCGACTGACGTGGGTTGGATGTTTGGTTTCCTTAGCAAATGCTGCTCAAGGCAGCGAGCAGCAGTAACGTACTCCTGAAATCAAATGATAAATTGCAATGAAACGAAAAAGATACAAAGTAAAAAAAAACACCCCAAGGCAGGTAAAACTTCATAAAAGACAAATTAGACTTATTTACATAGTGTGGGTAGGAGAACTGAAAATAATGCCAATATATTTCACATCTGGTTTCAGATAGTACATGGGTAGACGAGTCTAAAAAGCCCAGAACACACATTTTCACAGTCCTCTAGCAGCTATGGTGGCTCAGTTACTAGAAGTAGTTTATTTAGCATTAACTATGGAAGTATATGGGACGCGGGTGGCACTCTGGGTTAAACCACAGAGCCTAGGACTTGCCGATCAGAAGGTCAGCGGTTCGAATCCCCTTATTCCGAATAGGATTCATCACAAGAAAAGGGAAGAATTGACAGCTATGCACCGTGGCCGTGAAAATTTGTGTCCAGGGCTTTTTCAGAGCTTGGGAGCAGCCATCAAGAAGGCTCTCTACTGAACATTTGCCCTGTGTGCTTCAGATGCCTCCCCCATAGATCTTAAAACCTGTGCAGGCTGACATGGAAGAAGCCTTTCAGATAACCTTACTCCCAAGACTTGCAGGCGAAAACTAGCAGTCTGAATTGTAACCGGAAACAAACCAGTAGCCCCTGAAGGTTTCTCCACCCATCCTTCACAGGCTAAGCAAAGCAGTCTTAAATAGATAGGTTATCTTCTTTTTGTCCCTTTTGTCTTTCTTTTCATTCTGCAGTACTTATGACACAGCCCTATTTTGCTTATGTTACTGTATCTGGCCTTCTGGAAATACTGAATTCAGTGTTAATGCACTTTAGGGAGCTCTCCCCCCCCCTTTCCTTAATAAAACAACCATTGTCTCCACTTCTGCAATTTCAGCTGTGCCCTCTTGACAACAGATGTTGCCGCTCGTGGTCTTGACATTCCTCACGTGCAGCATGTCATACATTACCAGGTACCAGAACAAAATGTACTTCTGTTCTCTGTTCATGAATTTGTAATACATTGATGGCTGGCGGTAAATTGAAGACCACAAGCGATCTTCGTGGCCTTTCTTTGGGTTGTAACACAGAAGAAGAAAGAGAGGCATGGTGGATTGGTTTAAATCAAGATGATTTCAGTTACCAGGGAGGCAGGGAAGCTGATTTAAATCATTGATTTAAGGGGGATTGAAAATCAAGTTTTCCATTTATACTTCATGGTGCAAATTTAGCTCTTAATTGCAACTGAATAGGTTATTATTTACACTGTTTTTTAATTCTTAAAGCCAAGGTGTGTGTTTGTTTGTTGCACTGTATATAACAAAGGCACACTCCTCCATTGCCTTCCAAGACAGATGTCCACAATATAATTTATATGTTTTCCATTCTTCTACCTATAGATGGACTGTCATTAAAATATTCCCATGTAGGTTCTCAAGACTAGTAGTCTGTTAGGTAAACTTAAGAGAATGTAGGAACAGACACACTTGGACCTTCTGAGTGTTGCTCCTTTCTGCTTTATTCTGCTGTTGCTCAGCCCTGCAGAAATGATTTTTTTTTTTGGTTAGTAGCATTGTTTGTAACTGTGGCATGTGCTAACCAGCCTGTCGTTTCAGATATCTCTGACATTTCTGGGCTTGCACATAATTGTGGAATCCAATATCTCCCAAGAGTTAGCGCACATTGAGATAAACTGAAACAGTGCCATAGTAGGTGTGAAATTGCTTGCTGCTGGGGAGCGTTATGCGTTGTTCTCTTTTTGTGTACTTCAGACCCGTTCCCACAGAAGTGCTTAATCTCTTTCGCTGTTGCAGGTTCCTCGCACCTCTGAGATTTACGTGCACAGAAGCGGCAGGACTGCCAGAGCTGCCAATGAGGGCCTGAGCTTGCTTCTGATTGGCCCAGGCGACATGATGAATTTCAAAAGGATTTACAAGACGCTGGAGAAGAACGAAGAGCTTCCTTTTTTCCCCGTCGAAACAAAATGCATGACGGCAATCAAGGTGAAATAGATATTTCCTTTGAAAGTAGTGTGTTCGTGGTTTTTATTTTATTTCTCAACCGCAGCGCTTTTCACAGTTGCTCAAGGCTTCGTAACAGATGTCTGTTCCTAACACCTGATTTTGGAACTTGGTTGGGAAGTGAGATCTGGAACAGTGGTTCTGACTGAGATGGCTGTTCATGAGCCAAGCTTGCTGTAATTTTTTTGTTTTAAAAAATGCTTCTAGCCAGTGGGCTGGTGGAGGAGAGACAGGGTGAGCCATCCCTTCTTTGCCAGTCAAAATATTAGCCTGCATTAATGTCCTGGTCACCTGTGACAAGTTGTTGAAAGCAAGGTGGCATAAAGTTGGATATAAAGTCATAGAATTGTAGAATTGGAAAGGATCCCATGGGTCATCTAGTTCAACCCCCTGCAATGCAGGAATCTAAACCAAATCATCCATGACAGATATGTGCTGCTCCACTCGAGTAGAGCCCAGGGTTCAGCTTCTTCAGTTCTCATCTCTCCTTTAGATCTTGCCAGCCAGGGTTGGAAGACCAGAAAGAAGACATTATGTTATCACTAGTAGAGAAAAGACAAGAGGAGAGCAGGAGTTATGTGGAGACATTAAAATCAAAGCTGTTTTTAATGAGCTTAGTTTTCAGTAGTTGATTGCAGGTAATGAATGTTTTTCAGGACTAATTTTTCCTTTATTTGGCTGCTTAAGAATTTCAAATTGCTCATCACCCTGCTGTCACTTCTGCGGCTTTAATAATTTAATCCCTTATTAAATATGGAATATAGGCATAGATAAATCACCATGTCCCATTTGCAGACTTGCGTGGGACTTTCTTTGGTGCCTACATTCTAAGCTCTTAATGTTGGCAGCGCCCTGCCAGATCTCATTTTTCATCTAGAACATTCACCTAGCAGAATGGTTGAATTAAAATGTGTTGAAAGCTAAGGGCAAAAGACTTTGTGAATTGTGCTGGTGGTTCCGATATAACTTAGTGGAGCATAATCGCTTCCATTGCTTTGCATTGTAGAAAAGGCTCCTTTAGGAGGATAAGCAGAATATAATTTCAATTAATAAAATAACAGTGAAAAATAAATATATTTCCCCTCCAGTTTCTTTGTCATTTTCCTTGTTTTGAATGCTATGTAATTTGAAGCTGGGTCTATATTATTTTTTTCTGTCTGTTTTGAGGTGGTAGCTTGCTCCATCCCAAATGTTTTGGGTAACAAAATAGAGGAAGCAGCAGTAGTCTTACAAATAATTTTCCAATCTTTTTATTAATAATTGCAGTTGAACAAAAGTCCAGTTAAACCACCGAAACATAGGATATGTTTATATGCACAGAGCTTGGTTGACTTAAGTTACACTGTACCCAAACTTCTTAAGGCGAGCTTGTACATCACCATGTTACAAGTGGAAGATAACTAATTGTTGTCAGTGGGGAAAGCTTTTCTAATTCAGAATTGTTGGCTTCCTCCTTCCCCATTTGAGTCTGCTGATGTTCCATAAAAGACCAATGTAAGGCATGCTGGAGCTTAAGTTTAGCGTACTTAGACCCCCTTTCCATTTTGGCCTAATGGCAGTCCTGCAATACAAGGTAGCCGGACAAATTAGCCCATGATTTACCCAAGATCACCCATTGAACTTTTCAACTGAGTGCCAGTTCCAACCCAGGTCTCCTCCTCATTCCAAGTCAGCTTGACCCCTTTGTAAGCCAGTAATGTTTGTAGACTGAGGTCCAAGGGTTACTTTACAAACCATCACCTTGAAGTATGTCCAGAAGATAACAGGGATGGCAAAATTTAGGGAGTAGTGGTTAACCTAGGGTCCCATGAGTTCATTAGAGTTAGTGAATTCCTTACAAAGGCAAAGTGTGTGGAAGCTTTTTCATCTCCCCTGCTATTATGAGAGAAGGAATCTAACATGGTGAAGGGCAGGTTATTAAAATATTAATAATGATAATAATAACAATGGCCAGAGACATCCACAGACCTGTACCATCTATTTGTTGAAGAAAAAGCAATTGTGAAAGACCCACCCAGTGAAAACAGTGCCACGTCTAACTTAGCCCTTATATTGCCTTTGTCCATGTACTGCTTTGAGTGCCCACGTCCTGTCCCTGCATAACCTCACTGTGCTTCGTTGCAGGAGCGGGTGAACTTGGCAAGAAAGATTGAGAAGGTGGAATATTTCAACAGCCGAGCGAAGCAGCACAACTCATGGCTCCAGCAAGCTGCAGAAGCGCTGGAGCTTGATTTAGATGATGATGAGCTAATAGGCAAGTGGCAGTGTGTGTGTGTGTGTGTGTGTGTGTGTGTGTGTGTTTGGGCTTGGGAGGGAGGAACCACCCCGAGAAAGGTGTAATAAGGGGCATATCTCCTGGATGCAGCAATGAAGGCAATAACCTGGGTACTCTCACACATCTAAAGAGCTCTATTTATGGACTCTTGTATTTATCTAAAATGCATTTGGAAAATGTTTGAGGTTGTATACAAGTTGGGCAGTGGGGGGAGAACAGGTAAGGCATAAACTTCATTCAAACTCAGCAAGAGTTGGGCAAAGCTTAGCGCCAGTTCAGACATTCAGAAAAAGAAAAAGCTGCAAACCTCAGTAATGCCAGTCTCATATTTTAATGGTTCCTGAAGGATCAATGCACTTGGAGTTCAAGTGTAGCAGATGTTCATGTTTCATCTTGCCAAGGCAAGATTAAAGAGGAGTGGTTTTGCCTGGTGCCTAAAGGTGTACAATGAATCTTGTTTTACATGTCATCATTTAACTATTGGGAGTCAGAAACCCTTAACTATGTACTGTAAATTGTCCAGTGATCTATCAGTAGATTTCCCTATGCTTTTCACCAGCCCCCAGCTTTAAGTAACAAAATTTCTAGAACCCCTCTTGATTATTTGTGCTGGGATTTATGTTTCCCCCCTTCCTGTGTGTGTGTCTACAGGAGGCCGACCCGACGAGCAAAATGAGAGTGAAAAACAGAAGATGGTAAAGGGGATGAAGAAACATCTGAAACACTTGCTCTCTCAGTCCGTTTTTAAAAGCTTGATGAAGACCAAATACCCAACCCAGTCTGGGAAACTGCTCTTGTCCGATATTTCGGAAGAACATTCTCAGTCTGCGTTGGACACCATGTCAAAAGCAAAAGCGAAGAAGATGAAGAAGAAACCACAGCAAAATGCAGAGAAGTTAAAGAAGTGATGGGACATTTTGGGGGTGCAAGATAAGGAACACTTAATTCTCCCCTTCTCAGCCACTGGATGCACAGACCTGTTCTAGAATGATTGCTGCTTCCTCTCCTGTTGCTGCTCTCAAGTCAGTCAACGTGCATGTACAGACACCCACCCACATGGTCCTTCTTGGTGCTGAGTTTAGGTGATGTCCAGTGTCTTGAGTTTTGTGTAAAACATGCCACCTGAAAGAACCAGGTGAGTGGAAATCATTGCACGTGATTGGGGTTGTGTGGAAACAACTGCAGAGGTGGCAGTGAGCCCAGAGGAACAGGTAAGCATAAATGTGTGTGTATCAGTTCTGTATCCTTTTAATCAAGTTCATTTATTCATTTAAGTTGCAGGGTGTTGCAGGGCATTGCATATGCGTTTCTAAAGAAAACCCTATGTTTGTAATTCTTTGAATTTTGCATTAGCATTTGATGCTTTAAATCGTAGCAGCCGAGGGGAATCTTCTCTTCTGCGGAAAGAAGAAACGAAAACATGTCGGGGGGGGGGGGGAATAGACTGTACCCTAAAGTAAATTAGAGAATGAATTTCTTCCTGTTCTTAACTTGCCCAGCTGAAGTCTATATTAAAATATTTGTAAAACTTTTTCTTAGCATTTTTATTACACAGAAAGCACATAAAACAGAGGCAATGAGACAATAGGGGCCTTTCCAATGTATCCGGTGGTTGTGGGAGAAGAAGGTACAGCCCATCTTTCTCTTTTTGCTGTTCAGGAAAATCCCTGATCCACTGGAGAGGTGGGTTTGTTTGCTTGTTTACAGAAAGATCAGGGGGAAGGGTAGCTTTATGGAGGTGTTCGAAAGCAAATTACATTTTCAGAATTCATTGCCCTCAGCAACTTAGAAACTTCATGCAGGAAATCAGTTCAAGTAAGTTATGTATATTTCTAGTTTGCAATGGAAAATTACTGACTGAAAAACAGGTGGGTAGGAGGATAAGCACGACTATCCTGCTTGACAGTCTTTACAAGGTCATTTGGTTACATATATGCTCTACCACTCACAACTTTGGAATAGTTTACCAAAATTTGTTTGTGTGAAGAAAGATGTATACCTTTCTCAAACTCAGGGGATATTTCTATTATTATTTGTGTTAGCCAGCTGCCCTGGAGGCTCTGCGAAGCTATATTCAGTAATAAAATAATAATTAAATGAAATTCATTCAAGACACAAGGAGCATGCACGTAAAACTGCCTTGATGGTTTCAGGAAAAGAAAAGGCTAAGGAGTAAATCCTGCACAAATCCTACAATGCTTGGATGACGCCTTGTATGCCTCATTCCAGCAACTCCTGCAGTCAAGCTGGTGCCAAATATATTGCTCTGCTTTCCTTTGGACCACACCAGCGAGGCTGAGAGAGGGGTCTTCTCTTCTGGGCAGGCCCAGAACCTGCATACACACTGCCCAGGCTTGCACCTCGGAGGGGTCACTTTGGTCTGCTAATGCAGCAAAAACAACGCAGGCGACTGCTGTTCTGAGGTACTGGTCTCTGCAGCCACAGCAGGTGCTGTGATTCTCTAGTGATTTGACTTCACCCCCAGAAGCACACTCCATTGTTTCTCGAGGCAGGTGGATGCCAACTGGTTGCTGAAAAAGGACCTGCAGTGTTCCTGTGTTACACATGACCATGAGGAAGAACTGGATCCTCAAGACTTCCAAAAGAAAGTTGGAGCAATAGTCCATCCCCCAAATTGAGGGTCTTTTGTCAGCAGTAGCTGGAGGTCAGCTATTGTAATCCTAACTGTATCTGGAGGGCCACACGTTCTGTACCCTGAGTGAAGTGAAGCTTCTGCCATCACTGTTAAGAATTCAGAAATGGCTGCTCCAGTGGGATTTCTTGTTCTCATACCCTTATTTAAATGCATAGGAGTTGTGGACGGGCAGGACAGATGGCACAACACATTGGCTGTGCAAATCTTTGGTTTTGCTTGATAGTTTCAAGTATCTCCTTGTCAATTTCAGGCTATGAAGCTTTTCAGACCAACCTTACAAAAAGCAAGGGAGCTCCTGGGACTGTTAAGTGACTGATAGAGCTATTATTTTCTAGGCCACATTTCCAATTAGCATTGTTACAAATATAGCTGTACCCAGGAGGTGTTCCGTGAAGAGCCGTACAATGCAAACACCTAATCCCAGATGTAATAAACATTGGCACCTTCAGATTTTAAGTCACTGCCCTCGCACGGAGGTTGGATGTAGGTTGGATGTTTATTTTTTGAAACCTTTCTGCCTTTGAAAGCAGCTTGATCTGCAGACATTAGGAGATCATCATCAGCATTTGGAGATTTCATTTAAAGATAAGGCGAGTAAGAAGTGCCACGATAGAAGTTTCTAAACTGGAGAATGTGCATAGAGAAAAGTTCCCCCCTCCCATGACAGTATAACTCATGGAGAACTACCTGAAAAAGATTTACAGATGGTATTTAACTCTAAGCAGACTTGCTAAGATGTATAAGACTGAATCAGATAAGTGCTGGAGATGTAATGAGGTTGAGGGTATGCTCTTTCATATGTGGTGGACATGTAAAAGGGAAATTATTATTAGGAAATAAGTTATAATGAATTGGGGGGGGAATGTTTAAAAGCACCTTTCCAGAATAACCAGAGTCCTTTTTGTTGGGAATAAATCAGATGGAAATTCCCAGGTGTCAAAAAGGTTATTAATGTACGCCACTATGGAGGTGCGTGTTTTGTTAGGTAAACGGCGTTTCTGTGCACTCTGGCACTCGTCACGGTGTCCTGTTGCACCTGTAGTGGTTTAGTCATGCTGGCCACATGACCTGGAAATCTGTCTATGACAAACACTGGCTCCCTTGGCTTGATAGCGAGGTGAGCACCACAACCCCAGTCACCTTTGACTGGACTTAACTGTGCGGGGTCCTTTACCTTACCTTACCACTGTTGAGCAAGCAGTATCTAGTTTCAATTTTTAAAGCCTACGTGCAGATTTTGCTATCGGGGCTGCAAATGCTATTAAAATGAAGGCTTTCAAAAGTTGATCAAATGGAGGTTGCCTCCAAAGATGATGCTCCTCTGGATTACAGGCTGGACCTGATCTTAAATTGGCAATGATCAGGAGAGGGGAAGCTGAATCCACTGGCTGTGCCCGCCCCCATCACACCCATTATTAAACCCTAACCCTAACCCTCACATGCTTTTTAAGCAACTGAAGGGAGAGGTGTCATGTGAATCACACTGGGAGAGCCTATGCACATTCCCCATTCACCTTATCCAATAATACAGCGGAAACGGGGATGCCATCCAAAAATAAACAAGGGAAATTATTTCACGAAATGGTATTTTGATAGGTCTCATAAACCAACACTAGGTGGTGGTAAAGCACCACATTTCTATTGGTAACTTCAAAGCAGCATCCTAGACAGTCAGGCTTGGTGTTATCCCTATTTTATTAGTATTTTTATTTGGAACTCCCTGAATAAGGTCAGGGGAGAGAGGAACGCCGAACATAGCCTGCTCTTTAACCCAATTCCTCTTTCTTTCATGAAAACAGTGGCCACTTTACCTCAGGAAACAGGGAGAAGATTGAGATAATCATAATACTGGCCACCTTGCAAGGTGGTTCTTTAAGGATTTGACGAGAAAGTGCTGAAGCAATGCATGTGGCTCAGTATCTAATATTGCTGTTATCTGAAGACTTGGGACTTTTCCTCATATACCATTCATAGTGGAATAGTTGCTGTTTTGATCCGATATTTTTTAAGCGTGAATGTGTAGCTGACTTTCATCACCTCACGTGTCATTATTATTAGAGAGTCAATGCGAGGTTTTCCTTTCCACACCAATGGCAAGTTGAGGTTGAATTTAGAAAAGTTCCATGGCTGTAGTCACACCCCTGACACCCCCTTGTGTTCCCTCAGCCAGTAAATGCATTCCTTTCTTCTTTTTTAAATAGTAAATTTTAGTATTTTCCACACAACAACAACAAAAGAAAAATAACAATACACAAAACACAAAAACAAGCATATAAAAAAACAAATCCAAACCTTACAAACTAATAATATAAACACTAAAAAGGAAAACATTGACTTCCACCAATCCCACAGCACCTCCTTTACCTCTCATTGTATCTTCCTGTTTTCCTTATCTCTATCCTAGCATCTAGATATAAATCCCTCTTTATCCTTTCACTTCACAAGGTTATTCCAAACTCAGCCAGATTTCTGTCCTTGAACCTTGGCTTTTGAGGTATTCATTTAGGCACTCCGATGCCTTTTTCACTTCACTTTTTGGTTTTTATCTTATTATATCTGTCAATTTGGCTAATTCTAAATATTCTGAAAGCTTACATAACCATTCTCTCCTAAGGGATAACTGATTCCCTTTCCAATACCTAGCCACCAGGATTCTTGCTGCAGACGTCACATATAGTTTCGTCTTTTGGAATATCGTTTAAAATTCCTAAAAGGAATGCCTCTGGCCTTTTACTATATGATATTCTTAGTATTTTCTTTATTCTTTTTTAAGTTTCCGGCATTTGTAGAACCTGAGAAGCCAACCTGCTCCCAGCTTTCGGGACCTATTTGCACTATACATATGATTAGCTGCAGCTGCTTGCTGAGATTTCATTTTGTGATAAACCTGAGTTTACCTCTGCATAATATGTCAAACAGCTTGTCTACCTCAGTTTAAATAATTGGCTGAACAAGCGTTTAAAGCAAAAGGAAGGGTTGCATGTTGTCGAATTTATTTCTGGCTATGAAGAGAAAGCTTCTCCCTACAGGAAGAGCTGGGATTAATTGATGTTTTGTTACATTTATATCCATCTTTTCTTCCAAGGAACCCGTTTTATTCCCTCAACAGCCTTGTGAGGCAGGTTAGGCTAACAAAAAGTGGTTTTCCCAAGTGATTTTCTCCAGGGCTGAATGGGCAACTCAAATCCTCCCAGTCCTAATCCAGCACACAAACCACTACACCATATATCCTGTTTTTATGAGTTACTGTAGTTTCCTCCTCACAGAGGGGGAAAAACCACTGACTGCTAATGTAATTGGGTGTGAGATTTATGACACTGATAATAAGCTTCACCAACCTCTTCTATTTATCACTCAAACACGAATATTAACTGCCACTGTCATCAAGTAATTAATGAGATTAGGTCAACACATTTAAGACCTCGGCTGCATTTGTAAAACCGGTCATCAGAATCTTTTAAAAATTATAATACAGCATTTAAAAATTAAATTGCAGGTCTTTGTGGCTTCATGGCTATAACTCTCTTGCTCACTCTCTTGGGGTCAAGTTTCTGTATGAGAGGAGATAACGGCTTAGATTTCTTAAAGAGTCCTACTTTAGGCTAATAGTGGGGGGTTTTAGGACACGGTTGTAGGGTTTCATGGCTCCAGGCTAAGCCAACCTTAAGAAAGGATCTTGCAGAGCTGAAAAATCTTCAGAAAAGGGCAACCAAAATGATTTGAGGCGATTAGCAAGTTAACTATGAGGAAAGGTTGTAGCATGTGAGACTTTCGTTCACAGAAAAGACGAGTAAGAGGCGTATAAAATAATACATGGTGTTTAGAAAGGAAATAGGTAAAAGCTTTTCTCTTTCATAACACTAGAACTTGTGCACA